CAAACGTGAAAACAACACAGTGACAACGGTACTGCAATTCTTAGGAACCACCTAACCATGCAAAACACTTAGCAAACACTTGATCTTACATGTGTATAAGCTGTTATAATACACTCTTATTTATACTTCAGTTGTTGTTTGAACACACTTCAAGTTTCCATGAGCTACTTTAAATGGGTCAAGTTACTAACGAATCATAACGTGCATGCTTAAACATGGTTAGAACCTGTTGAAGTAGAACATGACATAGCATTCCTGCATGGCAAATCTGTGGTGAAATTGTTCATTGAATTTCAGCAAAATGTTGTCCTTGCAAACCTACAAACATTACAGGAACAAATGGTTAATTTTCAGAGAGCCACTGGCAGATAAATAGTAGCCTTTGAGCAATTTCTCCTGGGGCCCATATGGGGGTGGAGGAGGGAAGAGCCCTGTGACCAATGCACACCAGTGAGCTTTCTCACAGGCTAGATAAATAGCCACTGTTTTTGTGGTAAAATATGGTATGGAATATTTTCAAGGGCTAAAATTAGTTTGAAATTTTGTCCTTGTATTTACCTCATGAATGTAACCTTCGTATTTAGGTGCCTCCGATGAACTTCCTATAGAAAATAGGAAAAAAAAATTAATCTGCATTTAAGAACAGGAAAATTGCACATTTTGAACTTTGAAGGTCGTAGCAATAACCTGCAGCAAACCTGACAGTGATGCGACAACTCTGTCACCAAGCAAAAGTGAGGGTCTGCCTTCTGATAATCCAGGAACTTCAAGACTCAGAAACTCACCACAAACATTCATGTTAACCTGGCAAGAAACAAGCAAGAGCCATGCATTAATTTCTGAGACTTTGTTTGATTTATTATTAGATGTAAGCAAGCCAGCATAAGAGAGCAGTAAATATATATTGAAATAAATTGGTGTATTGGATAAAACAATACTTTATTGAACCAAGGTAAAAGGCAAGGGTGGATCTAGGTGGAGGGTGCAGGGGGTGCGCACCCCCTCTGAGACCCCTCTGAGATGACCTGCGGTTTTCTAATACAACTGGTATTCTGCAAAAAAAAAACTATGTGGTTTATTGGTGTTGAAGTAGAGCAAGAGACGAGTGCACCCCCTCCTAAAAAAAATCCTGGATCTGCCCCTGACAAGTGAGAACATGTTGACATTTGAACATTACGTCAATGAAATTCATACCCTTTCCATGTCAAACTCCCGCATGTCTATTTCCATTTGAAGCTCTTCGGCATAAAGAAGTGTGGAGAACCTAGCTGCATAATTCTTTAAGCTCAAGGGCTAGAACACAAAATATGATTGTTCAAATTGATACATGAAAAGCAATAATCGTACACCAAATTCTTACAAATTCAAACTAGACAGCAAAACTGAAAACAGCAACAACAAAATGTTGATACAAAGGCTGCACAAACTCACCTCTCTTAATGCAGGAATAGTATCACCCAGATCTCTACCATTGAGAATACAACTCCTGATATCTCTTGGAATACCATACTGACCCAACTGCACAGGAAGAAACAACTTCCGCTTTCTGCAATGTCATCATACACACAGGTAAAACATCCATTCATTATATAGGAAATTTCCAAGCCTTGCATTTTGTATACTGTTATAACTAAGACTTCTTCACCTTCACATGTAAAGTTACTAAATTGTTGATTAAACTACACACTACATGGTTTATGTGACTGTAAAAGGTTTTTCACTTGGTCATGATGATATCGCGAATCAGCATTAGATTCTGGGAAAAGCCCTCTTACCCATCCCCGCACATTTACTCTAAGTAAGATCAAAGTTAGTGTTCCTGATAGGTTATACCGAAACAATTAAGACTGGAAGAATGTCCAGGTATCGCGAAGTAAAATATTTATTTTTGTTTAATTATTGACATGTATGTTCCATTAGCAGTAATAATTCCAAGAAGTGAGAACTTAGTCTTAGATATACAAATCAATGTAGTTGTACATTAACACACCGAACTGGTCTTTCTCCCGGAATGATACATTCCTCTCCAGTTACACTCTCAGCAACTTTTTTCAGAGCATGTTTAGTTCTGCTGTAGTTTCTTTGATAAGGTGCTGATGGTCTCATGAGAACCTGATGGACATCTTTGACACTTGCAGTGATACATCTTCCAATCTCAAAGCCATTAAAGTTAAAAACTAAAACATGATTCACTCTACCAAGGCTCCTTTAGGAAGAAGAGCAAAATAAAAAGCAAGACATTATGTAGCAAAAAAACTAGTTCTCTTCCTTACACGTATATTAAGGAGGCAGCATGGCAGAGCAGTTAAGAGTGCTGGACTTACAATTCCGAAGCCCTGAGTTCAAATCCAGCACTGACTGCTAGCTGGATTTGTTCATGGTAGTCCCGAGTTCAAATAGCCAGCTGGGATTCTTAACCCTGTTATGTCCGATTTGAATTATTTCTTTTGGTCATTTGCTTGGGCCCCACTAGCATAAGTGCTATAAATGCTGCCGAGGGTAAATAAAGGAATTATTATTATTATTATTATCATTATCATTATCATTATCATTATCATTATTAATTAATAAACTACACACTGAAAAAAATTAGTTGAGACACTTCAAATTACATTGCACATGTAAAGAGACTTTTTGGCATTTTGCTGAATTCAAAAGGGGAAAATAAAGCTTTCCCTCCCCCCTAACCCTCCATGCAATGTTGCACTGTTGTTTGAGCTGTCCGTAGGAAATAACAAACATCCCAACTTTGAATGTAAGGGATGGGGGAGGGGTTAAATCAAAATTAACCTGAAATCAAATTTGACTTGTACCATACACATTGATGTCATCTTCAGTATGTTATATAAATTTGATCCAGTTTTAAAGATTTTCTTTTGCACATACTTTGCAGTGAAGATGACTATTAGATGCTTAGCTTGTTTTGAAGGTATCTCCATGCCAGGTGACAACAAAGCCTGCTGCTGCAGCTGTGCACAAGTGTCGAGTTGGGCTGGTTCTTTGCTGCCCAGTTGAACCAAGAACTGAGGATCTTCTCGGACTGACATACAAGACTGGAATATCTGTCCCTTCTCACCCTGATTACTGTTGTTAAAACAAGTCAAAAAATTAATAATATTATTATGGTCTGACAATTATAAAGTGAAACATATATCAATTAACCGCTCTTGAAGAGAAATTAAAAATCCCAATCCCAGAGAACAAAAACAACAACAACAACAACAAAAGAAGAGGCAAAACAGTTCCATTTTCCTTATTACAGTAGCATGCATCACAAATAATTACAATGAAATCAAACTCTTTAATTTAAGAGATTATTGATGGCCACATGACACGCATTAGCAGCTCTTACCTTATAACTATGGTCAGAGATTTTGATTCCCCCAATAAGACATCTCCAAGATCCAGCTGATCTGTGATGATCAATTCTTCCTTGTTTCTCATAAGCTCTGCCATCTTACCTCCCATGAATATTTGACAGTGTGTTGATGGACTATAATAAGATAGCAAACCTCTTACAATGTAAAACTATTAGTAAAGATGATCAGGATAGTTTAGTTGGTAAGGCATTGGACGGCAGAGCTGGCGGTCAGTCCAAGATCTGGACCAATTCTCAGGGTCTACTACATGTATTTGAAATAACTGAGAAATGAATACACTGCCTTTGCTTTGCATATGACTAGACCTTTAAATGGTGGTCCCATTTCAAGTAGGAGATGTCATATTAAATACAGAGGGTCACCAAAACAGCTAAACCACCCAGCCAGGCACTCTAAAAGAGTCAGAAGTGAGAGAGTACTACAGAAACTCATGCAATAGTGAAAGAGTGCAGCCACGACTCAGGTCACCAAAACATCTGGAAGACCAACAGTCAGGCATTCTGACAGGATGCAGCAGAGACTCAATTATTTTACTTTAGCTAAAACTCAAACTTATAGTTAGTTGGTGTAAATATGCAATGCCACATGGAATGAATATCAGACATCAGCTATTTGTACTAGTCTGATGACATTGATTAAGCAACTTGAACACACCTTAGAGCTGCACGATCTTTCCTCTTTGGCTCCACTAGAGTAGCTCTCCATGTAGCTCTACCCTGTTTTGACTCTATGGCTGTAGCCTTTACAACATCTCCTTGACGAGGTCTGTAACCCCGTGTACATACCCCACAAGAGAAAAATACTTCTTTATCAATATATCCAAATCCCGAGGACAAATATGTCACCACTCCTGTGAGAGTTTTTTCTCGTAGTGGCATTACCCCCCGGACCTCAGCTGTTCCATTGGGGTTTTTTCCCAGGTCTAACTTGACCCAGTCTCCTTGGACGGGAATATAACCAAGCCTCACACACGATAATTTAAAATCAATGTCATTATCTACGACCCCGGAGTCATCTGCCACGTTTGTTATTGTACCAATAAACGTTTCCGGTGTTGAGCTATCGTTTGTGTTGTCAAGATTCCATTCGGACATGACTTGAACACGAACCGCTTTCCAGCCTGTGGTTTCTTTCTCACGAACAGCTTCAACATGTACTTCTGTTCCAATCTCTGGCCGAGCTCCGCCCATTATCGTGTTAAACGTAAAGTAAATATCTTCTTCAATGACTCCCGCACCATCGTACAACCTCGTTACCTTACCAAAAAGATCTTTCTTCAACCTGCCTTTCTGTGGTTGACATGAGCTTTCACATTCGTCATTGCGTAAACGCACTTTAGAAAGTCCAGAGTTTGCTTCTTCGTTCCCTTCTGTCCCCCAGACATACTCTGATACTTTAGCAAATAGCCCAAACATCATTTCGCAAAAAAATTCCTGGAAAACAGAAAAATTATGATTCCAAACAATCGCGCACAGAGGAGGACGCCATTTTGAATTGTCCCGTCGAGAGGAGACTGGGGAAAATATTGTTTCGCTCCTCGGCCGAGTAAGGCTGGGTACCATCTTTAAATTCAATATGGCCGATGTCGCGATTTATGTTGCGATTAAATCAAAATAGCTCACAAATATGACCAGCAACAACGATCTACATTGCATATTATTCTGCGAATTTCACCCTACTGCAGGCCCGAAAATTGTGTATCAGGTAAGCGCCTTGCAAAATTTGCTAAGTTGTTGATTCGAGGGAGTAAAATTATTCTGATTAGTTATTGTTTAATCTTCAGTTCCCTGAAGACTATATCTCCAAAGAAGAGTTTGATGGTGTTGCTGTATACATTATCCCAAAGCCCGAGCTACAGAGCAAACTCATTACAATGTGAGTTGGTTTGCTTACGATATACCTTATTTTGAATGTAATATAAAAGTTACTTGTAGCCGTTTTTGAATGCAAATCCTTATAACACTTTTTTTCGATCTGGTCATAATCATTTATACATTCAGAACAGCTGATCTACCCTGCAGTTATGTTACGCACTAGTTAATTATTAAACAAAGCAAAGTTTACACAATGCCATATATTTTTTACTGATCTTTATAATCTATGACTTTAATAGGGTGGTAATTTTAAGGGCCTTGGTTGAAGGTAGTCAATATAAAGCACCACACAGCTCATTTATTGATACCAATACCTGAGGAAAGCAGAGGTCCTAAAGTTACCTTCTATTAGACAGGCCATGTGGCCCAGTGGCCAGAGCATAATCTGGTTTCTGTAGCATTAAACTACAAGGAGTATTGCTACCATCCCCCCTCCCCTCCCCTCCTCCACTCAGATTGGATGCTAGCTGGTCTAATCTGTTAGCATCTGTTCCCTCTGTTTCCTCGGTCAAGAAGGAAGTCTGAGCTCCAAAAAAAAAAATTTAAGAGTGTCTAGCTAAATATGATTACTTTCATTAATGCCAGGAAATTATTCTGCCCTAAGTGCTCTGCTGTACGTAATATCTTACAAACGAATAGATGCTTTTACTAGAGTTAAATCAACTCCTCATTACTTGTTATATTTTTTAGCCATTAACAGGGATGTGCTCTAGCAGAGCCCGGTGGTCCCTGGCGCCTAACTTTTGCCCTCGGGCTCGGGTGACTAGAAAATCTCAGATTTTTCATGCACATCATATGCTGGGCACCCTAGATTTTACAGTTTCAGAACACTGGGCTGCCTTCAATTTTCCTTAGAGCACAGCCTTGATTAAATATAGATTAAGCTTTTTCTGGACAATTTAATGGCTTCGCTGTACTCATATAGTTGTAAATGGGTCTATCATTCCTCAAGGTGCACATTGATTGGAGCCTCTCTTTGTTGCGTGGCCCTTGTCATTGTTTTTGCTTGTTTGTATGATGTGAATAAATAAATCCATTGCAGTTTGCCCCCAGCATTCTCACCAGTACCCCATCCATACACCAGGGTGAAGAGGGACAAAGTGGAGCAAAGTTTCTTGTCTAACAATCTGCTACACAATGGGGCAAGGCTTGAAGCCAGACCTAAAGATTCAAAGTTGGAGTTGTTACCTGCTCAGCCATCACGTCTCCACTAAACTTCACGATGGTGATCACCCACATAACAAAGTAGGAAGCAAAAACTTCTGGCTTTGTATTAAGTAGTTTTTCTTTTTCTTTTTTTAATTGCAGAAATGCACTTGATCATAAGTTCATTGGCTGCCCTATTAGTATAGAAAGTGCAAAGTACTCTCGGAATGCTCTCCTCTTCAATGTTTGCTTTGTTCTTGGTCCCAATGTTGATACCATTTGCTATGAGGGTGTGGTGAAGAAGCTAGCAGGATATATGACTTCACTTGAGGTAAAAATTAATATTTTTCAGTTTGGTGTAGGTTTCAAGGATTTCCTTAGGTTGTTTCATTTTAAAAGAAGAGTAAACAATAGACCTTCTGCTTGTGATGGGCAGAATAATTTGTTAAATGGACAAGTTACATCTATGGTACATGTACACTTATGGTCGGTGGCAACTGGATATTCAGCTGTTACATTATGGTGAACAAATTGTCTGAGTGTGTAAGTATTTGAGCCCTCAAAAAAACAACAACAACAAAACAAAAAAACCTTGATTTTCTGCTTGATGTTCAGTTGCATTTCCTTGTTTTCAGAATTCCTTTTTCTTGATAAATTTGTCAACTGACCAATTTATTATCTTAAACTTGCAGCTTGAGGAAGGCTTCCTCTCTCAAGAGGAAAGAAAGGCCACTCTTCCATCAATCCTAAAAGAAATATTTGATGAGCTTAATAAGAACGGAAAGTGTATGATTCAGATAGGTGAGTTTGCTTGTAATGTTTCCTTTGAGTGGCACAGTCCTGGTTTCAAGCAGCACTTCTCAAAACTAGCTTGTCTCCTGCCCCAATTGACTTCCTCAACCATACTTGTAAATAGCCAACTGGTTGTATCTGACCAGTTGACCAATAATATATTGGTAACAGTTGTTTGAGGTTGCATGAACTCTGACTTCTAATTGGATATAAGTTCTGTGGGAATCATGCTACTCATGAGATTTAGGTTACTTGCTGTAGACTCAAGTTTGGCTCAGGCCAGTAAAACGCACAACATGTACAGATTTTGATGCAGAAAGTAGAACTACGCTCTTCTTTCTGCATCAACTTTTTGCAACCTGGAACAACCTGATTAATATTCAACTTGTTTTGCAGCAATGTTGCTGTTGCAATGTTACCGTACCATTAAGCAGATTATGGATCATTCTCTACTTTATTATTCCTAATTTAGTGGTTTGTTGTTTCGTTAAACAGATGAGGCTAACACAATTCACCTTAAGTGCAGCATTGCTCCTTTCAATGATCCAACTTCTGTGTTGGATCATCAAGTTCCTGTGTTTATTTGTGACAAAGATGCAGTAGCTTCTTCTGAGTGGGACATCACCACACAACAGGTACCGGTGATTGGACATTTTGCCAACGCCCTTTCGCTAATGTCTTAAGTTGTTTCGATTACGAAATGAAACAAGCACTAAACATCTATAACTCGTTGTTTCAGCCAAATAATATGTAAATGTCTGATACAGGTGCGTTAGTACCTCTGAGTTCTTTAAGCCATTGTTGGGGAACTGACTTAGCACATTGGCAAAATGACTTTTAAAGAAGTTAGCGAACAGGAATTTTTGTTCAACAGCTCATAGGCGAAACGACTGTAAATCCACTCCAGGTAACATACTGAAGGACTGACTGATGAGGAATCTAGTATCCAGTACCTTGGATCAGGAATTCACAGCTTGGAATCCAGAATCCAAGACTGCCTTGAATTACCATACATGGAGTGAGACAGACGATGATTCTGTCTGTTTTTATTTTACTTTATTTTTGATTTACCTACATTTCTTTATATTAAATGTGATTTTCTCTTTATCTTGATCAGATACTTCGATACATCGATGGTTTTAACCATGTTCAGCGGATCGCTGGGGAAGCTGACATGGAAATCAGTCTTGTTAGGATGTGTATTCAAGACATGGTGTAAGTACGGTTTACTACCCACGACAATAAGCTCATGCAAAGCTCCAATTTTTATGTGCCAACTGTAACCCAGGTTGGAAACCTTGGTAAGATCTTGACAAGATCTTGGTAAAATCATGGCAAGATCTTTAATAATGATCTTGGTAAGATCTTTGGTAAGATCATGCAAGATCTTGGACAAGATCATGTAAGATCGTGCAAGAAGCTACATGTTCTTGGTAAGATCTTGACAAGATCTTTTAACAATCTTGGCAAGATCCTGCCAAGATTTTGGCAAGATCAAGATTTGCTAAGATCTTGACAAGACCATCAAAGATCATTCATGATCATACAAGATCTTAACAAGGTTCTCAACCTGGGGAGTGTCTACATAAATATATAACAAACCGCTTAAACAACGTCAACTGGAGAAGTGACAATCCTTTCCAGGTGTTTAGATAGTGAGGATGGCACACAGATGGCAGACTGAGCAGGAGAAAACAACTTCATGAAGAAGTGCAACCAAAACAAACAAACAAACAAAATATAGAAAAAAAATAACAACAACAAACAACAAAATAAGACAAAAAGAAAACAGTGAGGGGTATTGGACGGAGAGGTAGTTCTCTCTCCCTCTTCCTATCTTCATCGTCTTTTTACAGCTGCTATATTTACATGTATACGCAAGTAAACATATACCTTATTTTATTCTACTTGCAGTCAATGTAAAGTTGTCAAATTAATTTCTATTTTCCAGGTAAGTACTCTACTATTAATAACTACTTTCTACACAACATAATTTGACGTAGCCCTTACTTGCTCTAATCCATGTCATTGTTACCCGGGTATTTTGTGTTGTATTGTCCATCTTATGGTCGATGTCTACTGCTACAGTTTTGTTCGCTCGTTATGTGCATTCTTTTCCAGGATTTTTTTTTTATTCCCCCAAAAGCCAGCAACCAAACTTCAATACCCTTAATTCTGCAAGCAGTTACAATCTCTGTGACATTGCTTCTTTTCACTGTAAACTGGGAGTCCACAGGCAGTAGGTTGGCTTGTGCAGCATGGCATGCCATTCTTCAAACCGGATTTTACACAGTCTAGTCTAGTCGCAGTTTAGTCTTTTGTGGTCGCATGTGAGACTGGTCTATGTTTTGTTGAATTGCATGATGCTATGGCTTTTCTCATTGGCTATCAAGAGGTTGCGCGAGAAACTGGCTTAAAGTCGTCCCATGATGCAATTCGGTGTGACACGCAGGAGGCCATTTCCGAATTGCCTTAAGTCTCTGTTTCAAAGTGAGGTTAAGTACGACGCTCTAGTTCACGTTTGATATATAAAATATATCGAACGTGAATTTTAAAAAATTCAATTGTGGCTCCGTTGTCTCGCAGTTGTCAGGAGAGACTTGAGCGCAAAGACAACCTATAGAAAAATGACAGAAAGCGTGGGAGTAGTGTTACAATTTTGTTATATGGAGTGAAGGCTATTGGCATGAAAATAATTTATTATTCTCAAACAAATAAAACTCATCTTCACACCGAAAGTTTTGCACTTAGCCTGGTTTTAAAAGTGAGAGATTTTAGAACTCGGAAATGGCCTGTTCCCTTTTCCTGTTCGCTCTTTCTTACTGTACTTCAGTTAATAAGTTATGCTTAAGAAGTTTGTGGCATGTCATTCTTGCAGTATTCCAATGTGTACATCCCCACACCTGAGATTAATCAGCTGATACATGATAAGAAGTTACAGGAGGAGTGTCTTCATTACGTTGGAAAGAAAGGTAGGGAAATACTGCAGCTGAAGGAACGTTCGGGAAATATGTCAGGAGAGGGGAATTGGAGCCTTTTTAAAACCAGAAAACCGCAAAAGAAAAAAAGATATAAAAATACAAAACACAGATCCCCTATGAAAATCTTTGAAAAACGGAAAATTAAGGGATTTTAATGCTACTTTCGCCTTGCATTTCTTAGCCTGTTGCTAGCTGCCCCCTCCCTTGGCTGCTCAGAGGTTATGCATTTCTACGCTTTGTGATTGGGTAAAAAATTCTCCCCCACCCCCCCGCCACATCCTTTCCCAGTCAAAAGTATATATCAAAACGTATAGACACATGCCCGCTAACAGAGACGCTCCGTTTTCTTCATGCAATTTTAAAACCTAGGCATGTTAATATCTTTCATACTCTCAATCACAGGACGGACGCCGCCGACCTTTCGTGACGTGTTTATGCTGTACTGCGGGCTCAGTCCAGGTGCGACTGTGAGGGACCTGTGTACCAGATACAATCCTGCAAGTCTTCGTGTTGATGAGAGGTATTGTGGGAAAAGAGTGGGGTCATAATCCATTGCGTCCTTATATCTACCGTTGATTTGTGTTCCTTCAATTTCTTTGCGGCCTTCGTTCATGGAATTTATACGCATATGGCAAATTCCTTTTTTTTTCTTTACCAATTTTCATTTAATCCTCGAGTTCATTTTTACTTGCAGGCGGTTAATTCAGTTTGGGATGGTAACAGAGATTATCCGTCGCCTTCATAAATATCCAGTTCAGCTTACAGCGCCTTCCAAGAGTGCATCATTACCCAGAAGTTATCACAGGCCGAGAGGGAAACATTCAGACTCCAACAGATTTAAACTGTCAGATAAGTGAGTTTTACTCTGTACATAACTGGCAAGGCTTCAAATGGTCACATTTAGATATCATTCACAGGAACACTTTTGTAAATAGTATCATCGGTGGAAGTTCCACTCAGCCTTTCACTGATCCAAATCTCAGTACCACAGGAAAGTGTGCGAAAGAGTTTTCATTTGGAATGGTCACAAAATAATATTCCGCGTTCACAAGTTAGAATCACCCTAAATTGCATATTGAATATCACAAATGAATGCTTTTTAGTAGTGTTCATTTCAACGGTCTCACCATAGAGAGGATTAAGTCCACGGGATTAGAATTTAGAACAGACTTATGCAGAGTAATAAATGGTACCGAAGAAAAGTTATGTCGCGCGCCATATTCCTTTGAATGGTCACACCCTAGGATATCTTTCACAGTCTCTACATAGAATAGCATGATAAACAGTATCACAAGAAAGTAGAGCTCAGTACTTAGCTTTCATTTATGTGTCTATCCTTTTGGATTTCATCCACGAATAGTAGGAACGTTCATTTCAGTGAATGTGGTGTTATCTTCTCGCTGAGGAAAAAAATAAAGGTGTTCCGTTGGTAAAACTGATTACACAGTGCGAGAAAAATTTGACCAAACCTGATCTCAGATAGAGCGGTTTTCACTTGACTGTCGAAAGGGATTGGTTTTGGTTTTGGTTTTGGTTTTACTACGCCCTTTGGTTGGCTAGTGTATTTACTTTGGTTTTGGTTTTACGACAGTCAAGTGGAAACCGCTCTATATAAAAATGTACCAAAAACACGAAATCAAAGGGAAAACAACGACCGGTTGAAAAGCGGAAAATTGTTTACTTCTTAATCAAATCACAGGTGGTTAGATGGAAATCACAACTATGATGAAATATGCTGCAAAACAGGTATTGTAACAAAGCTTTCATCGTTGACATACTAAGATTAACTCACTAAAACAGCCAATCAATGGAGTAAACGATGTTTTTACGCACGTAAGAAAAATATTACTTGGCCAATCAAAACCCACAGGGCTGCGTGAGTTTCGCGCCAAAATTCCCGCCTTTTTCAGATGCTTGCAGTGTCGTCGCTACGCGGGTCGCTTCGAAGTCGTTCAACGATAAAATGAGTTAAGACGAGAGAGTCGTTGTTGAAACGTAAACAACAGTGTGAAGAACAGTTCGGAAAAGATGATGGAAACGCTTCGTATATTTTGCTTTTACAGCAGAAAATTGTGAGGGGCCCCACTGCAAAACAAGGTAGAAGGCAGAACCGCGAACGTTGTAATTCGCATTAGTATGTAACTTCAAATTCAGACGGCTTATTGCCTCCCCCTCCTTGTAATTCTCCTTTCAAATTTGAAAATCGCTTGTGTTCCACTTAGAAGTGTAGCTTTGTTGTACGATGAAGAAGTATGTGAACTGGTTAACTATTTCTTGCGCCTCCAGGTTTAACTTATCAAGAGTTGGAGGACATCGTTGAAGGAGAACCTCACATTGTGGTTATATGGAAGTGATAACTTAATGATGGTGGAACAACAGACCATCCGTTCAGTGTAAGATTGCTTTAACCAGCTTTAGAGGTTATATAATCGACGAAATAACCATAACAATAAGATTGTGTCACGTTATTTGTGCAGGGACCATTTTCGGAAAAAAAAAACTGTTGTACGCATTGTTTGCGCCTCGAATGCGTTCGAGTTTTCTTAGCTTAATCATAACTACCACAAAATTGTCAAATCTGATTGGCTATCAACTGCCCTGATTTCAGCCTTAATTGGCCAGTTTAATAGGACAGTACGCGTCATGGACAGTACGCGCCATCACGCGCGCGCTTAAATGGCTTATTTTTTCCACTGCTAGCAAAACAGAATTTCGAATTTCTTGTGTTTTGATGTAAAAAATAGCCTATTATATCACAAATTTTGTTAAAGTTATGATTAATTGGTAACAGAACCTCGTGTCGTCCAATTCGGCCTGTAATCATACTCGTGATTAAACAAATCGGACTTCCGCTACGCGGTCGTCCGATTTTGTTAATCACTCGTATGATTAGTAATGGTAACAGGACTGAGTGGAGTCCAATTCGGTCTGTAATCATACGAATGATTAACAAAATCGGATGACCGCGTAACGGGAGTCCGATTTGTTTAATCACGAGTATGATTACAGACTGAATTGGACGACACGAAGTTCTGTTACCAATTAATCATAACTTTAACAAAATTTGTGATATATAAGGCCCTTTTTTGAAATCAAAACAGAAGAAATTCCAATTTTTTTTTGCTAGTGGTGAAAAAAGCCATTTAAGCGCGCGCTTGACGGCGCGTACTGTCCAATTACTTAGGCATGACGCTTACTGTCCTATTAAATTGTCCAATTAAGGCTGAAATCAGGGCAGTTGATAGCCAATCAGATTTGAGAATTTTGTTATAGTTTTGATTACAGACCGAATTGGAATCCACTCATTCCTGTTACCATTACTTATCGTCATTATTGTTTTCATGACATTAGAAGAATTCACAACGTGACCATTTTCTTTTTCTTTTCCTTTTTTTCTTTGTAATTTCTTTGCGTTACCAATCGTTTACCGTTCATCATATTTACGCATCCCAGCGTGAGTCCTTTCATTTTAGTTTTATCCATAAGACTTACCTTTGGGCGGATTTTATTTGCTCATTTCGTTATTTGAGAAATGGTCGACATATCTTATCTGACGTTTGCAATAAACTTGATTCTAAATCTGACAGGAAGTAAACAGTGCATTGATAACGTCTTTATCTTGATCGTACGTATCGTTTTTAAAGCTCCCACTGACAAGTTTAATTCGGCTGGAACAAACCATACCAATTCTGTGAAATATCCCATATTGTATTTTATTCAGTCTATCTCGGCCTCTTTTTGAAAAAAAAAACTAATTAAACAGAGAATTATCTCGTCTAATGAATTACTTTCTTTTTCCACACACGGCACTGCTTATTGTTTTTTCGACGCGCATTTTAAAAGCTATTTCCTTTTAATTTGCATGTCAGAAAACCATTGTAAAGTTACTCTATGTTGCCATTTTTATCACCGCAATAAGCACTGAAAACAGAAAACGCGCGATGATACTAATATTCAGATGCAAAAGTTTCAGTGCAAAAAACATTGTCATTGTGCAGTTATTATTACTGTATCGACGTTTAACCCAAGGAATAGACCATTTATCACCTAACCAGGTCACTGTTAACGGAGCGTTTCTGACACTCCACGGCTACGCTTCAAACGGTCCCAGATTGGGACGCTATGATTGTCGCAGTATATTACAGTGTGGTCATCTTTGCCTTAAAAACTTTCGCTGCCTTTCCTTTAACTACCAAGAGTTGAGTATTCGTAATGGATTTTGTGAATTAAGTGGAGTGAGTGTTGGATCAAGACATGAACGCGATAAACTGATCAGAAAGATGCCTGGATTCGTTTTCGTACAGTTAGTAGGAAAAGCTCCAGTAAGTAATCGGTTCACTTTGATACAATAATGCTACTTTTTAGAGAAGAAAGAAATTGTTGATGATTTGTACTGGGGAACCTTTGGTTGTCTTCGTACAATTAGTTGGAAAAGTTCTAGTAAGTCGTTTATACTTGTCACCTCCATACAGTAGTACTATCCTTCTAGAAAAAACAGAATTTGTTCTTGGTATGTACGGGGAACCTTTAGTTCTGCACCCCGTTTTATTCGTTACCTTTTTAGCAATAAGATTATAGGAAATCTTTCACTAACTAAATCTTTTTTTTTTAATTTACTTTGTTTTTGCATCTCTGTGTGATGTTGCCTTGTGCTTAAAAATCGTGCGAAGTGGATGAAGGAATATATATATATATATTCTTGGTTTGCAACCACGTGACAAGGCGGCCACGTTGGGGGTCAAAACAAAAGAATATTTCCTCGAAAAATTTACATGAAAATAGAGTTTAGTTCCCAGAGGAGAGAAATGCTTTTGTTCTTGACCACCAACATGGCCGCCGTGACGTCACGTGCAAACCAACAATATTCTAATTTGTCTTCTGAAATGATGATTTTATTTTTATTTATTTTTTAATTTTTTTTTCGTGATTATCAGTTGAAATTGAAAGCAAATACACACTATGAAAAACAGGAACACAATTCATTACAACAGAACTACTTTTAATAAGTCAAGCTACTAGACTGACGCATTAATTAAAGAAATAAGCAGCTGACAAGACGACTGCTAATATTATGCAGCATAAGGAGCGAATTTCATCTTTCCATCAGTGGCCGGGACTTTTATCAGAAAAAAAGCATAAGTTTCAATATGAACTTCTAAAAGTAAATTTTTCCATCACGTCAAAATTTTATAACCGGCACTTTTTTTTTCGTGATTATCAATTGAAATTGAAAGCAAACACACACTTTGAAAAACAGGAACACAATTCATTACAACAGAACTACTTTTAATAAGTCAAGCTACTAGACTGAAGTATTAATTAAAGAAATAAGCAGCTGACAAGACGACTGCTAATATTATGCAGCATAAGGAGCGAATTTCATCTTTCCATCAGTGGCCGGGACTTTTACCAGAAAAAAAGCACAAGTTTCAATATGAACTTCTGGAAGTAAATTTTTCCATCACATCAAAATTTATAACCGGCACTTTTTTTCGTGATTATCAATTGAAATTGAAAGCAAACACACACTATGAAAAACAGGAACACAATTCATTACAACAGAACTACTTTTAATAAGTCAAACTACTAGACTGAAGTATTAATTAAAGAAATAAGCAGCTGACAAGACGACTGCTAATATTATGCAGCATAAGGAGCGAATTTCATCTTTCCATCAGTGGCCGGGACTTTTACCAGAAAAAAAGCATAAGTTTCAATATAAACTTCTAAAAGTACATTTTTCCATCACGTCAAAATTTATAACCGGCACTTTTTTTCGTGATTATCAATTGAAATTGAAAGCAAACACACACTATGAAAAACAGGAACACAATTCATTACAACAGAACTACTTTTAATAAGTCAAACTACTAGACTGAAGTATTAATTAAAGAAATAAGCAGCTGAGAAGACGACTGCTAATATTATGCAGCATAAGGAGCGAATTTCATCTTTCCATCAGTGGCCGGGACTTTTACCAGAAAAAAAGCAGAAGTTTCAATATGAACTTCTAAAAGTAACTTTTTCCATCACATCAAAATTTATAACCGGCACTTTTTTCTTGTTTTTTTTTTTGTTGTTTTTCTTTCTGTCGATGCTCTGCTAGGGTCTGAAAAGTGGTTTTCACTCAGCAGATCTCTTCTGGAAAATTATCGTTAATCACAAAACTCATTTGGCACAGTTTTAATTACAAGAGAATCCCTCTTTACTAACATTTGCTCAATAGGCCCTTTGCTGATAGTCATTCACGTGGTACAAAACCGCCATGCTGGAGAGCGAGGGATGCACAAAAAGCGTTATGTATCGGTCAAATGGAAGCTTCAACATGCCCCCCGGGCATACCCCGGGCATTTGACACCTTTGCCGTCCCGGGGAGGAGGGAATTTGATTATCAGAGTCTTCCAGGGGGTGGGGAATTTGAACTACACCCTCGATTTCATGTAAAATCTTTGGCGTGACGAGCTATCATGGGGGACGCGGTGTTAGGGGATTTTTGTGGAAAAGATTGTGCCTTTGTGGCCAATTGGTTACAAGGAAAGGGCTTAAACAAGCTTTGTGCCGTTTTTGAAGTATTTAAATTTTAAAATTTTTAATATTGGATTCAGGCTTTGAATGTATGAATGTATGTTATTGTTGTGTTTACAATGAAATACAATACCTGTACCAGCGATTCAATACAACAACATAAAATAGAATGAAATAAAATAAAAATCTCAGGTCAACTACTTTGAACTACTGCAAGTATGTTAATTTTTACGGTGAGCGATGATGCATGTCAGTGAAATGGTCATGATGTAGTAATCTCAATAGGTGGGATCTTTTTTTATAGAATGCTTTTTATGTTGCATGATGAAGAAAAGCTGAGCATTCAGTGACCTTGTAGCAGCGATTTCCGCCGCTTTGCACGAGTGTTTTGTTCGTAGTAAATACGCTAACAGTGTTTCTCAGTTTTTGTTATATTTATAAAGATTTTGTTCGACAACTGAAGGCGTTTCCGCCGTCCTTCTGTCATTTTTGTGCCTGTGAAATGTCCCCGGGGTGGGGGCATTTGATCATCTGAATGGACCCTAGTGTGGGGCATTTGAACGGCATTTGGGCCCGGACATAAATCATAGGTGGTGGCATAATTAAACAAGTTAGCTCGGTTAAATCTCTGGGTGTGCATATAGACGAAAACCTTTCATGGAATATGCACATTGCAAAAATAGCCAAGAAAATCGCATCGGGCATTGGAGCAATTAAACGTTGTAGGCCTTTTGTTAATCGAACCACGCTGGAGTCCGTTTTCAATGCCTTAGTTCAACCGTACTTTAATTACTGCAGCGAGGTCTGGGGACATTGTAACAAAAGTCTTTCGAATAAGCTCCAAAAGTTGCAAAACCGGGCTGCCCGTATTCTAACCTTCTCCAGTTATGACACAAGCGCTGATCCTCTTCTTGAGCAACTCAACTGGAAACGGTTGGATACTCAGCGACAAATACAAGTGGCCACCATGGTCTATAAATCTATACATGGTCTTGCGCCCGACTATCTTGGTTCTCTTTTCACTAAATATAATCCACCTTATAATTTAAGGAACTCTGAAAACAAACTAGCTGTTCCATTCTCCCGCACCAATTTCTTGAAAAATAGCTTTAGCTATAATGGTGCGGTTATCTGGAACAGCTTGTCCCCTGAATTACGGCATCTATGTAAAGCAGAATTTCTTTATTTTCTCTATTTTTACTATTTAAATTTTTGGATCATGTTTATATAGATTAAAGTAGATTGTAATTTTTATAATTATTATTTTATTTGATAGATTTACCGTGTTTAAATAAAAATAAAGTTCAAGTTTTTCAAGTTCAAGTAGGGGGGAATTTGAACAATAATTTTCAAAAAAGTCAAATGCCCGGGGGGTTGCCCGGGGGGCATGTTGAAGCTTCGATTTGACCGATATATTATCGTTGAAAGGAAAAATATGATATTAGTTGTCTTTCTTGTCTATCTTTGTTTTGCTCAGGTGTTAGTTTTCGACAAAGACATTATTGAATTTGAATGTTTCTCTTGGGACGACCGTAATAACCAGGAGAAATTAAAAACAAAGGTTATGCAATTTTTGGGGGGGGGGGGGGGACAAACAATGTGTGAAATGGGAGATATGCAAATGGCGAATTGTTATTTTGCATCTGACGTCACAGCAACCATGTTGGTTGATAAGAACAAAAGAGTTTCCCTCCCCTGGGAACTAAACGCTTTTTGCGTGCAAATTCAGCGAAAAAAATTTAACTGTTTTATCAACCAACATGACCGCCTTGCTTTTTGGATGCAAAAGGAAGTAAATTGCTCTACAAGAAAATCTCATGAAAAGTTGCAAAAAAAATGAACAACACAAAGTATGGATTATTTTCACACGACGTCACGCCCGCCATATTGGTGTCCCAAAACAATGAAACGGCGGCCATGTTGGTGTCCCAAACCAAACCTGTGGGAGTTGAACTCTTTTCTTATGTAAAAACTTTCTTTTATTCCTAGGAATTTACACAGGGTTCGTACAGAGTCTTGAATTCTTTAAAAAGTCTTGAAATTTGCCCAGCAATTTCCCAGACCTGGAAAAAGTCTGGAAAAAATGGTAAAAAGTCTTGAGCTTTTTCTTTTTGCAAAGCTATAACATGTACTTCATAAATGAATTTTGTTTCGTTTTGGTCAGATCTTCTTCAATCTCGCCCTTACGTTTGCAGTGCATCTTAAAAAAACTTTGTTCCTGCCTTTTTAAGGTCTGTATCGATCACCTATTTGATAACCTTGACTTTGGAAAAAGAAATTATTGTTTTGGAAAAATAGTTTGGAAAAAGTTTTGAATTTTGGATCTAAAAATCTGTATGAACCCTGTTTGCATAGCTGCTTGCCATTTGAGTGTAAGAGTTCTATGTATGTTTTTACCCCATTGTTATTTCTTATTTCAGCCTCGGAGTTGCCTTGATTACCTGCGCACTGGTAGACGTTATTCGGGATTTTTCAATATTTTCGACGAAAAAGGAACTTCCATGGTAGTGTATTGTGATCTTACTTCTGAACCCAAAGCTGCATGGACGCTCATCATGTCAGAAAGGACACCAGGATTTGATTTATTCAAAAGAGTGCCTCTTTTTAAAGATAAAGTTATAAATGAGTCTATTCCGAACTGGGATGCTTACAGGCTGTCACTTTTTAAGATGAAGCAGCTGCGGTTGCTTTCATCTCACTGGAGAATAACTTGCAGCTTTCAGTTGGATGGATTAGTCTATCGAGATTATGTCCGTGGCAAGTTCGCAGACTTTGATATCATTGATTTTAAACGATCTCGCACCTGCATGAGTGTTGAGTACGTTAACGTTCGAGGCTACAGCTGTAGCAACTGTCAAATGCCTTGGTGGCAAGATGAGGAAGTAATGTTACATCACGACAGTTCAAAGCCGCGATGTGGCTATAATGCGTCCAAAGGAGCTGTAAAGAACGAAGATAACTTCGGTTTTTACACTAGGTTCAATCCTTCTTTCCGATGTACTGAGTCGGGGCGAGAATCCACGACGAATCACTGGTTTGGTTCATACTTGAATTGACATAAATCCGAAGTTGAAAAAGCGAGGTCTTGTCAGAGACATACTCAAGCAACGCATTATGATTCCTTCGTCGTAAACGGGTAGATATAAAAAACTGTTAGTTTCGAATTTCAGACCAACAATAGCCATCAATGAATGTAATTGTTTTTCGCTAAAACAATTCGTGTACCTTCCGTTGTACAATTACAATTGAACCGTCCATATTAGCGACTATTCAATACGCCTAGATTTGTCGGTCGCGTACAGAAGGTTTTGCGAGAGTAGGGCAGTAATTAGTATGTTTAGCCAACACTAAAAGCAGGGCTCCCGCCTAGAAGTTGTCGTTGACTTGAAACAACTGATACACTTTATTGCAAAAACGAAAACACTGATAACTAGATGAATGAAAGAATAAATAAATAAAATTAAGTAAATATATCTACTTACAGGTAACTATAAACTTATATTTACATTAAACGCATGTGCACGGAAACACAAATTGTTTACTCAGTATACAAAATTTCAAATAATAAACACAATGTAAACTTAAATTGCAGTGCTGTTAGACTATCCACACGGCTTATCAGCTTCAAGTTGGAATTCCCTTGTCTTAGGATGAAAATGCAGGAGACTGTAAAAACATTCCAAAGAAAAATGAAAATGCGTACAAACCAAGCTTTTTTGTTAATTTGAAAATCTCTGATACTAAGTTTGTTCCAACGAATGGACCGCGAACTACCTTGCATACAATTAAGGAGTAATTGCCACCACCGATTGAGACAAAAAGGACCGATTGGTATAAACTTATTTTAACGCAAAAGTCATATTAGCCATCGCACTTACTTGTTTGAAATTTTTGTTGTTTTTAAGCTTTAAAAGAGTAAAACTTGAGCCAGTGGTCAAGGATTAACGCAGAGCGCTTTAACCGATCCTTTGTAAATCTAGTGTAAATGGGATTATTTTGAAATAAAATTTGTCAGTTGCTTGTAATTAATTTAACAATTATGACTTCTATAGTAAACGTGATTTGTAAATACAGATTTTATTATCATCGTTAACGTGGCTATTATTTTTCCAAAGTCTTATTTGTGGGAAACTGTGTGGTGGTGTTGATCATATTAATCGTTGTTTCTTTGAATTAACTAATTTACCTGTATATTGTAGGGGCAGTGTGTTGTCGTTAATTATGAATTATTTATTCGACTCATGTGCTAAACAATGGTGAGGTTCTTACTTTAAGGTTTTCAGTTCTGGCCGTCTTTGCCGAAAGACTGCCTTAAATTTCAGTGAGGTGCAGATAGGTGCTATGAAGGGTAGTTGGAAGAGTGTCGCTGAGATATTCCTACTTCAAGTAGCTTTGGGGAGTGCAACGCTTTCCCCGCACAGAAGCAGATGTTTAAGAATTGGAAACTTCTCACCTCCCATTAAGAGTAAGAGCTTATTTTTCTTCTTTTCTTCCTTACGTTTAAGCAACAGTATACCTATACGATCCGCCAAATATTTTTAATCAATATAGGGAATATCTTTTTACGGACGTTCCTGAATCTCCTCTCATTCTTTATCTCGTCATTTGGTATGTTTTTACGACTAATAACTTGCTGAAATTTCGTCTGTGGGATTCCTCAGTGACTCATTTACAGTATCGTTTTTTTTGGTTGTTTCTAAAATTTAACCTGCCAACAAATTTATCATATAGGGATACTTTTACAAATGGTAAATGATCTTAATCAAATGTTCTTGTTTTGGCAATACACGATCAGTGGCTAAACTATATTCTACCGTCACTTCATTATCCCGATGAAGTTGTAATCAATCTCAACTGTGACTGTTCGAAAAGGCGGGAACAACTGACGAATCACCACAAAGTTAAAAAGTCAAAATTTCCCAAAGCAGAGAAAATACTTTATATTCATACCAAAGGTTGTCTTTAAGCCTTCAGCGAAATGGAATGGAAAAATGTGCGTTTGTGAGACTATCAGTTATAGTTGTTAACACATAACGTTACATGGTATCATAAGACTTGATTGACATGCAGCCGTTCTGGAGAAGGTTGTAAACCAGGCTCTCGGAAAGTGTTTGCAATAGAGCCTACTTTGTCATTGACGAACCTCCTAAAAGTCTTATCTTTAAACTCTTTTGCGCCTGAAATATTGAGATGTAAATGTTTGTGGAAATAACTTAATTTAGAAAGCCGGATATTTAATTTTCGCCCGGTAGGTGGCCTTTTGAAAAACAGGTGTACACTGTAGTTTGTTCTTAGACCGATTACGGTGAATGGCAGGGAATTGGTGCTAGCAGAGAAATTTAAAAAGCCTGTTAAAATCAATTTTTCACGGTTTTAATGTTGTCTTCGTTTGTTTTTTCGTTGGAACACTCACTTGAATAGAATTCCTAGTAGAAGCAGAACCTTCTGCTTTCTGCAACATCTTTTTGAAACCTGCAACAGCCTGATTTGATATGACGTCACATTGTTATTCGTAACACTAAGAGACTTTGAAACTACTGCCTTTAATTGTGGAATTTCTGAAGCCATCGATCTAAGAGTTTTATTGCATTCGAATCATTCTACTAGTCTCTATCAACTACGTTAGATAAGCAAAATAGTTTATTCACTTCCCATACTAATGTGAGTTCCACATTACAGCTTCACGAGGTATTAACAGATTAAGTATTGCTAATTATGTTATTGTTGACGTCATAGATTACTCTCTTGCTGGTCACGTGATTTCTAGCACACAAGTACCCTCAAGGATCGACTGTGGTTTTAACTGTTTGGAGGAACAGCGGTGTGTTTCGTACAACTACGAAGAAGGAGAGAAAGTATTTCATGACTGTGAATTAAACAGCGAAAGTAAAGAGACAAGGTCGTCCGACCTAACAGAGAGAACTAACTACTCTTATTATGGCTTACGCAAAAGTGTAAGTGATAAGTTTTAGATCTATCCAGTTTGCCTGCTTCACAGACGAAACTAAACTTCTGGTAAAGTCTGTCTGCGAAGAAGCGCCAAAATCCTTGTTTTCGGCCTCCACCTGTGTACCAGGATTTGAGTATGCGCCATGATTGGCCTGTTAACCCTTTAAGTCCCAATAGTGACTAACGTCAATTTTCTTCCAACGATATCCATACAATTTGAAGGGATTAGGTTATGAGAATTAATAAAATGATCACCTAAGGGAAAATCCCTTGATCTTTTATCAAATTCTCTCAACTCATTCATGAAGGAAATGTATGGAGATCAGTTTGGAGAATTTGTATGTGGATATTGGGGTTTAAAGGGTTAAAAAAGCCATTGTTGATTTTGCAATCAAGTTGAAGGGAAATTCAAAACGCATCTGGTAATTCGTTGAGTCCCCAGAAAAAGGATATCGGCGTTGCTTCGCACACGTTATTAACTGAGGCTAGATAACTTCTGCGACACAGGCCAAGACAGTACAATACGGTACAGTTAAAATCATCCAAGACGTTAAACTTGTTACCATGAAGTTACACTGGCGACTACACGGTCGACCAGTGCAGCGAAACGACTCTTATCCTGTGTAGACTTCTTTGTCTGTTCAATGGAGACATTTAATAATTTAGCTATGTTTATCCAAGTCACCCTGGTTGGGACGCTAAATAGTGCAATTGTATACTCCGAAACCATTCCCTGTTCAGCGGCAAAATTAGGCCAAATAAGAGAGTGTCTACCCGGAAATAAATTTTGTTATTTTGTCTTGGATTGCAAGGATTCCAGTGCGTGTGCCTCATCCCCATGTGGGCATTATGGAACGTGTATAGATACATGTACCGAGGGGTCTGGGTTCAAGTGTATTTGCACTGAAGAAAGGACTGGAGACAAATGTCAGCACAATAAAAGTGAGTAGGCTGTCCAATCAAACTGTTGATCCCACCCCCTTGCTACCGGTCCCACCCCCCCTAACCCTAACCCACCCCTCCCACCCCACCCCCCTTCCAGCGGTTTATTTTATTATAATTTTTTTTTCAATTGTGAGTATTATCTGCTTTCCTTGGGGCTTATTAAGGATAATTCACAACTCTGGGATTGAGATTATTATTTTCATTATTTGCTCTTATTGTTGTTATTGTTATTGTGCAAACAAACTTGGTTAATATGTTAGTTTGTCTGAAGTTTAATGCTTAAGACTTTCATTGTTTCTAGTCACGTGGTACAGAAACACTAAACTGAAAAGCTAGCAACAAAAGAAACAATAAATCATCTTGTCTACAGCAGTCCCAAAATCATAGTGTTGCTTCTTGGCTTGCTCTTTGTCAGGGAAGATTATGATCGTGTGAACAAATGAAAAAGTGTTTATTATTTTAAATTTTTTTTTTTAAAAAAAGCTACCGTGCAAGATTATAAGGTTGTCTTCCCAGAAGAAAGCGTGACAGATTTCATCATGGCTGACATCACGGAGACATTGTCACAATTCACGTTATGTTTGTGGGCAAATATTGTCTCTCCTGGCTGGAGCACCTTCTTTTCTCACGTGTCCTCTGATGGTGAGGAGGAGTTAATGTTAAGGTGTCAGAATGTGTCGCTGTGCCAGCTGGGGTTGATAGAGCAGACGAAGTAAGAACAACTTAAATTGATGCAATGATCATAAAAATTAACTATTTATCAAAGGTTTTTGCTAAGTTATTGCAGAAAAAAATTTAGACAGTCATTCCAAGCTAAAGGGTTGATAAATCTATTTTACACATTAGAGAAAGATTGTGAGTCGTCTCTTCTTCCCCTATCCTGGCCTCTCATTACGTTTTGAACAAGTTGCGATTTTGAGCGAAAAAAATAAGGTCACACCACATGATCAAACCTGTAAAAAAATGTTGCAATGCACGGCCAATTACTGTATACCGAGTGCACTTTAAAAACAGACAGTACGAAATAAAAAGGACATAGAGAAATCTTATATAAATCTTGCTTCAGTACACAGGTCGCCCAGTCTTCTCAGTATTTGCAAGTTATGTTTGAGGTTTTTTAAAAAAATCCCTTAAGTATAGCTCCCTTTAAAAACTCTTGACCACAGGCAAACCAACTGAAAAACTAAAGATCAGCAGTTTGATGATTCGCGAAGGAGACTTAGATCGCGTTGAAACAGGCCAAAGCCGATCAATGGTTCGATGAGATGGGTATCTGTCAATTAATCACGTGAATTTTCTTCATTATTTCAGATCATTCTATGTTGTCCCTTTCAACGACAGTTTTTGGCACCATATTTGCGTGAGCTGGGAGAATGGCCAGGGTATTTGGGATGTAATTATTGACGGAGCAGTGATGGCCCACGGAAGTGCTTGGCATCAAACGTTGAATCTGCGACCAGGATTATTGGTTGTTGGTCAGAGACAAACTAGTCATGGAGGGGGATTTACCTTAGACGAGTCTTTTGCTGGAAAAGTCGCCTCCGTAAACGTGTGGGACGTGAAAATTGCTTTGAGTTTCATCAAGGAAATGGCGAAGACTTGTAGTCAAGTGTTAGGGAACGTAACGAATTGGGCAATGTTTCGGAATGGCTTCAATGGACATGTCCAGGTTCGCTCGCCTCATAGCTGTGTTTCACCACGTAAGTAAACCCAATGAGCCTCGTTTGACCTTGTTTTGTTTAATAGCTTCACTGCGAGAATAGTCACGAAATTTCGCCGCGCTATCGATATGTATTGCCATCATCTCTTTCCTTTTACTCAGCCGGTTACAGGTCCTTAGTGGGGACAGTAGTCTACCCATTTAAGGGCCTGATTACATTGAGGTGGAGGACCCCAGGAAGGTGAGGTAACCCGCCTGTCCATATAATCTCTCATATGGTCACCCCACCTATCATGTAAACGTGATCAAATTAAGATGAGATATTGTATGGACAGGCAGGTTACTGCACCTAAGCGGGTTACCTTACCTACCTGGGTACCACTGTCCCCATGTAAACAGGCCATTAAATCACGTTTTCGGTGTTTTCCCCTCTTTTCGCGAAGTTTTGCTGGCGGGAACTACTAGCACAATTTTTTTCCCACCCTCCTCCCCTTTGGCGACGTGTATCCGTCCGCCTGTGTATTTTCCGCTCATTGCTATCTCGGCAATGAGTAGCTATTGTCGCAGTGAAGATGTATTACTGTTTGTTTGTGTTATATTTCTCCGTCAATTAAACTAGACTTAACGGCATTTAAAACATTCCGAGGCTCCCTATCCCGAAAAATCGCGATCGTACGTACAATCCTGGTGACGTTGAAACTATCCTTCTATACCGTTTAATTAGTTATCTTTTTTTAAACTTTGTTCCTTAAAAAAGACAATTTCGTTTTCAGTGGCAGAAAATGAATTCATTTTGGATTTTCCATCACGTCAAACATCTGACTACGTCGAAACAACCATCTCACAAACTCTAAGTCAGTTCACTTTCTCTCTTTGGATGAAGCGAGGTTATGATGGAGATCTTGATGCTGGTCTTTTTTCCTACTCCACGTCACAGTTTGTAAAAGCGCTCGCAATTATAATTGGAGGCGCTGGAGGCTCCAACCTGTATGTTATGACAAGCACGTAAGTCAGCATTTTGTCAAATGACTTTCACATGGCTCTATTTATATTTAGGTTGTGTTCTACTGGGATTTAGAGTTTCATGCAAAATCGGTATTGGCAAATTGTCGAAGTCCCTACAAAAACAATTTTTGTTGAGACGTGACTTTTTAATGACGAGAAATATATTATTTTCCCGCCTGGGGGTAGCCATATATTGAAAAAGGAGTCAAAACTCGTTTTACATGGCAACGTCAATGTTGATGTGCACGTCACGAGGACTTTCAAATATTCCCAGATAAACTGTAGGAAACGTCGTTAGTGGTCATAGCGTGAATGATTTTGAAGTTTGATAGATCGAGTTAAGGTACATTAAAACCGCCATTAATATTTCTTGACAAGTTTTTGTGTTAAATTTTAGGTCTAATAATTACCGTTTACCACCTACCACTGATAACCTTTGGCATCATTTTTGCGCGACATGGTCAAATACCGAGGGTAATGCTCGAGTCTTCTTTGACGGAGTATTGAAAAGTTCAAGATGGGGATATCGAGTAAACATTGTGATTCCAGCTGGAGGAATACTGCGAATAGGACAAAATCAGATAGCTTTCGGAGGAGACCATAACCCTGTATACAGTTACCATGGTAAATTTGCTCGAATAAACATGTGGAGTAAAGTCCTCGATGACTCCGCCATTGTTGCACTAGCGGGAGGGTCTGGTGCCGAGAATGGAGACATCATTTCGTGGAGAGATTTGCGCACAAGGACTCATGGGAATGTTGCTGTGCAATCGGGCAATCTACAACTAACAGGTGGAGGCTTGCTTATCTATTTAAATAGTATAAGAAACAAAGTAGCAATGCATAATTTTTGCATTATTTACCTGGTATTACCCCAAACCGTAAAATCTTATTAGGTTTCTCAGTAAAACGCCGACTTAGAGCTGAAGTCCCTTGTTGTTTTCTTTTCTATCTTTCTTTTTCACTAGACTCTGACACCGATCCTTGTCGGCCTTTGAATGACACTCTCTTACTGTGTTTTTTTTTTTTTTAAATGAAGATATGATCGGAGGGAGAGAAATGACGACAGGAAATACGTAAACAAAAATTCCTTGCTAAACCATGGCTGACTGCGGGTTTAAGAAAATCAATCAGGGTAAAAAATAACCTCTTCTATACCTCAGACCGTGACAAATACAAATTTTACAGAAATAAAATCATTTATCTTACGAGATTAAGTAAAGCGAACTACTACCAAAGTTTCTTTGATCTCAACATATGTAATATGCGTCAAACTTGGAAAGGAATTAAGGAGCTAATTGGAAACTGTAAAAAGAAAAACAAGCGCAACTCAACTAACTCTATTCGCTCAAACCCGAATGAGGTTCCAACTAGTGACCCGAAGGAAATAAGCAATATTCTTAACAAATATTTCGCCACTGTCGGGAGCAAACTGGCTTCTAAAATTCCTCAGACCCTAAATACATTCTATGATTATTTAGATCCGCCACTTAATCGCACTTTCTTCTTTGATCCTATTATTCCGGAAGATATCAATTTAGAAATTTCAATTTTGCAAGACAACAAGGCCCATGGTCTCTACTCATCTCCAGTTAGGCTGCTGAAATTGGCAAAAAGGGTCATATCCGTACCTCTAGCCACGATTTTTAATCAGTCTATTTGCTCAGGGATTTTTCCATCTAAACTAAAGTGTGCTAAGATTATCCCGATATTTAAGGACGAAGATGACACGCTGCCCGAAAACTACCGACCTATTTCTCTGCTCTCGATTTATAACAGGATTTTTGAAAAACTTATGTACTCCAGAGTTACCAAGTTTGTCAAAGATTGCAACATTCTCTATGATCAGCAATACGGTTTTCGCAGTAAGCACAGTACTCAGCATGCTGTACTTGATATTGTTAACACAATTCTCCAAAACATGGACAACGGTAAATTTTCGTGCGGTGTTTTCATCGATCTCAAAAAGGCTTTTGATACTGTTAACCATGAAATTTTGTTAGCTAAACTTGAAAATTATGGTGTTAGAGGTGTAATCAACTCCTGGTTCAGATCATACCTGACTGATCGGAAGCAAACTACGGAAGTTAATAATGTTGTGTCTGAGGCTGAAACGACCTTGTGCGGCGTGCCACAAGGCTCAGTCCTCGGACCACTCTTATTCCTACTGTACATCAATGATATTTACAAATCCTCTTCGTTATTTGCCTTTTATCTATTTGCTGACGATACTAGTATAATACTTGCAAATAACAACCTAAAGGAACTCCAAACACTTGTTAATCGCGAGCTTGGCAAAGTCAACGAATGGCTAAAGGCCAACAAACTGTCCTTGAACATAAAAAAATCAAATTTTGTAATCTTTCGTCCCCGGCAAAAGAATATGCCCTTCATACCTAGGATTAGAATTTTTGACTCCGTGACTAACACCTACGCAAACCTTGAAATGAAAGATTATGTAAAATATCTTGGCTTAATGATTGATTCAAATCTTTCATGGAAATACCACATCGAATCTATCTGTCACAAAATCAGCAAGTCGATAGGAATTATTGCTAAAATTCGACATTATGTCCCGCGTCGTGTTTTACTTTCAGTTTACAACTCATTAATTGTCCCTTACTTGACTTATGGTATTTGTGGTTGGGGAAATTGTGCCTTGACATTTCAAAGAAAGATCGTAACTCTACAAAAACGGGCCTTACGTCTCATTTACTTCAGTAAGTCTAAGGAACACGCCGTACCCTTCTTTCTCAAATCAAATTGCCTTCCCCTGCCTAGCATATTTTTCAGAGATTGTAGCTATTTATTGTATGATATCAACAGACAGACAGCACCAGTTAGTATTCTCAATCAGTTCGTTAAAACAAGTCAGATTCATAACTACACAACAAGATCTGTCTCTAGCGACTCGTTTTATGTTAAGTTCTGTAGAACCGATAAAATGTATGCCTTTTTCACGAGAATCGGTGCCCAAATTTGGAACTCTATTCCGTATTCGATTAAAATACTTAAACGTTCGTCCTTTCGTAAAAAAATAAAGGAATTATTACTAAATTTTTTGCGGTCAGAAGATGATTATGTCGAAGTCTCCCGTCTTATTAAGTTATTTAATACTTTAGGTTAGCCTCTCTTCGTAATCGTTATGTACATGCCTTGTTTTATGTTAGTTTAAATTCTATTTACTGTATTCTAGTGTCTTCACTGTTATTTAGTCCATCTATATATAAATCTTGTTTTGTAATATGTCTTCAGCTCCCCCCGCCTCGATTAGTTCATAAGCGATTTGCGGGTGGGAAAGTAATGTAATTAGTTATTTTCCAATTTTCAATAAAATTTGTTGTTTTGTTTTTTTGTTTTGTTATACGTCTGCGGTTCGCAGGCTACGGCCCGAAGGGCTCCCAAAAAATTTTCTTAGGTAGCAGCCTTGATCATTGTTTAGCACACAGCAAATGATAATAGTATAAATGGATTGGTAAATAATAAATTTAAGTAAATAAAATTTAAATCAATAAATAAATTTTGGTTATGTTAATGGATTTTAGTGTTCGAAAGTAGTCGCACGTATTTTGTAAGTAGCCGTATTTGCTCTATGGTATGATAGATAACAGAGTAGTCGTCGAGGATAATATACTAGAAATGCCATATATTATTGCAATGTTTTATATCCCTGATTTTTTTTAGCCCAGGAAAGTGACTATGATCTGAATTTTGCGTCGAAATCTACTGCTAATTATGCTGTTTACAATGAGATGCCTTCGCTGACCCAGCTGACTGCATGTGTGTGGATCAGACTGACTCATCAGTCAGTACACTATATATTTTCCTACGCCTCCAACTCCTCGCCAGAAGCCATTGCGTTGGGTTATTATGCAAACTATACTTCACTAACACGCCTTTACTTTAACATCAACGCTTATGATTTTAAGTAAGTCGATTTATCTCGTTTATGTATCTCGAAGTCACTGGTTTTTACCATTTACACTAACCAACCGGGTGGAAATCGTGGGCATGAACATAAAACTATAAGATTTGACGTGGTTGAGAACGACCCGCTACAATGTATATCCAAATTGTCCGAACAAACTAAAGAGAGTTGAAAAATGCATCACCTCTAATCACAGCCCATATTCTCTGAAGCTTGCCAAACGAAATGGTGCAAACTATTTGATTTTCCAGCCGGATTTTCAGGTTTTACCATGTAAATGGTTAAGTATCCCAGGTGTACTCAGTACCATTTACATGAGAAATCAGGAAATTTTGGTTGGAAAAACAAATGATTCTCGTCATTCCGTCTTAGGAGAGCTTCAAGAACACATGGGCTGTGATTTGAGGGGATGCAATATTTGTACCCTTTTTAGTTTTTTCAGCTGATTTGAATATACATTGTAGCAGGTTGTTCTCCCACCACTTCAAATTTTATAGTTTTATGTTTACGTACAGGATTTCCACCCGGGTGGTTTGTGTAAATGGTAAGCACCCAAGGTTTTCGTATGATGTAAATGTTGTTAAGTGTATTATGGTGAATGGGTGTGAGAAGCTTTTGATTGCCTCGGCACTCTTTAGGCTCAGTTATTTTAATTATAGTGACTTGCAATTGTTTGCCATTTTCATATTTGACACATCTCATGACAGGTCGAAAATAGCGTTTCGGAGACACATCTCATGACAAAAGTAACTTTACGGGCCTGAAATCAAAATTCAAATCGTTAAAGAATAAGAGCGCGGGTCCTGGCTAGAACCCCAGACCCCCATTAACTGACAGTTTTATCGGGGACAAAAAAACTTTAAGCTAAACGGAGACCATGCCCGTTAATTATAGAAAGGGACCTGATAACCAAATAGTACCCAAATACAAGGTCTCGACCACGTATATATCTTTGGATACACCTTTTCTTTAAAGGTACCCCCTGGATAGCTTTAATAAAAGGTGTAGTTGAAATTAATGCTCATAGAGAACCTTACTCGAGCACCGTGCCCGGGTACTAAGTGTGATCGCTGTCTTATTTTTACTTCTTGATTTTTAAGGTATATTGACTTATCCCCCGGACTTCATCATGGCGGGTGGCATCACGTGTGTTTCACGTGGTCCAACTCTAATGGAAAGTTGTGTCCGTTTGTGAATGGAGAAGTGCTTACGTGCTTCACTGACTACAAAATCGGTCAGACCATTCCAGGAAACGGAAAGTTCATTCTTGGACAGGAACAGGACGCCTACGGTAAGCTGTTCAATCTACAACGTAAGACTTTTTCTATATATTTAAATTCTTGAATTTGCTTTTATCGACTAAGTTGATAAAATAGATTAACCACTGTAACATTATTAAAGGGGCTATAATGTCACGAGGATATTGCTGTTTTTGGCCATTTCTGTACTTAAACCATTTTTAATGTCCGCCATTTTTCAAGTTCACAATCAAAACAACTCAACCTCGTCCCCAGGTCTTCTCGGTTAACGGTGCCTTAACCTGCAAAAACGCTGCATTTTTGACGTCATTTTCTCGTTAAACACAAAATTCTGCCAAATTTGGTCATCCGTAACTGGTTATGGTGAATTAAACGGGTGCTTTTAGCCAATCAGAATCGGGAAAATATTTTGAATGAATAATAATGCTCTTTTAGAGTTATGAAGAAGACATCAAACAAATTTTATAAGAGAGACCTTTGAACTCAAAGAACTTTGCACACATAAGAGATTAAACCCTTGGATATTCATTCCCATTTTGAGACAAGTACTAGCCGTTCATTGATACCTTAGATTAAAAAATCTTCGAAGAAAGTATTCAAAAGCACACTGAAACGTTATTATGCTGCTCAGTACTAATGCTCATACAATTTATAAATTGTACCTATATCCGTAATTTGCTTTCCTACGAATTTTATTATATATATTTATCCTATATTATCTTCTTCCTTTAAGGTGTTTCGATATAGTTTTTCAGAGGCCATACCGGTATTTTTCAATCGCTTTAATTTCTCCTTGTCTGATCGCTATAAAATTTTTACCAATGACTGACTATAGATTGAAATTTGTCAAAATCTACGTTTTAGTAAAATCGATATTACTATGACAACAATAAACAAAAAACTTTGAAATTGATAAACGCCTAATTTTGCGCGATCTAGACCTGCTACTGAAAATCCAACACTAGGAACTTAAAGTTTGGTGTTTAGCAAATAACCTCCGTGAGAAGTAAAAAATTCTGTGTGTTTGAATTCGACTAAAACGAAAATATATTTCAAACCTTAAATTTTCAATAGCCATGATAGATTATTTTAAAAAAGCGTTATAAATGACTTACATTATTCTTAAGTAGCATCAGAATGTTGCTTAAAATCATATTTTGATGCTAGGAAATTTTGGTGTATTTTCGTTCCCGCGATCTTAAAAACTAACCCGTTTTCTCACCACCTGTCGCGTCTCCCGTATTCTTTTTTTTTTCTTCCTCGGCAAAAATATAAATCAATGCCATGAAAATGAGTCTTAAATTTTCTACACTATTTGCATCAATCTTAGTTTTCAGCAAAAAAGATGGCGGCCAACTTGATAAGCATCAAGAGTGACGGTGTTGTGGAGCCTATTACAAGATTTCTCTCAATATTCAACATAGCACGTTTGGGTGTGGTCGAAACCAGTTTTTTTCTTATTTTCACCTTTACTTCTTATGGCTTTTGATGATTTGTTTTCTTCAAAAGGGGGAGGATTTAATTCCAGCCAAGCATTTTTCGGGAGAATGAGCAGAGTGAACGTGTGGAACTATGTTGTCTCTTCTGCCTTTATACAAGACGAAATGTCCACAGGCTGTGGATCGTGGAATGGGAATGCAGTGGCTTGGTTTTACTTCAAAGACAACATTAATGGGAATATAGAGATAGTCAGGCCTTCATCGTGTTCGCTTGTGGGTAAGTGTGTTCAGTCCCATCCGGGAGTTTATACAAGAGGAAATCAGTTGCCTCGATGCTGTAACGTAAATTACAAGGCACTTGCTGAATCCACCAGCAAACCACAATGGATGCAAAGGAGCGGTCCTATTAATAGGGACTTTACGGGACGGTATGGAGAGGTGCAACTTCGGCGATATGAGGTGAAAATCACTTCCAGTGTCGTCACCACCCCAGTTGAAGTGCGGCACTTTTGCTGACCGTAACCTTGTTTCCGGTACGGCAAATGTCAGTTAATACTCACCTAGTGAGAAGTATGGCCATCAAGGCAGTTTGCCCTACCAGAAAACAAGGCTACGGCCGGCAAAGAGAGCTGTACTGCAACTCGGGTGGTGACGTAGCCGGAGTGATTTTGGCCTCATATCGCCGTAGTAGCACCTCTCAGTAGCGAATCTTTAAGTCTCTAATGTTCGTACAATCAAATTATTTGAGACAGAAACGTTCGTATTTATTGAATTGATTAGAAACCACCCGATTATAATACGCATGCGCCGCTCTCCTTTAACCTAATAAGGAGAAATGCCCTTAATGAGCACTAAGTAATCTGATTTTTTCTCCGACTGCATTTCAGGGTCCACTGTACAGGCAGCTAGAGATGCTTACTGTGGAAGCAGATACTCTGATCCTGCTTGTGGAACAACTATAAGGGCAGCGTTTGATAGAAAATTTAATCAAGTTGGAAAGCGATGGCGCTGCTACTATGATATTGCTCTCACTCCTGATTCGCTCACTCAGTTACCTGTTTATGATACGGACACAAACTCGGAATGTTTACATTCTATTGAAACAGATTTATTGGCCCTAGTTTAGTAAAGGAGGGACTTTTCAGCTGAGAAAAGACAACAGGAGCCTAAGCCACGACAAGGACGGCGGCAGTGAAAACGTCGCTAAAAGTGAATTTGCTTCCTTTCCATTTTTTCACTGCCGTTCATTTTCACTTCGGTAGCCGCTACTCGCCGTTTCTCATTTGCTCACCGCCGCTACAAAAATTTTCATGCATTTCTTCTCCTTCTTTTTCGTCTCCTTTTTTTTTATCTCTCGCTCAAGCTCTTTCTCGGTTATCCACGTCGGTGTAGAAATTAGTATAAAGTCGACGAAAAGACTCGGCTTTTACAGGGTTGTCACTCGTTTCCATCCGCCAAACTGACATTGTCCTGTCAGTGGCTCTCACAAGACATTTCTCTTTTCTTACATGAAATTTCTCTGTCTCTGGAAATTTCTGTTCATTAAAGTCTAAGTCTCTTCAATTTTTAAGGAAAAAAAAAATTCAGAAGTGCACAAGTAGGATTCAATCTGGGAGCATCGGCTCTGCAGTGCATCACTTTGACCCCTACACCACCGAGGATTTGCTGACAATGAATGGTTTGATTTGAATATATATAGCAACAACCGTAACCCTAACCTAACCCTAACCCTAACGCTAACCCTAACTTTGTGTACGAATCATTAATCTATCAACGTCAGTTTGGCGGATGGAAATAAGTGTTGACCCTTTTACAGCCGCAAATTCATCTTCATCTGCGCATGCATAGCGTACATAACTCACAGGCTACCGTCATTTTCCTTGTCCATGAAAGTCCATTAACTCCTGCCATGCCTAAGTATACTGCTGGTTAGAGTTAATATGACATTTGACATTGGCATACATGTAGGGGTGGACGGACGTACGGACAGTTACGTGATTACCAAACTTGATCACTCCAGAAAATACCACAACATACCATAGTGCTCTTCGTTTGTCACCCCAAAATTTTGCATAAGCATTGTTTTCAGTTTCTTTTTGGGCCATTTTAGCTCCCAAGAGAAACTGAAGACAATGCTTATGCAAAATTTTGGGGTGACAAAAAAAGAGTAATAATATATAGATTTAGCCAGGGCTAAAAGCGAAGTTCTCGATAATATTTTTAGTTTGTTCAAAAAAAATATAAAATCGTGCAATGCTAAGCGGCGAAGGCAACGAGAACGATGAGAACACAATAAGTCTTTTTAGCAAAAAAGCAACTTTACACGTGCAGCACACTTTTTTTGTACTTTTCTTTGCCGTTGTTTTGCATGACTATAACGTGAAACTTCCAGAAACTTCCTGGTTACACGTTTTATGGAGGAATTAAATGTTGTACGTGTTCTTTTTCTTTTTTTGTTTTCACTGTCGCTCTTTTCACCCTGGTTGCCGCTAGCATTTCTCATTTTCTCACCGCTGCTACAAAATTTCATGTTGTTCCTCCAACAAAAAAATGTCTCCTTTTTTTGTTTTCTCTCTCGCTCTGGCTCTTTTTCTCCGGCGTTGAGCTTGCTGGCCTCTCGCCCTACTTTCTCTTTCTCTATATTCCAAATTTGTGGGCATCGCAATCAATGTAAGCTTAATCCTTTAGACAACACGGTTACAGAAACATTTTCCGCTTTCCGTTTTCGTCTTTGTTGACCCTTTAGTTATAGGCACTTTCCCGCTAAAATAACTTGACATTTGGCATCGGCTTACATGCAGTAGGTGTACGAATGGTCGGCGTTCGTACGCTACGTCATAACCAAATTTTCTTGCTCTCATAGGCTACCAATTTATCTTAGCAATGGGGCTCCGCCGCGTGCGGGAGCTCCGCTATTATGGTATGTTATGGTATTTTCTGGAGTAGTCAATTTCTCGCATCTGTAGGTTAGCATTTTTTTTACTTATGGTTCTCCTCTGCGCGCGAGAGAACTCCTCTAATATGTTAGTGCAAAATATACACTACCCACTAACAGCAAGCGTTATTCGAAGTGGGTTATGTTTTCTACATTTATAACAAACAAAGTAATTCAGTATTATATTGTTGCTATTAAGTTACTTCCATAGTATTTATATTATATTAACCCTCGGGCGTAAGGGGGAGGGGGTGCTGGTGTTGAACGCCTCCTCGGGTTTTCTCGGGGTGCTGGTGTGGAATGCCCCCTTGGGTTTTTCATTGTATGTTGGCACTTACCCATTTCAGTAGCTATTCCTTTCTGTTTGCGACACGTTTACAGCGAATTTGGTGAAAATCGGCTTTTAAATATAGGAGATTTAAACGACAAAAGTGGTCTGGTTTAAGAGTTGATATGAGCTAGTGTAGAATTAAAGCTTATCAAGATGTAAAGGGAAGCACAGTACAGCTATTATTTATTTTATGTGTTTTATTTTCTACTTTCCGGTAAGTTCGTTATCAGTTTTTCTAAAATGTATCCAACTAAAGATAAAACCATGGAGACTGCGTTTAATTTCTTATGATGTCCAATTCGAAAGTGAATTTTGTCGATTATAGACCTTCGTTAGAAATCCGAGATGGCCACCAAGATGACCACCACGAAGGCCATATAACTGAAATTGGGACTATATTTCGAGATGGGAACATACAAATTCGTTAACTACATATCTTGAGTATCATAAAAATTTAAGCAAGAAAAATGTATCATTAGTGCATGGGAAGCCCCTTCTCCCTACTCGACTAGAATGCTATCACACTCAGTGACACTTGATTTCACCTGGAAATCTTGTTCGTATTCTTTGGCGATGCTAATTTACCTTACAAACTTTACTAATTAAAAATCATAGGTCATGAAAAAAGCTTTAGTTGTGTATCCGAATCACATAGCCTAAAGCAAACTCACAGTGGCAAGACAAGGGTTATATGCCCGGGGGAACTCCTGGGAATCGATGGAGGGTAGTTATATGGTAAATATTAATATGACATTTCCAAGAAACCCATTTAAAACAAAACAAGCACCTAAAAAACCTTCTCTCAAGATATATCCGTAATCATGGATATCAGTTTTGATTAAGCAGAAAGTGATCCCTCGTTATAATAAATTGTAATTTAGAGTAACAAGCTCCGTAGCTCATTATCTCTGGTGTGTAGGCATCCAGAGCTCTTGCTCACGTCATATGCATATCCCGTGGAACTCTCTGTGAGGGCGTTCTCATAGTAACAACGCCATTGTTTTCCAACTTGATCGTCCTTCCTATCAAATACTGCTCTGGTGATAGTTCCTTCACTACAGGACGAACCAGAGAATTGGCTTTGGCAGTAAGCATCTAGCTTGGCTTGTTTTGTAGGCCCTACACAGAGAAAACGATCGATATTGTTTTTTTGTTTATATTTCATTATTTTTTTTTTTTTTTTGGGGGGTGGACTGGACTGGGTATGGGCACTAAACAACTCAATGACTAGGGGAGAGTGGACCAAGAGATAACCTTTCTTGAATTTTCCATTTATATAAACCATGCATATGTGAAAGTTTATCGCTTGTGCTAATTAAAAGTGCCAAGATTTACTCCATTTCATTGCACATTTACCCTACCATTAGCTAAAAATACCAAAACATGTAGTCAGACTAAACAACAACTGTCTTATCAACTAATATAGTCCATCAAGAAATACGGAGATTTTGCTAGCCCTCTTGGAACTCCTGTCTGGGGTCAAAAGAAAAACGCCCCGTGAGTTAACCGTACCTATCAATGAACACCAGGACGGCGTCTCCACCTGCACGTCTCCAAATAAGTTGTTTTTGAAATGATGCCAAGCCACCACGTCACCGCTAACCAATCCGCAGCCTAAAGACATCTTTTCAATGGCATCGTTTGCAAGCACATTACTCCAGATGTTCACCCTACTCATTCTGCCGTAAAATGCCTGATATGTAGAGAAGCTGCCCCCTGAAAAGTAAGGCGAGATATCAGCAAATAGTGTAAAATTATCTACGACTGCATTGACGTTGTTGATTATTTACCTCAAGTGTCTGATACCACGATTATATGGCGCAGACCAAGGGTGACGAAGAGATGGCTGGATAGTGGCCAAGTATTTCATTCATTCATTTAATATTCCTTTGTTTTTTGTTTTTTTTTTTTGGCGAGAGAAGGTTCTTTATGGACTGGACAAAGTTGGTCAATGAAAGATTTATTACTTAGCTAAAAGAATCTTTTTTTCCCGGCGGGAGTAAATCAGGAAATCCCGAGCGGCCAAATAACGCCTATTGTATTTTGCCCGCTCTTGTAGCCAATCAGAACCGGGGAATTGCTTCATCCCATTAACTCCAACTAACCAGTTAATAAAAACAGTGCAAATTCATTGATACATAAACTGGGTGAAATAGTGTCGTGGGATAAAATAGCTTATTTGGACAATTTTACTGAAATGAAAAATGTCTCAAGTTAGACCCATCCTTTTTTTAGATGGCCAAATGTTTTTTCAGTGTCTTCTCAATCAAAAGCATACAGAATTCAACTTTCACGCATTTTCCTGAGAGTGCTTAGAACGAGAAAGAATTATTTGGTAAAGGTCTTTAAAGAAAAGATCCATTGTTTAGTCCTCTCCCCATAGCAAAATGATAAAACTCCTTACATCTGATAACTTTCACTACGACGTACATTCGCACTAAAATTCGTAGTAGATTTACGACGGTTATCAGTTTCCCTGCCAAAATGACACTGGTTCACGAGTGAGCAATACACAGTACAGCTGTATTGAGAAAATATTGTACTCGTCGTCGTCCTCGTCTTAGAGTCTAAAGCTCTCTAATGGTGCTACTGTTTAAATTGATTTTATACCATATGAGTCTTGCTCTTGGCCAAGAAAAAACTTTCCAGTTCCTGCGATGGTTTGGCCCGTTTTATAACTCTCATCATAGCATTTCCTTTCACCATCGACAAAGATGCACCATTGGCCGTCTGTATTTCTCCAGGTTACGCACAAGTGATGCCATCCATCATCATGCATGAAAGCACTTGAAAGGGCATGGTAGCTGCAGTTACATCAATGACAAAAAGAAGAAAATTTGTATGGAGTCAGCTAGTGTGACATGTCCATCGGGGAACATATAACAAGCCTTTATTGTCGACTAGTCTACAGCGCATGCAGTAAGTGTGATGAACTCTGCTGGACCTAGAGCTGCTGGTTCGGTTGTCTGACAATTTTCAATAGACCATTTCCGAGATGCTTTAAGTCTCTGTTTCAAAGCGAGGCTAAGTGGGAAGCCACTGAAATGCAAATAGAACTGATTTTCACAAGATTGGCGAGAACTCGGAAATGGCCTATTTCGTACCTTTCACCGTTAATAAGCTGGGTTTCATTGTGACCAAATGTATCAGGCTTCCTTCAATTTACCCCCACAGCACTGAGTATCAATCTTAAAAGTAATAATTGTGCATACATACATACATACATGCATATAGATACTTTACTGAAAAGTCAATAGTAGGCAGAAGCCAAAGGCTGATGTGTAACAAGACTACTACTGTGAAACAGTGAAAGGTTTCAACAATGAAGCTAGCTGGTCTTGTTTAGTTTCGATATAGTTTTTTTTCCTCTCGTACACGGTTCCTACAAGGCCTGAAAGGATACATGCTTTTACAAACTAATGGTTCTCGGGTCAAAATATCTCCCAAATCCCATCGATAAACAAATGCTCACCGCCAAGAAGGATAGTTGATGTTGAAGTTAATCTCAGCCTCTTCAGAATCGTACCCAAGGGTTAGTGCATCATAATAGGAGCTGGTGGAATAAGAGAAAAAATAATGCGTCCCAGAGTAAGATGTTCTCATCCAAAGGCAGGCTGTCAAACAGGTCATGGATGGCAACGAGCTGTAAGTTGCGTAGTTGCTGGTCGACTTCGAATTAAACAGCAGATCGTAATTGCTTTCTTTAGCTGAAAGACATGAATTTAAGCAAAATTTATAAGATTTGCTGTATTGTTGAACGGCCGTCTTTAGAAAATTTGGTTCCGTTCATCACGAATTCTGCTTGACGGCAACAGAATATCCCCTGAAACATTTCTCATATTGTGGTCAACATTTCATTTCTGATCTGTTTTGAACCACTTTTCAATGTCTTTTCAAGTTATTGTAATATATTTAGATTCAACGCTCGAAACAAAAACAAAAGTGAACCACAGTTCTAAAAGCAGCAAGGTTTTTCAATAGCGCCTGAAACCTTTCAATGACTACATTTTGTTTTTGGCCTTATTCAACCTTATATATATTTTACGTAGTTTTTAAGTCTTACCAAGTGGCTGAGGATCGGTGCCATCTTGAACTGACACTAGTCCGCTGAATATTGATGTGCGTATGTCTCTCCAGGACAGAAAATTTCCAATTTCTGCTCCAGGTGTTAAAGCTAGTGCCTCTATCACAGAATCCGCCAGAACCGTGTTCCAAATGTTGATTCTCGTCAGCTCACCTTCGTATGCTTTGCTACTTGAATGACTTCCACCAACCTCCAGTTGTTTTTGTCCAATTCTCAGGATTCCTCCCTCTGGGACAGTAAAATTTTCGCGGTATCCAGAAATTCTTTTTATCCGTGATCCATCTAAGAAAAACTGGACTTTGCCCAGAAAACTGCTCCATGTTAAACAAATATGATGCCAAAGACCGCCGTTCATACCAGGCATGTAGTACCTTTTGTAATTGCTAATGATACATAATGAAGTACAATTAACAATTGCAATTGTGCAGACATGCACAATTAACCCAGAACTTGGGCATTCATATAATTCATATAAACCCATTACTGGTATAGTTTCGTTAGACAGTATTACTTCCGTTTAAGTGACGCTTTACAGCGAAGGAACATTTCTTGATATCTAGCTTGCTGGCAAGCTGTAAGTTTTAACTTGAAGATAGAGGCTCTTCATTTCCGGTTTAAGAAAAATTTGCTGAGGACGCTCATTTCGTCGTACTAATGCGTATTGAGCGAAAGCAGTCCTAGTTCTTCTTCAGGGGACTTAGGTGAGCAAGTTTCGTATGATGACGATGAAGCAGCTTTTCAGGCCGGATTCCGGATTCTGACTGACTGACTGACTGACTGACTAATACACACACTTAATGAAAAGCCCGAAACCTCTGAATTAAAGGGATCAACTCAAACCTGGGCAAAAAAAAAAACACACATACATAGGTCACAAGTGTAAGTCACCGAGATAAGCATTTTCCCTAAAACTAAAACTCTATGATTGTGATTAGGGTTATGAGACACTTCAAGTGTTGTTTATTTACCCTAACACTGACCTGTACTCTAACCTGCACTTAATTGCGACCTGTGACGTGAGACCTGCATGTTGTACCTACCGTCAAATCAAAACCATAATGCTTACCTAGAAGACATGACATACAGGTTCAAGGGTCCATTGCGCCCAAAACCCACATAGAGAGAGTTTATTTCTTCACTGGTCGCATAGTGGACAATCGCGGCATCAGCAAGAAGTTTCGTCTTCATCCAAAATGAGACTGTCAAATGCTTAAGTGATGGCATCACAGTGGACGGTTGTATGTAGTTGTTAACACTCTTCGATGCAAAGTCCACCACGAATTCAGTGTCTGAAACTGAAATGAGAGCACGTCACAAACAATTTTTTCAGCAAATAGTAAACAAACCAACCGATAATGACAATATTTTATTACAGTCGAGCCTCACGTAACCCACCACCCAACTAAAATGTAAAGACTTAGTGGTCGCGTACGGGAAATGGTCGTTTACAAGAATCGAACCACAGGGCGCCTCTTCCGAGACGATTTCTAGGCATATCTACTTTATGGGAGATAATTTATTGCATGCAATGTCTAATTTACGACATGAGTAGTTCCATGTTCGTATATTCTACGTAGCGTTGTGCACACAGCGAACATAAAGATCAGAGAATGCGTTAAGTGGTCGCTTACAAGAGGTTAAAGACAATGGAAAATCATTAACCATCAGGCCCAAAAAGGGGTCGCGGTCGCTTACAGGGGGTGGTCGTTTACTAGAGTTACCAACAGTAAGGCTCTGACTGGGAAAATGTTGGTGTTTATGATTGGCGGTGGTCGCACATGGAGGTTCGACTTTATTAGTGGTTTTTGCAAACTCTGTTAATTTCGTGCATGCTTACCAATGGAAATAGGACTGCCAGGTGAGAGGATATTCACATCTCCATTAATACCATGTCGAAACTCTCTCCAATCTGTAACATTTCCTAATTCTTGACTTTTTGACCGTGACATCTCTCTGATTTTGCTGTCGTCCAATTTCGCGCTCCATACGTTTACTGATGCAATCTCCCCTGTAAAAGGTTCTTCCGGGGTTGATACTCCGCTTTGCATCTTGCCAACAGTCAACCTTCCTGGGCCAACTTCCCTGCCAACCCGCAAGTTCTTTTCGGACGTCATTACGAATCCATCAAGAATTACAGCCCAGGAACCGAGGATGTTCTCCCACGTGAAGCACAAGAGATGCCATAGTCCATTGTTAAAAGGTGGAAGATCGACGTCTCTGTATAGATAAGACTGACTGTTATCTTTGTAAGGGCCTAACGTGAGCCCGGTAGACCGGGCTGGCCCGCTTACCGGAATCGATTACGCCTTGGGTTTATATGAGAACAGCCCGGTTTAGGAGATGAGAACAGGCCGAAGACCGACGATCCTGAGGAGGAGTTGTAGTGCGAAATTCAAGTAACAACGCAAACATGAGACACAAAGATACAACTTTCGTGGCCATCATAGCTTTGGCAACACTTACAGCTGTGTCACTGATGCAGTTAAATAGAATGCTTATGATGTGGAAAATACAGCAGGCAAAGTAAGACGAAACAGAATTCATTCGAAGAATCCATCCCGCTTCCATCACGGTAACCTGGCTGAACCGCTGAAGTGTTCAAATGGCACAATTTTCCAGCCTGCTAACCGAGATCTCGGAAACTGAGCCAGCCTACCCTCTCATATGAACACATCAAAAATGTTAAAAAGGATTCAGAGGCAAGGCGTGATCTCGGAAACCGGGCCTGCACGGTCAACCGGGCTCGTGAAAAGGGGCCCTAATTGCTGCTTTCCTTTATCTAATATTAAACCAACAGGCAGCACACAACTATTCAGATAGAAATTATAAAAAAACCGGGGCAATCAATGTTATGACCGCTTAACTAGTCAAGGGGGACAAATAAATTTGGGCGGTCAACCAATCATTCTTATGTAATTTAATCTCTAATCAAAGCTCTATTTAGAATCGTCTCTTATCCAAATTCCGGAATCCGGGAAATTTTTGCTTGTAACATCTAGAGTATGGAATCCGGAAAACAGCTCGATCAAGGAAATCAATGTGGAATCCATCCCAATAATTGCTGAAATCCGGAATCCGAATCCTAGTTTCGCTTACAAAGATTACGGAGTCCAGTTCTTGGAATCCGGAATCCACGGCGTTAAATCCAGATTTTAATATTGTCTTGGACTCCCTTACACGGGGCTATTAAAACGTAAATGCCAGTAATATCAGGTATATCTTACTTGCCAACCCCTATTATGGTAAGTCTGCATTGTTTAGTGTCCAAACAGCGGAACGTTAAATGTTTTTGATTTTCTAGGGAAACAAGTGACAGGAAAGTCATCCAATTCCACTTCCTCGTTGTCTTCAGCCACATACAAGCCGTTAGCTGTGCCAATGTTTCGTGTATTTCTGTTTCAAGGTAATCATTCGCATTCTCCCTTTCAAAAGCAGCTGTATAATTTTGGGCATTATCTGAAAGTAAAATATGACTTTCTTCAGATCTTTAATGGATACTCAAGAACAAATTAAAGTAAAAACCAAAATCGACCTTTTAGTTAAAATGACTTTTCGAAACATATGAACTAAATGAACCGTTAATAATCTTTTCACGTCGCGCAACAGCATAAATGATAATTATTATATAGGATGATGAGGAGGAGGATTATGATGATGATGAGGAGGAGGAGGAGGAGGAATAGGAGGAGAAGGAGGAGAAGGAGGGGGTGATGATTATGTTGATGAAGATGAGAATGAGGAGAAGGAAGATTATGATGATGATAATGATGATGATAATTTTATGATGATGATAATGATGATGATAATTTTATGATGATGATAATGATGATGATGATGATAATGATGATGAGGAGGAAGAGGATGATCATGATGATGATGATGATGATGATCATGATGATGATGATGATGATGATGATAATGATGATGAGGAGGAAGAGGATGATGATGATGATGATGGTCATCGAGGCCAAGGGAAGGTGAAGATGCTCAGTTGCGTGGCAAAGACAGTAATAACTCCTCTCTGAAACCGAGAAAGTCAACAGCATAAAAACAGATAAGTACTGAATGACTTCACACTTCTTTAACTACTTCTTCTTATAATAATAACTCTTTTTATTACCATTTTCAACGAAAGCTTCGCCCTTGATAGAATTAGAGGCTTAAGAATGGAGAAACGTGTTTTTCACCATTCACTGGTTTAGCAACTCTACCTGCGCTAGCTTGAACCAAGTGCATCGATTCCGGCAGGCGGATTAATAGTACTTTCTTACTTTCTCCTTACCTGTCCAATACTGACACTTGTCACCATTCCTTCCGTCAATACACAAACACTTGTATCCAGACCCTTCCACACAAGAACCTTGACATGTCCCGTCGTTAATGCATGGCGACGAAGTACATTCATCGGGTACCTAGTACGTCCAGGTAGTTAAAGTTGATGTCACAAGCACAGATGATTAAACTTATTAAACCTACACGCTCTAAGAAATTCTCCATGCTATGCCAATTAGAATACCATTGCCAGCAACAGACGTCTATGAGATAGCAGCAGTCTATGGATAATTGCGTTTATTAATTGATTACATAGCAAACACATTCAACTAACCGTCTGTTTTCGTGACTACAAATACCCTGAAATTAGCTGGTGATCAGCGTATTTTATTAGAGAGAGCACTAACTGGTTGCCATCACGCCTTATCAAGACATATTTATCGGTTCGCTTCAATCCCCCGGGCCCCGAAGCACTCGACAAAGTTTTGTACGGGGAGGCTCCGCCCCGAATTCCAACCCCTTACTCAGTTTTAAATTAACATAAAAGATCCCCCTTCCGTGTACCTTCTATTGACAAATGGTACCTCTTTTACGTACCAAGTTTAGAGTGCGGGAAGTTTTCTTCTCTTTTCGAAGCCATTAAATGCGTCTGTTAGCCCTTTTAGGTCCTTTTACAGACAAAAGGCAGATTTCTTTACCCTTTTATATAATTCAGAATTAAATCCCTACCCTTTCATACACCTGAAGCCTGAAAAAGGTACCCATTTCAAAGGGAGCCTTCCTGTATAGGGACTACACCCTCCAAACCGGGGTCAAAACCTTACTTACTTATTTCTTCTGGTATATCTACTTATGAGCAATGTTCCAATTTTAAGTAAGCTTGTTACTTGATGTTAAACACAAATGACCGCACAACCCTTCGGTGTAATCATAGAATATTTCACCATGATTTTGAAACAGCATTAGATCATGATGATGATGATGATGATGATGATGATGGAGATGATGATGATGAGGGTCAACCAATTAACTGTTTGTCAGAACACATAGGTTTCTTACATTTCTTCCTGTGCCGTAATAAGAATAACCAGGTCTGCTCATCAGATCAGTCGATTTCGTAATTTTACTCTCACTGTTCAGCTCACACCCATGATCCAATTTCTCACCCTTTTCGTAGTTGTACGAAAGACAACGACCATTATTCAAACATTTGAACGCGCAATCAAGTCTTGAAGAGACATTGTACTTGAAGATCACATGACCAGCAAGGGTGTGCTCTGTAATTCATAAGAAGAATGGAGTATAACATTGAATAATGTGTGTACAACTTCCTTTCCATGGTGGGAGCGAATTTCAGTGAGTGTAATGATGTTTTTAGTTGGCTGTCACGCTTTAGCCTGATGATATAAAGAAACAGGCTATCACCAGACACTAGATTAGCGAAAAATCGTCGAATCAGCAAGTATGGTCATCGGAAGGAAAAGAATAACTTCACAGTGTGAAAGCAACAAAAGACGAGCATATTTTGCCCTCCTGCTAGGACCATTAATGTTGCCCGTGAAAACTGGAGGTTTCCTTAACTGGGAGCGGCATACAGATAATGAGCACGGGAAAAAGAAACGATAAAATAAAAAAATGGGAAAAGGACATAAATTAAACCATTACTCATTCCCGTTTTGTTCCCATTTTTCATTTCCTGCTCGATGCTGCCTCGTACCCTTGTGCCTTCTGTACCACTTAAATAACGTAAAGGCATAAGGGAAGGTTCAACGTGAAAAGCGAAGCGCTGGCACCTCCCGTTTTTTGCCCTTCCCATGACCCCTTGCGCACGACTACCGCAGAAAATTCCATGGGTACGAGGCAGCGTTCCTCGTGGTCGTTTCCCTTTCCCTGTTCCATGGTTTAGTCACCCGTGAAAACTCTGTTTAAAAATTTCCTGTATTAATTACATGATCAAGTTTTAATGCCATTGTAAAAACACCGTGTGACGCTACAGAAACAGGCTATGGGGAGAGTGCAGAGAAACAAAACAACTGGCGTAACGCTTTTGTCCTTGTTTTGTTTTGCTTTTCTTCCCATGCCGTTTCAACAAAGTCAAACCAGGAGATCAATGGTCAGGGGTAATTTAATAAAATTATACACCAAAAGTTTTTGTTAATTAATACACACAGTATATCGCCATAAACATGCTCTTGTACCGATTTGTCAGATATTTTGTTAGGATGTCTTTCCACTTTTTTTCTTTCCAATTTATTTAAATCCCTCCCGGCCCATTCCAATAATAAAAATTTCAAGGTTATTTAAAATGATAGATCTAATCTTAAACTCCTGTCTTAAACGATAAAGATAGTGATATTAATAGTGCAAGTATGGAGTCAACTTTTGGAACTAAATTTATAATTTATAACCTTGAACCTTGTCTTTTAATATCTGTCATTTTTTCGATTTTTTTTTTTTATTTTGCCCTACCTACATTTTTTATTTTCTTATAAAAATATTCTACCATGCATTTACAGTCATAGAAGCTACGGCATTTGATAAGACAGTCAAATTAGCTTAATTATTTCGCAAATTATTGGTGAAAGAAGAAGAAAGCATGCCTAGGGTTTTATTTCTGATCAATGCAGTTTCTGCGTTCAAAAGTAAAGTTACGCTGTAAACCTGATGGGCGGGTTATTTAAACGGTATTTAACCAGTGTTTAACAAAACCGCGTTCTAAGTCATTTTCAGTTCAGTTGCCCAACGCTTTTTTTCTAGGCACCATTTGTCGTGAACAGTTTCATTAAAGCATATAGAGTAGACTAGAAAAGCATTTATCTTATTAAATAGACCTACTAAAGGAGAGATCTGTAGGTCCAAAGATTTCTTAAACTGCGGTCTAAGTTAGACCTCATTAAGTAACCGACCCAATCAGTTTGATATCTTAACGGAAGGGCATACTTTTTCATTTTAGAAGAAAAAAGAACGGCGAAATGCAAAAAAAGGGGGAAACGTTTCCTTGAATAGCATTATGTCAACATACACACATCCTTACCTTTAACAAGAACACTAAAGTTTCCGATTCTTTTGCATGGACTCCTGTATAGAGAATTTTGCCCGGAAGAAAAAGAGACATAAAGTAAAGCTAAAGTTAATACAGCTCTCATATTAATTCGCGAGTCCACTCTCGCCAATAAAACTTTTGGACTCAGATTAAAAATGGATATTACTTCAACAGACGTCAGCAAATTAGTATAAACAAAGTTGCCACCTTAAGATGTGTGTACTCATTGGGGCTCCCCTGGGGTGTGTACACAGCCGGGTGATGCGCTCCCTCTAACAAATAGATTCCACGGAGCCGTGCGTCTGTTCAGTAATAGATTACAGATGATGTCAAAATACGGTAAGAACAAAAAACCTCGCACACGAGCAGCGGGCGAGTGTGTTATTGATGTGTTAAGGCAACTGTTGTGAAGATTTCCAAGGCATTTTCAAGAAGCCAAGAACTCCTTCTGTCTCGGTTCTTCCATTTTTTATAACTTGTAAACAGATCCTGTTAAACTTGGCTCACATCATTCTACATGCAATCTTTAGCAGTTTTTCTTCACTTTGATTAAGGTAGTTGTCAAGGCCAAGTTTCTCCAAACAGAGACAATCCTCCACACTGGTAAACCCACGACTCCACTGTGTTGCACGCAACAGCGGCACAGCTTATGTTGATAGTATGTTCTCACCATGTCTCCGCCTCTGAGTTTTGACCTCATAACTTTCTTGACTCTTCTAACATCATCATCATCATCATCAAAGTCGTCATCATCTTTATCGCTTTTAAGATGATGATAATGATTATTGTTGATGTTCAAGGTAATATCTATCTGGAACTATCGAAATTGGAGAGAGAGAGGGGGGAAAGGGAAAGTTCTCGAAAGCACATAGAATTAATTATGATGCTCGTTTCACCGATGTCGCATGCATTAATCCCGTTCAAAAAACAAACAAAATATGATGTGATAACTGAAAACAAAATAAAAATATGCTGAAACCAGTTGGACCTCATATCAGCCAACTCTGCATTAATATCCCACCTTGATTATCTACAGGAACTCAGGTGACGAGATCTTAGTCTTACTTTGCGCTATTTTTATTTAGGTTAGGTAAAACGGGCAACAAAAAACCTGCAACTTCTTTCGCAACATTGCTGCATAACTAGCTGAATAGCGATGTTGCGTGGTTTTAACACTGACGAAAAAAACTTGCCACCTTACAGGTTCGAACGTGGGTAGTAAAACGCGCAACATCTCTAATCGCTGACTCGTTTTGCAGCAATGTTGCGAAACAAGTTGCACGTTTTTTGTTACCCATTTTAATGTAGCTTGACCTGTATTTATTTATTTTTTCCTTTTGGAACTCATAATCGCTAAGAGATTTTAAGACCGTAAAAAGGATTGGTCCAAACTCGGGCCACTTTTATGCTTCAAAACAAAATTGTTTCCTCAGCTACAAATCAATGATAAAGTAAGACTCAAGAAATTACTATGTATGCAGACTATGCAGTTATTATTTTGCCGTTGAGAAGCGGTTTTCGAAAAGCACGATTTTCGAATTTAAGGAAACACGGTCAATTTAGGTTTCTGGGAAATTACCTACCTACCCCTCCCCTAAGCCAACATTTTGCCTTAAGTGAGAAGTAAGTGTTAATATTAGGGAGCTTAAGCAACAACGTTTTTGAGCGACGCACGTCAACCGGAAGTGGCCTTTTTTCATTTTTTTGACAGTGGTTTCGCCCAAATTTTCAGTCAAATCGCCTCTGTAACAGTAAAGAAGCTAAGGAATACAAATTTTATATCATCAAGGCATGTTAAGAGGGAAAATACCTCACTTCCGGTTGACGTGCGTCGCTCAAAAACGTCGCTGCTTAAGCTCCCTATTAGCTTAGCGGGGGAGTGGGTGGGCGGTTTCACAGAAACCTCACCTCATGCTGGAACTCTTCTATTTTAAATTACAAATCGAACTATCCCGCTGTCAGTCTTATTAAACTGACTGTTATATTTTTCTTCGCTTTTCTTTTTTTATTGAACCGAGCAGCTGCGGAAATCAATCTCACAGAAAGACCTTCGAATTAACTAAAGGAAGTACAATGTTTCTTTACCACTAACTTGCGAAAACTACACGTAATGGGAATGAATTCAAATTTAAAGGTTCGTACGAAGACAGAAACGAAAAAGCAAACGAAAAACAACTTTATGATATCGAAAATAGCCCGTGATTTGGAAGAGAAACCTTTAATTATTGAATTGAAAAGATTATTGGGTAATGCAAAATAAACCAAGAAAGACTCACAACAATATTTGTAGGTTTAATTACAGCAAGTAATGATACAGCAACGCGACACAATGACTTATTAAATTTTACAATAGATATTAGACTTTCTTTTATTAAAACGGGCCAACCAAAAAGTCACAGCAATGAAAAAGAATAACAAAAAAGGCTGAGAAAAAGAAAACTTCAGTCCAGTCAGTAGCTGTAGTATAATCTCGGTAGCATCTAGAGTAGCTGCTGGCTATCCGATTTTCTCTTAGATAGTCGAGTTCTTAGACAGTGCAGACAAGGGATGTTTGTCAATTATGTTCAGCTGCTGCTGAAAGCGAGTTTAACCAACAATAACCTGAGTCTAATTCATCTACCCGGATACCGAATCAAACTGTCATACACATTTTAAATTTTATTTCTCATTAATTTTTGTCACAGCAGTAAATGGCCTCAAACCTTTGTCGATGTATTTCTCTGTGGAAAAGAACACGATCGCGTGTTCTTTGGTTTCTGCAGCAAGTGGTCTGGTTCGCTAGAGCTCCGTCCCTTTTGTGCGCTACACTCATTGTGATTACGCTCATTTTCAAAAGTGTTAGCGGAGAAAAATTGCGCGGAAGCTGCAAGTGAGTTCGCTGCTTGCTCCTTAAACGACCCCAACGCGTTTTGAAAATCTGTTTTAAAGAAAGTGTACAGTAAAGGATTCACAAGAGCTGTGCTAAACTTCAAAAACAGTAAGACGATATTAAGCCATTGCGGGAAGTTGTTAACGCTGTCCGGTTGAATATCGTCCATTATTCCTGCGAAGAAATAACCGGACCAAGCAAAAAGAAACATGATTGCCATTGCTATGTAGATGCATGTTGCTCTTATTTCGTTTCTTGACTTTTTCCTTTTAATACGTCGTGCGGGTACAGTTTCCGTGCTTTCTAAAAGTAGGCTTGGTCTTCGTTGACCCCAGATAACACAGAAAATACGAAGATAAGCGTAAACCATTATTACAAAGGGGATAAAAACAAAAACAATTGCACATACAACTAAATAAAATGCATCTATTTGGTGAGAATGACCGGGCATTGCGCTGCTTTTTATATCGATCCAAGTTAGTTGTATGAACGATGAGAAAAGAGCCGTAGACCATATAACAAGGAGGACTATAGCCACTTTACGGCTAGTTAATACGGATAAATATCGAAGTGGTAAAAGGATCTTGAGATATCGTTCCAGTGTTGCTGCTAACAAGTGAAGAATGGTTGATATTGCGAGAAATCTCTGAGATAAATCCATCCCAAGGCAAATAATCCAGCCGTAAAAACTCTCACGGAATACATTGCAGGCTATTACGAGAGGAATACACAAGATTCCTGCTGAAAAATCCGAGGCAGCCAGCGACACTAGAAAGACATTCGATTTCGTTCGAAGATAACTCCGTTTAGCAAATAATGTGAAAACCATCGCATTTGCCACAATTATAAAAACACCAAGAAGCCCCAAAAAAGAAAAGCTGATATATAAGCTAGTCAAATCTTCTTCTTGAACCGAGTTGTTCAACGGAGGATCCATATCAAAAGTTGTGATATTCTCGTAGGAAGCCATAGCTCTGGCCAATTTTACAGTTTGGATTTCAAAAAATCTCACTGCTCAGTCCTGTTGATGTTATTAAAATATTAAAATCTAAAGCTCTGTTTAGTAGTTCAGCTTGCCTTGAGTAATTGCTGCATTGTTTTTAAATTCAAAGAAGAAAATGAACAGCCATTGTGTGGCACGTACCAGGGTTTTTCCATTTCTGTTTCCGTAATTTGCATATTTCATCAGTCACTTAGCGGGAATTGGAATTTGTTAACAAGGTCCTTCTTATGTTTGATTGTCTTTGCACAGTATATCCCGCAAATTCAGGAAGGAAATTAATCAAAAATGCTTGTATCAGTCACGCTACACCCTCATGACACTAGAATATTTTAGCAAAAAGTAATATGTAATGTTCGCTCCATCTGGAAAAAGATTCAGGAATAAAATGTCCACCTTCCCTCTCCTCGCTTGGAACGCTCTTATCAGAAATTTGCCGAATAGCTGATAAGGGGAAATTACCACCGTGAATTAATTCAGGAGTTGACGTTTGAGACGCTTGTCCATTACGGTGGCTGGATTCATTTGTCAAACATGTTCTAAAAGAGAAATTTTCCCCGCTTCACGTCCCCATGGATGCAGCATCACAATGTTTTCAAACAAGAGTAAATCCTGTATTACTTCATTCCTGTTGCGAACAAAACTGGATTTTGAGGTCCTTTATAGTAGTTTGTTTCATAAAGGTATAGTCGTTTTCGTGCTAGCAATTCAGGGAATAAAAGCAGGGCAAATAAAAATGGCAAAAGTTGAAAAAATAAGAAAAAAAAAACTATAATATCATGCATGGCAAAGTTCCACGGTAAAGTCAAAAACAAAAAAGACTAAGAAGAAGAAGAAGAAAAAATCAACTATAAACGCTATGGACCTTTTTCACCTGAAACTGAATTTAATTTGCTTGTGAATGGAAACCGATTTTTTATAAGTAAGAATGAGCACTTCTTTAAAACATGTCCTGTTTTGTTTTCTTCTATTTTTATTTATTTATTTGTTTGTTCATTTTACAAGACAGTAAAAACTGCAAAAATTAATATACTGGCAACTTAACTTGTAAAATGACCTATCTGCCCTTCAAACTTTATTGTTGCTGTTAATGTCATTTTTATCCAAATGCATTATTTGATTATGACGGTACACAAATGTTGTGTACTATATGTTCATGATCTCTTAGTCCTTCTTAAGAGAAATATATTTTCTCCACCCCGTCCTCTCTTCAGGATCTGGCAATTCGTTAGGATTTAACGGTACATCTGGTATTTCCTGTTGGAAAGCAAATGATAAAAAATTGTAGAAGAGTGCTCTGCTGATGATTTAATATCTTTATTTCATTTGTTATAACCACAATTAAATAATAACATGATTGTTTTGATAAACACTAAAGTAAGCCTGAAGTCTGGTATTACAGGGTTTAAGGATTAGTGCATGTGCATGTAAGACTGTGGATTCCAGAATCCAAGACTGTCTTGAACAGCTACCTTACATGGGGTGAGAAAACTTAACGGACCATTAGACATTTCTGGGAAACTGCCCACCTACCCCTCCCCTAAGCCAACATTAACACTTTCTTCTAACTTAGGGCAAAATGTTGGCTTAGTGGAGAGGTAGGTGGGCAGTTTCCCCAAAACATATAATGATCCAACTTAACTGCTTACCAGACTTGGTTTGTAGTACAAATGAACCACCTGACTTCCTGCTAATGCTGATGCTAAACTTGCAGCAAGAAAGGTCAGGTATCTACCCCACGATACGCCAGCTGGCATGATGCTCTTTGTCAATGTTCTTCTTGTTCTTGATTCTGTCTTTCTAGTCTTCTTTCTGACTGTTTTCTAACATAAACGTCATCTGTATTGCAAAAGGGAAAATCAATACGGACTTGATTAAGCTGGCATATAAGTAAAAGTCATCAACCTTCAAAAGTAATAATAATATTAACAACAACCACAACAAAGACTTCCTGAATTATAAAATGGTTCAATTACCAGATTAAAATAATTTAAATTATTTGAATCTGGCAATTTAGCCGTTCCATAAGTCAGGAACTTTTTGCTCTTGTAAGTGGCCTCTCCCGTGTAAGCAACCCCGATGACTTTGTTGATTCACAGATGAATTGGCAATCAACAGGATATGCTTGGAAGCAACTGCCATAAATTATTTTAACACATGGTCACTTACAATAAACCATTCTTGTACAAGACCATCACTAGTAGCCACCACTTTTATAAATTCCCGCCGGTGGTTGAGATTTGACTGCGTTTACTAAGGGCAAAATAAAAAGGGCTAAGGTTGCACTATCAATGTTGACTCCTAAAGTCAATGGACATTCTGAGAGTTAACCCAGCACATCTTATTTTCTGATTGGCTACAAAACTTCAAGGCAGGACCACACCAGAAAATCCCGAGCATACATGTACAAGATAAACCCATCCTGCTGGAAAAAGTCGCTTCCCCATATCAGAAACTGACCATCGGCATGTTCAATTATTAACGTGACTGGATTTAATATTGCTTCGTTCCTTTTGCAATTTTCCTGACCTTCACTTCGTCTCGGTCCCTCAAAACGTAATAAAAAAACGAAGCCGATATCCAGCCTTCTTTACTGTCCAAGTTTGGTCAATAACGCGCGCGAATATCTTTTGATCTATCAGCTCAAGAAAGCCTACAACTTGAGTTTTAGTTCTGGAAGGATACTTACAGAAAGTTTCTCTCCCGACACGGACTTTTATCATAAACAACTCTATACCGGCTCCAAGAAGAAAAAACAATGGCAAGAATTTATAGACACCAAGGCGCCTAGTAAATGCTGCCAGCTTTCCTTGCCGCATTAAACCGTGGTTTCAATAAAAATTGTAAAATACCTTGACCATCGTCGCCATTAGATTCAGTACACAATGTAAAGGCATACGTGAGGTACAAACCGAACGTTACTACCGCTGAATACTAAAGCTGTGTCTGCAGGCACACAGTCGCCGATGTAAACAGTAGTTTCATAACTTCATCCTTTCTGATTCTTTGTCTCAAGGAATACGATGAGTCAGAAGCGGGAAAACAGTGTTCGATACAGTCCATACTTGTAAGTGAATAATTCTTCTGTGAACGACATCCTCTCTGTTAGCGATCTATCAATATACGAGCCGGCAAAAAAAGGTTGAACAGCTGGACTCAGACCCGGCACATTTAATCGAATATTTGGTTACCGAAATGAATCGAAATTAATGGAATTCATTCGAGCGATTGAGTTCGATTGCCGAAAGCGATCGAACAAACTCTATCTGGCAAAAATATTTGGCCCATCGTAAGCAATCGAAACTTTAATATTGCCAATAGCGTTTATGCTAATCCGGCAATGGAGCGGCCAGCGGTCGCTCAAATACATGGTATGAAATTACAATATTTACATGGTATTGAATTACATGGTATGAAAATAAACGATGTATGTTAAAGTAGTGGACACTCTTCGGATAAACTCTGGGTAACATGCCGAACTGACAACATCAGGTGGTAACGCATTCCATGCAGGGATTGATCTCACATAGAAAGAGTGTTTGTAGCAGGGTGAAGTCCAAAAAAAATTATTCATGCAAGCCAAATTTAACTTAAGAAATGAGGGAAATGTAAACGAAAAAATATTCACGCAGCTCGTAAAATCCCCACCCCACCTTACCTTTTTCAATAGTGGGCCTGTTATATGTATTTTTGAATTTCCTTTCATCTTGATTGGCAAATCGACAAAGACATTTTTAACTGGCCAATCATGGCACATACTCAAATCCTGGTAGAGGACACTGTGTTCGCCACTAGCGGAGAACTCATAAATGAAACGACAATGCTAGAGCAGAGTGACTGATGAGGGGAATCCATGTTGTCCCACCTAGGGCTTGACCAAACTAAACTAAACAAACTAACTTATTTTCAAGGAGAAAATAAATTTGGTTCACCCCCTCTGTCTTTCCACTGGTTTCTCTTGTCCACTCAGTCTTGGTCTCTGTATTGTGCAAGCATAGCCAGCCAGACAAAAATGGTGTCTGCTCTGAAAATTGAGAGTATTCTAATCCATGTACCTTCTTTGTTTTCCAGTGCTCTCTCAGCATTAAGTTTGCCACCGTTTGCTTGACCTTTTGACTACCAAATGTGACATAATTTGATAAATTTAAATAATGATTTTGTCTCCAATGTCACAGGATGTGAATTTCTTTCATTATTTTAGCATTAAGAACCTAGTGACAAGTGATGTCACAGATGAAGCTGAACAGGACACCAGTACTTGCAGGCAAGAACCAGGAAAATCACCCAAGAAACAAAGGCGACCAGTTAATAGATTTGGAGATATGACTGAGGAAGAAGTACTCAACTTGAAATTACCTGAGCATTTGGGATACAATCTGGATATATTATTTGTAAGTGTGCTGTGCATGTCAGCACTTCAAATGCTGAAAAATAACTAAATGCCTTAAAACAAAAATGTCAATTATTAAGGCCTGTCAAACAAATCTCCAGAAAAACTCTAAACAATTTTAGGCCCTCATTTCATTTGTCGATGTCCAGCCCATTATATTATCAAAAAGAGGTGGAGAAAAGTACTGTCTATGTAAAAAATATAAATAAATGCTCATAAAAATTGCTATGAGTTAAAATATGAAAAAGAAAATAGCATTTTGCATCAAGCAAAGTTGTAACTTATTGATTATCTTTAAAATTTTAAATCTGATTCTAGACCTCTCTGTTGTGTTGGCAGGTTGGAATAAACCCAGGTTTAATGGCAGCCTACAAAGGACATCACTATCCAGGAGCCAATAACCATTTCTGTGGGTAAATTTGCTTTGAGTCGAATTAATTGCAGATTTTCCTGTAAATGAGTGTGGTTTTTTTTGTTTGCTTGTTTGTTTTTTTCTCATTTTTCTTTCAGTTAAGGCAATGATAAGAAACGCGATTTCTTAAATGAATTCCTATTATAAAATAATAATAATAATAATTATTATTATTATAATTATTATTATTATTATCATCATCATCAGCAGCATCATAATGATCATTATTAGTTATTTAATTGTTCATTTTTAAAATAAACAATTCCTTAATCCTAAACAATTACTGACATTGCTGACTGTCTTTTTTTAATTGCCTGATTAACTCTTTCTTAATAATAATTATTTAGCTACATGTAGTCCCTTATATATATTTTATAATTTATTTACAGATTTGTAATACATGCCTTTTAATTCGCAGGGCCATGTCTGTACCAATCGGGTTTGGTGCCTGACAGATTGACTTATCTAGATGATGTGAGATGTCCATCAGATTATCAGATAGGTTTAACAAACATGGTGGAGCGTACTACAAGAGGAAGTGCTGATCTGTCCAGGTGATTAGCTCAACAGGGATGGGTTGCTTATTTGGGGCGGCCAGTCACACCTGTGTCTACAAAAATAATACTTGGCTATTAAATCCTTGCTAACAACTGGGAGTGCAGGCTATGCGCAAGAGTAAAAGACACCTTCGAGGAGAGAGGAAGGTTCCTCTTTCCTCAGCGTGTCCTCCTCCCTGGCGGCCAGTTCATGGTTACAGGATATGGTCATGGTGACTTATTTCAAGGCACATAATTTTTAATTAGACATTCTATTTCCTGCAATTAACATAAAATACATGAACCTGTATCCACTCCGTGATGTAGAAGCCAATCTCAGTGTACAGCACTGCTGATACAGTCATTTATATTTATGTTGATTGGGGCAAAAAGGATCTATAATTAATAATTATTATTAGCCATGACCTGGCATAAGGGTGGAGGACAGGCATGAGGAAAGAGGAAGCAAGTCCTCTCTTCTCGTAGGTGTCTTTTACTCGCACATAGCCTGCAAGGAAGCTCTTCATCTGAGGAGTCAGAATGATATTTCAAGGTATCTTGATAGTCTAATTAATGAAACCACTGTAACTGTGGAAAGCCTTGATTTATTAAGAACAAAGTCGAACATTTATTTTGTTTTGAACACGATGCTTTGGATTATAAAAGCCCGTGTTCATGGAGTACTCGTATTTCTTGTTTTCACTCTTTGCAGGAAAGAAATGAGAGATGGGAAGGAGGCTCTTGTACAAAAGGTGGAGCAATATAAGCCTCTTATTGTGTGTTTTAATGGAAAAGGTGACTTCACTCTTCTATAAATTGCTCTTGTCACCTGTTTTTTGTCTGGATTGATTTGCTTGTTTTCTTATTAGTCCTAAGGCTAGGCCAATTAATTTATAATCATTGTTTATCTTGCTCCAGTTTAAACCTTAAAATTTCCTCTCATGTTTGGGGCTGAGTAAATGAGCTGGGAGTGGTTCACAGGCTTTGCCAGGATCACGATATTTTAATTAAACCCCACAAGGTAAAAAGCGATCATATGGCAGCCCAGCCAGCCCAGTTTGGAGATAGCGTAATACTGGGATAAAATTCACCAAGGCGAAATGAGCCAGCCCAGCTCACGAAATCAGCACCTTGCCTTCTGCTATTCCATTTAATATCGTTAAATGATTACAATGAACGTAATAGCTAAAATTTAGGTAAAGATAACAAACTAATAAGTCAATAACTGAATTTCTTATTACAGTCTGTAAGCGGTAATCTTTTTCTATTTTTTTTCTGTTTCTGTTTTTAAGTTATCTACGAAACCTTTTCCGGATCTAAATGTAAGGTTGGCAGGCAGAAAGACCCAATCCCAGGAACGACTTCGGTAAGCTAGCTAGCACGATGCCAGCTGTTGATAGTAGTCAAAAAAATATCCTTTATGTATAGTGCCCTTATTTTAATTAAACTGTAGTTTTTGCAATCTAAGGGACCGTGCATTTTGTTGATGGAATGGGCCTGGGGTTTAAGGGGAGGGGGGACCGAAAAAAAATTGCACTAGACTCCTTCTTCCACCTTCCCCTTATCGTCATCATCATTGTCACGGTCGTCGTTATAGTTATCGTTATTATTTTTTTCTCTATCTCTCTCTCCTCACAGGTAGTGTACGTTATGCCATCTACATCTGGTAGAACTCAGACCTACCCCCGTGCAAGCGACAAGTTGCCGTTTTTCTTGGAACTTAAATCTTTGCGTGATGAACTGAAAGCGAATTCTGTGCACCCCTCTTCTCCTGAAGAGGAAGTAAAATCAAGTATAAACGAGACTTAGTTAGCCGCAATTGTATACAAATGTAACCTCAAAATTCTTGCTTCAACGTTAGTTATTTATTGCCTTTATTTATACAGAAATACGAATACGTTACTCTCAGAATAAAGAAAAATTAAGAACATGTTTAGAAGGTAATCAGGGCAGAAGTTAAGGGCGTCTTGTACTGTTTAAAAAACGGGCAGGAGTGTATCATTAGGTTTAAAAACTCGAGACAAAGCCGGGAGTTTTTACGCCTGATAATATACGGCTGAGAGTTTTTTGAACGGCTTTAAATTCTCTGATATAGAACAACTCATTCTTGCACTAATATTTAGATTTGGGGTCATTTTGGTCTAAAAAATTGATAGTAATCAAAAAAATATGCTTTATGTAGTGCCGTTATTTTAATTATAAGCTTTTGCAGTCCAAGGGACCGTGCATTTTGTTGATGGAATTGTTTTTTTGCATATCATAATATATACCTCTCCATTTAGAAAAGAAAACAAATCACCTATAGAAAATAACAGGAAGCATTCGGTAGAAAAGAACACGAATATAGTTGTTTTAAAAGATTTTTATTTGGGTGCGAAAGACGTTTCAGGAGCCTCTGACCAGCCTATACTGAGAACCGTGATATAAAACGGCCTATGTCGCCTTTGGTAATACTTTGAACTAAAACTTTATTCCGCTCCGAATAATGTCAAAGTTTCGACAATAAAATTTTAATTACTCTTAGAAAATACACATATTCGGTTTTGCTAATAAATCTAAACTTGACTGCAGAAATGGATGTGGGGGCATTTATCGAAATTCTATGTGAATAAAATGCAAACAATTTGACCTTCTTATGGCTTAGTAATTGTATTTATAATTATTATTTGTTAAACATAGATGCAAAGGATCGGTCAATAGCGAGCTTAAAAGACGTTTTTGAGCAACGCTAGTCAACCGCAACTGTTCGTTTGCGAACGTATATCAGATTTTTCATGCCAAAACCTATCGTAAACAGGCAATAGAAACAACTGATTGCTACAAAACGAGTTGAGCAGCGATGTTGCGCACCCCTTATAAAGTCACTTGTTGCAAAACAAGTCTGTCGTAGGCCCAGGCAAAACGCGCAACATGTACAGATTTTTTGCAAAAAGAAGAACTATTCACTACTTTCTGCAACTACTTAAACCTGCGACAACCTGATTTGATGCAAGAAGGATTTGATTCGTTGGTAGTAAAACGCGCAACAGCTCTCCGGTTTGCAGCAAATGTTGCCAAACACGTTTCACTATCCACGAAGTTTGAATATTATAAAAAAGTTGTCGCACCGATCAGTCAGCTACCACGAAACCTCCACTGTTTATCCCCACGGACAGCCCCGCCTCCTAAATTTTTTTGGTGGGATTACGTGACGTGCCAGAGAACGTCACGTCCGCAACTGACACAAAGAGTGAGGGCCTGGATACAACGCGTCTGGTGACATTCGCGTGATGTTCGTGCATTTCGTCAATTCGCGGAAATGCTCTGCCGGGAACAGCTACGTTGGAAAAATCTCAAACTTTTTTATCCGACTGGGAAGGTTTTCGCTGTATCACCGGTTAGTGATCTAATTATAACTAGAATGAAGTTAATGAATCAGGGGAAAGATGGAAATTTATAGTGTGCCGCCGTTCTCGACACCCTTACGATATCCCGGCATGTCGCGGGAGACCTTTTTTTTGCGTGCTCCGCCTAGAACACTATGTACTGGAGTGCTATTCGCTCTTTACTGCTGTGGATTATGCAGTTCGCAAGAACCAAGCCAGAAAAGTCGAGCATTAGATTCCCATATTAAAACTCAGCAAGAATTCTGCTTTCGAACCACGTAGAGGCTAATAGGTTATGCGACTGGAGGGTTGAAAAGGAGAGCTTAAATAAAGAGGAACCTACTTCCAAAGCCAATAGGAACAACCTTTCATGGTCAAGCAACTTTAGCTTAAAAATTGAAATCTTATGTCATAGAATCCAAATTAGCCTTGCAAATCAGCTGATATTTTGCAATGTCACCATTGGTTTCCCTGTGAACAAGCACAGAAATTCCATACTGATCAGATCTGGGTGTTGCTTCTGATTGGTTGAGGCAAATTTTCCACATGGCACAGCCAGTCAGAGGCACTACACAATTGTGGGTAGTGACATACCAGTGGTTTGGAATTTCTCTGCTTGTTCCTCAGGTGTCATTTCCCAGGGAAACCAGTGGTGGCATCGTCCGATTACTTTGACTAAATTTTAAAGGGAAACAAAAATCCTCTTCATTCACTTATTAAACATTTTTTTTCTCCAGTGGCTACCTTTGCCAGCTGTGGTAGGATATCGCATTTTGGTTGCCTTATACTGTGTCAGCTGGATAATCTACAGCATAATCTTGGATAATACTTGGAAATGGCTTGTTTTCCTTACAGACTGGACTTTTTTGTGTGTAACGACTTACTTCACTTGCAGTAGTGTGATATCTGTTATATACTGGATTCACATTCGCCACCAACGTGTAAATGATAGTTGTACAAGTAGTGATTGCCTACCAGTGGAGAGGTCAGATATCTCCAACAAGGAACAAATAAGCAACTCCCAATACACAACACCGAGACAATCGGCGAGTGACACTAATGAAAGCAGCTTACTTGAAGAAGAATATTATGATGCGTTTGAGGATACTGAAAATATTTCACCTGCAGAAAGAACAACTGAACGTAATACGGCAAGGCATTCTAGTCATGTGTATGCCTGCTTCCAAGCCTTGAACTACCCTCAAAAATGGTACCATAAGGTATCTTGGGTATTTTACATCATAGCCGCTAATAATGCTGTGCTTGTTACAGTTGTATACTGGAGTCTGTTGTACACAGGGTTTCATATTAGAGAAGCAGATGTTGCTTTTCATTTGCTAAACTCAGTCTTTATGCTAATAGAAACTTGCTTGAGTAGTATCCCTGTGCAACTTCTCCATATCGTATATGCAGTGCTGTATGGAGTTGTGTATTTTCTTTTTTCAGTGGTCTTTTGGTTGCTTGGTGGGACCACTGGTGGTAATAAGTACATTTATCCAATCCTTGACTATGAGAGTAAACCTGCTAAAGCTGCTGTGGTGGTAGTCCTGTATGGGTTGGTTGGGCTACCTGTGGCTCAGCTGTTGATATTTGGCTTGTTTAAACTCAGATGTTACCTGAAAACTCTTCGTAGACAGTGAATTGCAATACCATTTTAGTTCCTTTATTATCATACTGTGACACAATTTATCATTTACTAGTTGGCAACAATGAAAAAATATCCACAGATACTAGTTTTATTAGTCAATTCTTATATTGCAAATTGAATAATAATGCATGCTCATAATCACCCCATGTAAAGAAATACAAGACAGTCTTGGAATCTGGACTTCAGGTACTAGATTCCGGATTCTTTGTCAGTGGAATTTGGATTCCTGATTCCTTGAGCTGTATTCGGGATTCCATAGCCATGCATGGATTCCGGATTCCAGAAGCAACACTTCTGTATTCCATATTCCACGAGCTAAATTTCCTGGGTTCTGGAATCCGGATTCCCTTACATGGGGCAACATGCTTAGTTAGAGGGTATATATTATAGTCAAGGCCGATAGGGAGCGACTCTGGGTAACAGCATGATTAGTAGTGATATTTGGCATAAATACCGCGAGTAATATTTCAAAATCATTATACGTAATTTGTGAAATTTCAGACAATTTTGAAATTCCATGAGTGGTATTTATGCCAAATGTCATGTACAAATCATGCTATTACGTGTTTACACTACTACCCGCAAAAGCTTTGTAATTTTCACAATAGGTATTTCAAATTAAGCTGAAATACCACTGCTCTAAGCCAATCAAATTGCAGAAATTTCTCATTTAGAAGTATAAGCAACTTTACCTATTATGGAGGAGGTGAGCATTAAAAATAGTTTTCATTTACTCCTCTAGTTTGTTTGTTGTTGTTGTTGTTGTTGTTTAATTTTTTTTGCTTCTTCCCATATTTTAAGTAAAATCATGAACCTGTATTTAGCGGATACCTCTGTTATGCGGACACCAGCGAAGGTCCCGTGGGTGTCCAAGAAGTTACAAGCATAAATACCTCGAAAAACCGTGTTCTTTTCCTCATTAGCATAACACTGTAATTTTTATCACGCAATTGTTATGACGTCAAAATCCTAAGTGTTTGGCATTGTTAATTCTGGTTTAATATTTTTCCAACGCATGCAAATGCTGCGAAAGAGTCAACACTACGCCTCCCCTTGTGCATCAACCAAGGTATCATAAACATGTGCCGGGAGGAATTTAGTCTTTCCCAAGTAAAACTGCAGCATCACGACTCCGGAGATTTTATTCGATCACCGGTAAGTTGAAGTTCGGAGTGTTCACGGCTAGCCCACTCATGAATATTTTCAACGCTATCTATGCATGTATTTGTTTGGTTTACACTTTACACTCTGACTGACCTTAGTGTTGCTTCCTTACTTAGGCTTGACCTTAACAGAAAGGTTTATATTGCTGTTGACAGTGTCCATTTTCAGACTAAATTATTGAGACTTCTGCAACAGAGAAGTCCCACTTCACTTTTCAGATTCAGATTGTGAGCGAGTCGTTTGACCATTCAAACGAAACATCCCTTTAATACTTCATCAGATATATCTTGCAAAATCTAGAATTGCAATCCAAGATTTGGTTTCTTTAAGTATATTTTAATTTGTTCCCTCTTGGGAGTTTCCTATTTTAAATCCCGCAATGCGCTACGCTTGTGTCAATGCTGTGTTACATATCGATTTCTTCCGAAAGTTTACCGTCGATCACTGTTTAGGCGACGAACAAACTACGACGATATCAGATGATAAACATGCCGAGACAGAGACTTGCTACTGCTTTGTGCTCTTTGACACTTCGGCTAAAAAAAGTTCAGATAAGTCTTAAAGGAAAAAAAAAACAAGGAAAATCAAAACAGTGCTTGAAACGAACACATTTATTTAGAAATTGACTGAGACTAATTATGCAAGTTGTTTGAATATTCGAAAAACTACCATAAGAGGAAAAGAAACCTAGCAAATGAAAATAGTACTGAAAGAATCCAGTGCGCACAAAATAACATGATGATGTGATGAAATAGCGCTCAAACCAGTTCGGTTACCCTGCAAAAATTTACGTGATCTCCACCGAAGGGGAACAATATAGCAGAAAACAACAGCTGCACCAAACAACAAAACGCTCAGAAGAGGTATTAAGAACTAATCAAAAAGAAAAGATAGAAAACTGCTCAACTTGCCTCGCAGGGAACATTCATATTTAGGAGAATTTATTTCAATTCACCTTAACCTAACGGAGCTGAAGAACGGAAAATTGTAACATAGCTTGGATAGCGGGAGCGTTTATGTTACACCATTGTGAACGCTGATTACGTCAACAACCTAATACCTCGAGTAGTTATCTTGAAAGCTTTGCAATCCTCTCAAGTGTCATCAAGTGCATAATAAACCCAATGTTACACACAACATCTGCGCACGCGCGCTATGGCGTGTCAATCATTCTTTGCAGTCTTTTCGTTCAAAAAACAAAACAACAACAACAATTTCGATGAATTAATAGTTGTCCATCTCAAAATAGGTCGCTGGTACACACTTTTTTTTGAAGTCACGGGCTCATGATCTTAACGGACCACCGTAACCTGACTACGTGCTGCAAAGGGCATTTCCGGCACAATCAACTGTGTAAGGGTGGTTTTCTAAAGAAATTATCCCTGATAAATTCGCCGCGAAAGAGGCATGGAGACCTTCACAGGTTTATTGACTCAGGCGGAGTGTGTAATGATTACTAACTGGTTGCATAACTTGTTTCTGTTGCAGTGGTTCCCGGATGTTGGTGTGACCATATATCGCTGTGTATTCGCTGGTTATTGCCTTGGTTGGATTATTTACAGTGGCTTTCACCGTAGTAATGGAGACGAGAAGTGGTTCATCTATCTCACTAACTGGAGCTTTGCATTCCTTACGTTGTATTTCATCTTGGCATTTGTTGTGTGTGTGTTTAACCACATCAGGGATAAACCGAATGAAACAGCCCCCGTACAAATGACATCAGCAAAGAGCGATGGAAGCAGCGGGGTTAACATTGAAGTCGGAAATGACCAAGGCCCAAACTATGATCAACCAGCCGCGAAAATGGCGTGGTATCACAAAGCATTATGGGTCATCTTCATTATCGCAGCCAATGCCGCCATCTTGGTTACCCTGTTGTACTGGACGCTCATCTTTTCCGGAAAAACCAGTGGGCTGGACATATCAACCCATTTGATAAACAGCGTTTTTATCGTAGTAGACGTGATGCTTAGTGAAACTCCTATGAGATTCCTTCACTTTCTTTACGCTTGGATCTATGGTGCTTGTTATGTTCTGTTGACTGTGATATTTTGGGCATCAAATGGCACTAATGCTCTTGGCAAACCCTATATATATTCGTATATAGATTATGATGAGTCTCCGGCGCTCTCTAGTGGTATTGTCGTTGGGTTTGTTTTGTTGGGACAGCCGCTTGTCCAGGCCATCCTTTTTGGCCTGTTCAAACTGCGAGGGTTTTTGGTTCTAAAATGTGGCAACAAAATGTAAATTCCTTTCAGCCATAAACTACCACTTAAGTCATCCTTATAGCGTACTGTATAATCATTGCAATGATTATTATGTTTTTCTACTCAGATCATTGTTTTACGTTGTCAGATTCTCTAAGTACATATACAAATGTTTTACCGTTTAATTTTTTAAAATTTTCTTCTTGCACGTTGTCTTACGCCTTCAAGCCTTCAAAACTATCCCAAATGAAAAGGTTTTTTAACTTTTTTTATTTACCGCCTACTTGTAATTAGAACTTGTAAATGATGATTTAATTAAATAACTGGGAAATAAATCTGGAGTCGTGTGACTTAATATTTTCAGCGATTTTAACATCTGCCCATGCGTAGTGCGCTCAGCTAAGCAAATCCAAAATAGCGTCCAGTTGAGTTCTCTCGCGTCCATGCACCCACACCTTTTTCGTACAAAGACCAAAGGTTGATTTCCACTGTCTCGTAATTTTTCCGTGCGAACGAACTTAAAATTTACGTGCGTAAATGAAACTGAGGGGGCAATGTATGAAAGGCCACGCGCAAACGTGAAAATTGTGCGAGGTTGAACTTTTACGTATACGTGTTGGCCCTCCATACATCAGAGAAATTAAGATTCACATTTACGTGAATTTGTACCATGCACGTGACCAAGTTTTCCCCTTAATTGTCGTTAACTGTTTATTACAAAAAAAAGTAGTTTCACGCCAGTTATAAGCATGAGAATTGTTCTCGACAGTTTTTATCTCCTTCTTTTCTCAGTATTTTTGAGAAATTCTCAACTTGAATCTGACGTTTGCCGTTTGCCGTAAACGTGACTGCTAATCCCTCTATTGTCTTCATTTTACTTACTCGAGTAAAGTTCGCGCGCGTACAATACTCGACACTGGAAATCCATCCTTAGATAGTAATGATGTTCGCACTACGCTGGGAAATTTGGCCTCGATTTTGATCTAAATTTTCCTAATTCCGTGTGAACAGAACACCAGAAACACACACCTCAACCTCGTCCCCAGGGTCTTCTCGCTTTCCAATATGGCGGCGGCATGGGAAAAGAGGGCCTTCTCTGCTCTCCTGCCGCCGCCACGTTGGAAAGCGAGAAGACCCTGGGGACGAGGTTGCCCTTCCCTTTTATGAGACGATTTGAACAACGAAGAAAATCACCAACAATTGCGATGTAAGTTTTGTTCAGTTGTTTTTGTTGTTTGTTTGTTTTCACTTTAACATCTTTGTTAACTGCCCCGTCCTCGTCGTCTTGGATCCTGGATTCCACGGATTCCAGATGCCTTATCAGAGATACTTGGATTTCGGATAACCAAAATCGTTAATGGGATTCCGAATTCCTTGAGTTGTATTACAGATTCCAAAGCCCAGGATTCCAGATTCCAAGATCTTAGATTTCGGAATCCTGATTACCTTATATTGCCTTAAGTTTGCAGAAGGACCGTGAATCTGCGTTAAACTGAAACGCCCGGTTTCGTCGCGTGTATTGGGATTTTGAATCCGGAATATAAAGTGAATATTAAAGTATCCGAATAAAAAAGTCGGATAATTAGGATAATGAATGTCTGTAAACCGCCAGGTAATCCGAATTTGCTTAGGAATTTGGAAACATTTATTGATCCCCAAAAACCTCTTTAGCAGTAAAACTAAGTAGCCTTTGATGAAGTTTCTTCGCAGTATTTTTTTCCATATGTAAATATTTGTTTAGTTTAAAATTTCAAGTTCATCTTTTTTGTTTTCCTTTGTATCAGAAAACTTTCCCAACAAAAGCATTCAAAAGCTTTAGTACGTTATTTTTTTCTTTTTTTTCACGATCGAATTGATTAAGTACAAGCTAATTTGTTTTGTGTGCTGCTGATATTAGCACGTGGTACATCACAATAAACTCCTCAGGGACTCTAGCCATTGTCAAGCAAATCAACAACCACCTCAATGCCACAGAATACAAATATATGCGCGATTTATGGCTAATGTTTTACTCAGCGGTGAGTCAAGTTTGATCGAAGAATGTGGCGTACAGAACTACAAGAAGTGAAAGAAGAATTTCAGCTGGTTCAGTTTCGCCTATTGTACCCTAATGCAGGGGACTTTGCGGAAACCCCGGTAAGTTGATTTCATATAAAATTAAGCAATCGGTTGAAATGTCGCTGGCATCGGTTTGCTTATTTGCATGTAAGTCTTTCCTCTGTCTCTCATTTCGACGTTTCTTTCAATCGGTTATAAAACAAACGCATTCCTCTTGAGGGAAGAATTAACAAAGAGCGTGAAAGTTGTACCAATACATTAAATTTTTGATTTCCCTTTTTCTATTCAAAGGGGCGGAAATTTCAAGTTTAAGAAATTACGAGTCTTGAACCGTGACAACTTAAAGTACAAATGTTGACCACCCTTCAATGGTAAAGTAAAGAATGATGTATTTGTCATAATAACTTCCCAACTAACGAAATTCGATACGAACGTAATCCAGGTGCTTTTAGAAAGAAACACATTTGAGATAAAACCTTTTTTTTATGAAAACGCCTTGTTCCAGCGTCGAACTTGTGCCCGTCGATTACTTCAACTTTCAATGTATCTTTGTCGTCGAGTGTTGTTCTATGCTCTGGGAAGACAGTCACATTTGTTTAGATACTCGTTGACTTTCAATTTCACTTTAAACAGTGAAATGTTCAAAGCCCATCCTTCACGAACGAAATAATGCCTACTACATATCTCTCCTTGCACCCTTAGTGCATAGTAGTATTTTACTGCATACATGTTGGTGTTCAGTTGAAACTTTACTCTAAGTCAACCTCAGTTAATGCCAATTGTATTAAGGGCAAAATTGATCAAGAACGTATGCATAAAGTAATCCAAAGAATAAATAGAGAAAAGGCAGCCAGCGCATTTATTTATGATATAGCAACTTAAAAGAAACATGGAAAAACAAAGGCGGAAATGCGGTTCAGCGAACAAGTGTGCAATACCGATGCAAAAATGTCACGCGATTAAAATATATGGCTCCCTTTTAAAACTGGAAACATTTCAAATATACTGGACACATGACATTTTATGTTATTGTTCCATTTTTAAATAATTCAGAAACTATTGGATTCGGAAACAACAAATTACTGAGGCTATGTGTAGCGATTTTAACTTATATTTATTCATCAAAAGTACTGTAACAATATAGATTGACGTGATTAATGTTATGAATATTTCACGAAGTCCATTTTCGGATTGTAAAATCAACTTTTTTTCGATTTCACGTTTTCGTATTTGATTTTGTTTTATCACAACTGGAAGTAATTTTCAGTGTTCAATTTACGTTTATTAAGAAATCAACTGACTCCAGATTTTCTTTTGTTATATTTGCATAAGTTTTCATAAAACTGGTCCAGCTCATCGTTTAAAACTTCTTGAATAATTGATTGCCATCTGCTGAGAAAAACGATAATTTGAATCTTATTTTTAAACGTTACTAAACTAACTCGGTCTTTCACTGAGTTATCGAGGAAATTTAAAGTGCTAAAAACAGCATGCCATCCCTGTGACTTGTTCAAAATTGCTATCCTCCTTGTTTCAGTGGTTTGGTGTCCCTGTGATCCTAGTCTACCGCCTTCTGGTCGCCGTGTACTGTAGTGCTTGGTTAATTTACAGCGGTTTCCACCCATCCAACGGACATGAGAAGTGGTTTATTTACTTAACCAACTGGAGTTTTCTCTTTGTGACAGTTTACTTTGTTTTTGCCACCTTAATAACTGCTTTCTATTACAGAGAAGAATGTAGACAAGGAGAGTACGAAATGGGCAGCCCTGAACCGGTTCCTCTAAAGTACCGCACAGCAGGGCTGTCACGTTCATCAGATATAAACTCCCGTGCGGGAAAGTCACGCGAGGAGATGAATGCATCGCGTGACAAAACAGATGCACGTGAAAAGGTCCAAAGCCATGAGGATGTCAAAGTGTCTATCAATCCTTTAGAAGTTATGCAGGAGATACCCATGACAAGATTTCATGAAGCTTTGTGGGTGATATATAACATTGCAGCAAATACTGCGTTACTTATCACAGTAACAAACAGTGATTACAAGGGATATTCATACGATGGCTTAATTATCACCACTCAGATACTGAATACTGTTTTTATTCTAATAGAGACTTTGCTTGGAACTGTCCCAGTGCGATTATTTCACGTTATTTATCCAATGCTTTTCAGTACTGTATACGTTATGGTTACTGTTGTGTATTGGGCGTGTAAAGGGACAAATACCTCAGGCGAACCTTACATTTACTCTGCCATTGATTACAGCGAGAACCCCAGAGGAAGCGTTGGCACTGTCCTAGGATTCGTTTTTGTTGGTCATCCCTTGGCACAGCTTGTTTTATTTATTGTTTTTCGAGTCAGATATTGGCTGCGGAGGAAATTTAGCAAAAAACTCATTTGGTAGATAAATTAATGCCAGGTAAACTACAGATCATAAGTAGAACTCCTTCACTACACCACTTAACCCCATTATCCTTTGTTCTAGACTGTAACTCGACAGACGTCAGGTCTTTCATTCTACAGCCGGTTATTCCAACCAACCCTTTATCAAGACTGAACGACCATTTTTTTTGTTAGTCACCTTAGAAGTTTTTTCCTTCACAATTTTAACTCAAGGGTTCAAAACTTAATTAAAAATAACTTTAACACAGGAGTCTTATAATCTTACTCTCTGATGAAAACAGAGAGCAATTTGAATTGTCTAAAATGTTAAGATAGTGTACTGATTAAAAAAAATTCTTTTGAATCACAAAGTAAATTTCGTGCAATATATTTTCGAGCTATTAACAGGAGCTACGTACGCTTTTAGGAACTGCTGATCCTCTGTTGTACTCACCAGGGGCGGATCTAGGGGAAGGGTGCAGGGGGTGCGCAGCCCCCCCCCCCCCCCCCCGAGATGACCTGCGGTTTTCTAATACAACTGTTATTCTCCAAAAAAAAAAAAAACTATGTTGTTTATTGGTGTTGAAGTAGAGCAAAAGACGAGTGCACCCCCTCCTAAAAAAAATCCCGGATCCGCCCCTGCTCACAATTAAATCATCAATCTCAATAGATTCCTCACTGATTTTATTAGTTCAAGGCAGCTGCTTAAACATAACAAGAGAGTTTTATATTTTAATGTAAAATCCATAACTTGGTTGAGCATTCCGGCGCTTCATAGTCCTTGGAAATCTTTAGAGAACAGCTGCAAAAGAGAACAATAATCAGTTAAAGGCCTTATTGTCTGCCGTTTAGCCAATCGTACTTTGCCTCGTCTAAGCTTCTAAGCATGCTCTCCAGTTGGCTTAATCTGTTCATTTTCATAGAGTGTTCCAAATATATATATGTCAGCGTGAATTATTCACTTTATTTTTCAAGGGCCAAAGGTCAAAGGTCATTCATTTAACTGCTTTCAGTAGTCGTCGTTTTGGCAGTTTGCAAATGTAATCTATTGTCCAACTTCGACGTCACATCCGGGAAACATTGCACAAGTTAACAATCACAGTGAAAGCGCTGATGATTTTATTTTTATTTTCATTTTCAATAATATACATGAAAAAAATTATTGAATATACTGGCTGAGAGTAATGCGGTTTTTAATACTAAACAGTGCAAAAAAGAGGGAACATTCAAATGCCAAATAAAAGAACTGGGGAATATGCAAATGTCTCAGAGAATGTAGCACTGTAATTAGCTAATTAACAATCGAGATTTATAAGAACCAATCAGGTGCCTCAATTTGCTGGCGGATGCCTTGAGCATTTTGCAAGTGAAAAAAATGGCCGGCAAACAAAGCCGATTTTAGTTCAGGAAACACTGTCGTGAGAGGACCACATTTTGAGTTGATTTTTGGAAGAAATGGAAAACAGAGGCGGGAATTTCCGAAGAAATTGAGAGTTACGAGCCTGCCGACCTAAACAAACCGCTTGAGCTTTTCTTTTAAAAACGAACAACGGAATGACTACAAACCTTAATGTTTCACTTTTATGATGACAGCTTTGGACAGGCAATTCAAAAGAGAAACGATATACAGGCTGTTCTATCAAAAATGACGATTCAGTTCCTCGAAGAAAGTTTTGGATGGTAAAGTCAGACAACTACGTCTGGCGGGCCTTGGAAAGCGTCTTACAAAGCCACGCAGATAATTTTTTTCCATGTATATTACTGAAGGGTAATCATGACTCTTCTCGTTCAATTTTGAATTGAAAGTATCAAAATTGAAAGAATCAAGAATCAAAATTTCGAAATGACATGCTTGTGCAAATAAATTCCAAATTGTACACGAAGTGGTATGATCGGATTATACATATTTAACTTAACCTTAATAAGCCTTCTATTTCTTTATCACGTCATTTTAGTTTGTATCCTCTTGAAATGAAAAGTTGAATCAGAGCTCGAAAAAAATGGAATTTTGGTTCGTCCTTTGGGCCGGTGGGGTACTACATTAACCCAAGTACCTCCCCCAGGCCTTTGGGCAAGAAGCTGTTACATTTTGCTTACCGGCGGCCACTTCTTGGTCGTCTTAAGGTGATGTTACACGTCACGATCCGCAACGACGATTTTTAGCGCCACACAGCACTTCAACATTGTTGCGACATTGTCCCAACATTGCTACGCTGTGTTACGCTCAAAATCGTGGTAGCGAATCTTCTCGTGTGACATCACCTTTAGTAACGGATGACTTGCCTAAACCCTTTCCCATTTTCGGCAACTGAAGTAAGCTTTATTAAAAAGTTACTTCCCCATTAACAAATCTTCTAGTCGCGGACTACCAGAAGAGACTTTTTTCGAGCTCTGTGATTTATGTAAAAACCTTTCTGTTCACAAGTTGTTTGACTCCCAGTCCACGACTTGTCCTGCTGACAGACGCGCACCTCAGAGCCTTTCATATAGAACCCATCTCTGCATCGGAAGGAGCAATAAGTTCCGGGTGACATGAGAACACTTGAGCACATAGGTGGGAAGGCGTTTGCTACGAACAGGAAAGGGCATCTAATGGCTAAAAAAATATATTAAGATATTGAGTCTCTGCTGCCATCTCCACAGGCTTCGCAAGGCTAATTGGGGAGCAGCGAGAAACAACAGGCGAGCGACACTGGGAACGAGGCAGGAGTCTCTGTATTTATGATAGCCTCCCACACAGGCGTTTTTAGGGGAGTTCGTCTTTCACCCCTCCCCACGAGCTCCCCCTGAAAACGCCTGCGTGGGAGGCTATATTTATGACGTTTGCAACAAAAAATTGTTTCAAAATACATCAGTTTTTAATTGACATTCGACATCGAAGGTTCATATTTAGCAGTTATTTATTTTAAAAAAAAACATATACCATGCTTCTATCCCGGGGGTAGACACTCTCTTATTTGGCCTATTCGGCTATGCGCCGCTTTTCAGGGTTTACAATTTCCTTATTTCACATCTTGAAAAGGTGTCTTTTGAAGCCGGAATCCTTTAACAGGCTTAAAAGAGTCTGAAGGTTGGAAATGAGCGGTCCTCAGCACCAACATGTTTTTTTTTTTTTTTTTTTAAATCTAATTCCATGAATTTAGTTTAAAAAATTACCTAATTCTGAATGCAAAATGAAACAAGTCAGGGTCATAACATAAGGACAAGGTAGCAAAATGAATACAAATTGATCTCATCTGTTATAATTACCTCCCAAACAAAATCATCCATTGCGATCAATAACAAATAGTTCTTTGTTATTAGAGCGATTTTCGTATGACCTTGAAGAATGGTTCGGTAAGTGTTCGTCATTTGTTTTATCAGCCAATGGATGAAAAGATGAAAACATGGACTCTCCGTTTTCCCGCCAAAGAAAACCCTAATATGGAGAAGGGATTGTTTGATTGGCCAATCGCGTTGCAGTATGACGTCAAAGCGAAATATCGATTGATTTTTCCGCTTGTTTGTTGTTTCTGTTTTGTTCGAGCGTTTTCATTTTGAGGCCATACGAAAATCGCTCTTATTTTAGCCTGTGCTGCGAGAATATATTTAAGGACTATATATACTTGAAAGTGTCAGTACCCTTAAAAAAGTATTGTGATGGTCGCGATGATTATTAAATATGAGTCGCAGTCTAATTTTCTCACCGACGCAATGGGAGGCAATTCCTGACCAGTCCATGAAACCATATTCGCTCAAGATGCACTTCCTCTCTTCGCTGCCCGATAGTTCATAGCCTTCAATGCATTCGATTCGGCATACTGACTCATATACAGAGTTGCAGGTACCAACGAAAGCGCCGTTTTGTGGGGGCACCAACTTTTCACATGACCTAACTATATGGGACAAAAACAGAAGAATGACGTTGTTATTTCACATTGGTCTTCTCTTATAAACTGAACTCTCTCTGGACTTAGCGCCATCTTTTATTGATTTCGCTAACCCAATTAAAAAAATTATCTTTCCACTAGTCAACTCTATAACTAATCCAACTTTCTTCTTGATCAATTCAGAGATTTTGACCTCAAGAAATATAACTGTTTAAAAGAGAGGATATATTAACAACTCAAAATATCTTTCAGAATTTAAGCCTGTAACAAGCAGATGAAAGCAAATTTTTCTTTCTTTATATGTTATGATTCCGTGAATGGGTAGTTTCCAAACAAAACTGTCAGTTATGAAATATATACATTTGGTTAGGCCGCAATGATAAACCTATTTAGAAAGCATCGTCTGAGTGGACAAAAATTCTTAATCAAATATTTTAAGCATTTCAGAATTTTTTATCACTTTTATATGCTGAAAATAGTGGGACAAAAGAATGGTGCGTGTTGACAAAATTCTCACCTGTACATGAGAGACCATGCTGTGGAGACCCAGTATATCCTTTGAAACACTTACAATCAGACAAACTAGTGCTTCCAATAATACCATGTCCTGAATTTGCAGGGCAAGCCTTGCAGTAACTTGAAGAGCCATCGTTGTATTGGTTGAATGGACATGCTACATTTTCACAAATTAAAACGTCACAAAAGTCACAAAGTGACAGAATATTGCATCCCAAACATTTCACGACATAACTTAAAGCCTAATTTGAATTGCTTGAAATACTAACGTTACTTGCATTTATCAGTTGATGAGCAAAAGCTTTAAGCCTATATAAAATTAAAGTTTTTATAGCTATCTATCTAAATGCACCAACCATTTTGTCTCGGGAGAAAAATATAACATCATTTAGTAAAATCCAACTAGTGGTCTATTATCAGTGCTGCGTTCTGATTGGTTGAGCTACTACGAGGCTACATGTTATAGCCCACTAGTAGCGTAAAGCGCCCCCTTTGAAAAACAAAACAATGGCGCAGGGGCGGATCTAGCGGGAGGGTGCTGGGGGTGCGCATCCCCCCCTCCCCGAGATGACTTGCGGTTTTCTAAAACAACTGGTTTTCTGCAAAAAAATTATGTGGTTTATTAGTGTTGAAGTAGAGCAAGAGACGAGTGCACCCCCTCCTAAAAAATAAATCCTTGATCCGCCCCTGATGGCGGCTGAATCGAGTTTTGCTAGCTGAAGTTGTTTTGTCTCGATATTTTTGACCAACTAATTGGATTTTATTAAAAGAATTATTCCTCTCACCCTCATGGCCTCTCAGTGAATAGCCCATGAGGCCGCTATTGACTCAGAGCCCATTCGGGCTCGAGGAATAATTGGTAAACATACATACCAGCCTTTCCTTCCCTTTGATCTCCCTTGAAGATATCAAAGCAATATTTATCTTTCGCTAATCTGATTATTTATCGTGTTACCTAGCTCTAACGCTTATTGTTATATTTTTTTTCGATCGCTGTGCAAATTATATGAAATAAAGTATCTAAAACTATTTACAGTGATAGAAAAAAAAAACGTTTTGTTATCGCGTAGAAATGGATCTAAACAAAGCGAGCTTTGAGAGAAAGATGCTTTCTTCGATACATTTTGGTCATTTGTTCAAACTTGAGGTCAACTGAAGAAATTCTCCTGGAAATCTATTGAAAGTTCTTCCTTCACGTGCAACACTTGATTCATTTTCATAAATTCTTATTCCCAGTCATTAAAGGCGGCGGATTAAACTAAAACGGGACAACACTAGTAGTATATCGGCAATGTTTTCGGTCCTTTTTGTCTCGATTTATTTAACGTTTTTGTGAAATTAAATAAACGTCGTTGGAGTTGAAAATAAGTATTACGTTAACATAGGGCGACGCTCCGTTTTGTAGTGTTCTTGCTTTTGCAAGCTTAATCAGGAACACAGGACATGGTCATCATCTTCTCTTACACAGCTTTTCAATGGGATAATGAACAAATACTTCAAATGGAATGTGATAGTTGGCTATTTTACAAGCATGGCGGAGGATTTGAACTCGGGACTACCGTAAACAAATCCAGCTAGCGGTTAGGTGTGGACTTGAACTCAAGGAATGCGGAATACAAGTCCGATCCAGCGCTCAAACCTCTCAGCCACGCTGCCTCTTTGTTCATATCCCTTGGTTGACTCGTTTTGACGAAGCAAGGAGCGCCCAAATTGTTGGCGCTGGACGCCCAAATTGGGCATAATATGGTCCAAATCAAACTACTTCTGTGATACCGTGGACTCCCTCCTCCCTCCCCCACCGTATGCAAAGTCACTGTCAGAAGTAGTCCTTTTCAGGACCGCAGCTGGAATATCATGCCGTAAACTTCCCCTTTTAAAACATGGGCTTATACAACTTGGTAAGGGGTTTTACCGGGACTTATAAACGAGGGGCTTATATCCGGGTGGAGCTTAACACCGGATTGAAAAAAACGTTTCAGTATAACCTACGTAGCAGTGCTGACCAAAACACTTTTTGAATTAATTCGCTTTTTTAAGCTTCAAAACGTCGTAAAAAATCGAATTCATTTAAGTAAGGACTAGAGGGGGGGATTATACTCGGGGGGATTATACCCGGGCGAATTACAACCGGATATATTTATTTTTAACTAGTAGATAGGCCTATAACTGGGGAATTTATAAGAGGACAGTTGCTTATAAGTGTACATTCCAGTCCACAATGAAAATCTTCATCCCGATCTCGCATGGTCCAACGCTCTTCCATCTCACTTCCATATTTCAGTTTTCTGATGGACAATTTTAAATAGCTTTTACGGTATTGATAGTGACCTCCCTTTGTAGCATATATAGAAATGTTCATGTAATTTGCGTCGCTATGTAAAAGTTTTTGTATTTTATTTTTGTGAGTTTGTACTTTTCTCGACCAAGAACGGGGAAAAAATTCAAAAGCAAGAATGATCCTCCTGGCGTGAGAAAACAGCCGTTATTTCGCCATGCCATCACTGGTTTCCCCGCAAAATGACGTTTGAGAAACGAGCGCTGTAATTCCATACTGATTACGTGTCACTACCAGGGGCACCCAACGAGAATATAGTTCAAAACCACTTCTGACATAATAGCGTTGTTAAACGTATTTTAGTATTTAAACGGTAGATATAGGCATATTTTTATCCCCTAAACATTTTTTATGTGTTCGGATTTCCTAGCTGAAAGTCCTGAGTATCGCCTCATCCGTGTGGAATTTGTGCGCTCGTTTCTCAAACTTTGTTTCGCGGGGAAACCAGCGGTGACGTCGCGAAATGTCGGCTGTTTTGTCAAACTATGATCTTCCTGGCTTCAAAATATTTCATTTTCACACAATTACAGATACACTGTATGCTTGGAAAGTTGAGCCGAATGTCATCCAGCCACCTCTTGGCGGCTTTCCGTTCAACATTTCTTTTACTTACGTTTTGATGGCTCATCTAATAGCCTCCCGATCTCCTGACCAGACTCGCTTTTTACAAATTGAAACCGACAGGTAACCAGAAGAAAGACCACAATTGGAACACCACCTATCATTTTCGAAAAAGTGTGGTAATTGCTCGCAGGTGGATATAGATTGTGACCGTGAGAGACGTTAAAAGTATTAATGGACTCAGAACTGTTTCGCTGATAAACGAAATATTGATGGAATTGTTAAAGCAGCTGAATAAATGGCAAGAAAAATCTTAATGAACAAAAGTGATTGAAAGCCTTATTACTGAGTGTTTATTCAACTATGTACACACTTTTTTACGCCTTTCCTCGTCAACGTTGGGCCCCTAAACGATGAAACGTTTGCCCACTGAAATATTGAATATACTTAATTTAACTTTTTTTGTTAAGTAACGTTAAAAAGTTCAGTTAATTTCTAAACGAACATTTAGTTATTATCTAGATATTTTCTTACATTTAGACAATTTACGGTCGTTGTAGTAACTTTCAGTTTCTACTCTCTACTTTTGTAAAACGTCTTAGAATATTATCGGCGTAATATAGAAATCAATTAACACATTACCATTAACGAGATCTCGTCGAGGGACTTTCAGATTTTAACTTACTGGAAAGAACTTACAACAAAGATAAACATTACAATTACCAGTGTAAAGACATGTTATTATGAAAGGAAAAAAAATAACATAATACAGTCGATTCTCTCTTAACGGACACCATTTTAAGACAGACAGCTCTGTAAAACGGACTCATAGAATTGGTCACTGCCTTTCTTTACTCCCTTTATTTGACTCTCTATAAGACGGATATCTCTCTAAAACAGACACTTATATTGTCGGTTCTAAAGGTGTTCGGCTTAGGGAGTCGAGAGTTGACTGTATTTACCATAGACCAAGTAAACATCTCTTGAGAAAGATTTTCAATAACGTCTGAGACTTTATTCCTTCAAGGCTCTCTGAAAGTCGTCTCATTGAAGTACCACACCAGTGTAAGAAAAAAATCCCCTAGTGTACAAGTCGAGTCAGTCTGCACTTGATGGTTTGAGGAAAAGGCTGCATGAATTGTACTATTGTGACTGTTACATACGTAAAGTACGAGTTTCGATAGTTTGAGTATAAAGGGAAGTGATAAAAAAGTTTGTGATTCGAAACCCAAGAAGAGTAGTCCCCTTTTACTTTTCATTTAATGTTGTCTATGATAAGCACTAATAAACACGGTGTATCTAAAAGAAAGGAAAAAGAGGAATAATCTCCAGTATATCAGGTGTGCAAATATAGGAAAAAGTTGAAAAAAGCCATAGATAAATTTGCATGTTAATGTCCGTGAAGATTATGATGCACACTGTAGTTATAGAAACAAACCTGAAACTAAAATGTGTTTTGACAATGGAAATAACGACGGCAAACACGATTGTTCATGCACCTTTTAAAACAATTAAATGAATGTTAAGACTTCTGCTAGCCAAGAAAGAATTTATTAACCGTCAGTTGTTCAGCGAGTCATGAGCAGTACACGATCAACAGCTTTTCACATGTGTATGACAACTCGTTCATACACTTGTTTCTTGACCTGTGCAACTAACGTGTCATATACAATTGTGCAAATGATCTCATTTACAAGAGCAAATACAATTGTCACATGTAAAAATCGTCACATAAAACGTGCTTGTGTGCACGTTTTATTCCTGATTAAACACATAAGTATAATTTTAAGTAGAAAATTTATCTCTTATAGGCTTTATTAGTCTTTGTGCTCTTGGAAAAAAATCGCTGAAGTGCCTGTTTTTACACACCAGAGACGGATTCTTGTCGTCAAAATCAAAGACACATGAGCAGACGGATAAAATCAGACGCATTGTTCGTACAAAATGGGCACTGTCCCGTTTTCACAATACCACAGTGGCCATTTTGAATTTTGGAGTCATCTGATAGGAGAAATATTTGAAACCTAAGACAATGGAAAAACTGTCAAAAGTTCCAATGTTTGCTGCGCAATGTAAAGTGATAAATAAAGTATCATATTATGAGAGACACAAGCAATCCCTTATGTGTCTTATTGAGGTCGAAATTCTGTTGAATGAAATACTTGCCACGCTTAAATAAGCGCTCTCTCCTCAGTTAAGGTCGCCGGCCCTACCCTCCTTCGTCGCTCCTCCTCTCCCTCCTTCAATTTAGGCCATTTGTACGATGGCATCATTTTACTTCTACTACCAAAATCCTTCATCAGGGTTTTGCATGCTTGCTTTAAGCCTCACTGGGATAAACAAATTTATATATGGAAGAAAAAATGAATTGAATTCTGGTCTTAGTAGTAAGAAGACATCATCGCACAAATAGCCTATTCTAGAATTTTTGATCACCGAAGCACTTTAAGAGATCCACGCGCGATCCATGTTCGACGTATGTATAGAATTCCCTCCACTAGGAATAAATGACTAAGTATTGTAATTAAGTAGATAGATAAATAAATGACACTTGGCGCTTTAATTCATAGAGTTACAGGCTCTCGGAAAGTTGGGACGTCACGAAGCAACAGCTTTCTCTCACCCCAGCCCCCTCGCGTTTTCCGCATCAGTTTCACAGTTTATTGACACTTCTTGTCTTGGAGCCTGGAACAAGCTAAATTAGAGGAAAAAGATGTTCTTATCAAAGAGATTGATGTCTGCGCAATTATACTAATAATTATCTAATTAATTGCTCCTTCAAGTAGCCACGAAATATTCCTAAGGGTCGGTGTCGACCTACCTGTCTACGGCTTTTTTAAATGCACTCGTTTCCGTTTATTCACAGTTGACTGCTTCGTGTAAGCTTACTTATATATGATTTTTAACCTGGATCAAATACATTTTAGCAAGCAATCTAGAATTCTTGAGCTTGTTATTTAGAAGGAAGAACATTAAAGTAAGGGGCAAAAAGACCTGGTTGTTTAGAGGTGCCGACGTAAAAGAGACGTCATTATCAAATCACGTCATTAAAAGCAAATCGATTCGAGGAAAATTAGAATGCCAGTCTAGAGGAAGGAGTACTCTATTCAAGCTCGGTAAGAAAATCTTAATACCAGCTGCTAGTATATCGTACAGGGTGTTTTCTTATATAACTAGTTCTGATCTTCGCCTATAGAATAAATTAATGCATTACTACTACCACTTACTGGCAAGATAAAGTAGCGATAGAGTACTTTTTGAAGTCAACTCAATCCAGCGAGTCTTTTGACATCAGAAAAAACACCGTGAGTCTCTTCAGTTTTGGCTTTCTTAGTCTTCAACTCTTTTTCCTTATTATGTAGTAGACGAAAACGTTTGATTTCTTGATTCTGAATCTGTTTTCAAAACTAAGTACTGAATTTCATTGCATGGCCCGTTCAAACTCAATCCTTAAATATCTGTCAACTTATCTTGAGAGTTTTACCAACAAACACACATCACTAGAGGCATCTTCAAATTTTGTTTGTTAAAGGAGAAAAATTTTTTAAGAAAGTTAACATTAGATTTCAAAAGGACTGCTAAAGTTGCGCCAATGTTGCAGTCAAAAATTGAGAGGTATCTATCGAACCTACAGTTAGTCTCCTCTTCACCACACAAGAAGCAAGGCTAGCTGGCCATATTTTTGTTAGCATTTGATGCCCATTTTATTCTCACTTTGCTAGCAAAATATTTAATTTTCGTTTAAAAAACAAATAAACATTCAAAGACAAAACGAATAGAAATAGGGAAAAGTGGATATGACGCAACAAAGACGATCTAGATTATTCTAAACTTCGATCGCGCGTGCTCAGATTGTGTTTCATCCAAATGGCATATTAGTGTTTAAGGAAAAAGGAAAAAAAGACAAAAATAAAACAATATCTAAGTAATTAAAATAATATAGTATATTAATAATAATAGTCATATAATAATAGTAATAATGATGATGATGATAATTGCTGGCGACAAGAGGAGCCCGCAATCGTAATCTCCAGGTTGACTAGCCAGCATTTGTTTGGACTTCCACTAGGAATAAATGGAATGCAGCAAACACAATTTGATCACGCGTGTTTCGAACTTCTACCGCGCTTAATTTGATCATTCCTGTTTTAACCATCTGTCAAGGGAAACTTGCGCAAGAGCACAGCGTTCAGCAAAAGCGTTTGACTGCGTTTGGACCTCCGATCGATGTCGCCCGCACTCCCTAACCTTTGGTTATTACTGGTTACAATGATAAAAAAATTTCGTTTCCTTTGCGTACAGCTTCCGCGAGTTGTGAAAATGGAAGCAGATCAAGAAGGAGTGGACGATTTGGTTGAGCTGGCGGAAATCTCAGAAAAAGCCATTGCAGCCAACTTGTATGTTCGACTCAAGAAGGAAACAATTTATGTAAGTGCCGTGACCTTATTTAACGCCTAGCTAGTCGTGATTCAACGTCAATGAATGTGATTAAGCCATTATCCGGTCAATATTAGGGACTTTTTACATGAAGAGAGAAAGATCCTAGCTTCAGGAACATCCTAGAAGGCAGATCATCCTAGCGTCACATGTTTTCTGTATTCAATTTACATGCAAAAAGTTGTACTTGTCCCTGGCGCTAAGATCTTTCTAGCTGAGAGGATGGAAGATCCAAATACTTGGAAGATCTTAGCACCATGTAAATTGCTTTCGCTAGGAAGATCCTAGCACTAGAGACAAACCGCATTCACATGGAGGGCAGATCGTTAAGTGGGTAATCATTAATCTTTAATTCCCTCTCACTGTTAACCACTCGGAACAAAAGTTCTGCATGTAAATCCAACACAAAGTTGTTTCGCCTAGGGCTGCGATCTTCCCCCTCTATGTAAACAGCCCCATTAATACGGACACTCAATCGGATGTGCTCTTTTGACAGACTTACATAGGCCGCGTGTTAATAGCAGTGAATCCCTTTAAAGTACTTCACATTTATGGCCCGGATGCGGTAGATTTCTACCGTGGTGGTGGGGAGACAGAACAAGGAGACGAGATAGATGTCCCAGATCATGATGACCGTGCCACCCGCTGTACAACAGCACAGTTGCCTCAAGATATACTGGAGAACAGAAGAAGAAGCCTTCATGTTTCTAGTGATACCATGGGTCAAAGCGGACAGAGCATGTTTAAGAATTGCAAGGTGAATACGTTAAAATCCACTCTCTGTAAGGCATGGGTCTTTTTCATATACAGTTTGGACAATATTGGACAATATAGATTTAGCATATTTCGTATGTTTCATGTGGTGAATATTAGGCGCTGTGATTGGTCGTTGCCCATGATCTGCTAGAGTACACACGAATAGGACGTCACATGAAACTTGTTCTTAGTTCTTTTGTCCAACACGGCGCGTGGTTTTGAGTGAAAGTGTTGCAATATAATTTAAGTTAAGTTTAATGATAGTTTACCATCCGTACGAAATTAAGGTGAAAGATGGCGGGAAAGCAGCAGGGGAAATTGAATTCTCATTCTAGGGCTACTCTCCTTTCGGATTAAGCCAGTGAAAGCCTTGAAAAAAAGTTTAAAGGAACAGTTTACAAGTAACAAAAACCGAGAAACTGAGACAAAAAGAGTTCTCGGCGACTTGAAAGTTGTGAAAGTGACCAATTATTCTTTTATGTTTCTAAAAAAACTGATTGATTTGTAGGGCCCAAAGCCTCCTCACCTGTACGCGCTAACTAACACTATGTACCATAATATGATGATGGAACATGAAAACCAATGCGTTATCATCAGGTTAGTACCAAATAAATTAATTATGGTCCAAGTAGTGTTCAATTACAAGAGAGAAACTCGAAAGACGCATGGTGGGTGTCGGAATCACAGACCTGATTTAATAAGGAACCCAAATAGCGATTGGAAACGAGTAGCATGCAATATTAAAATTCAGTTTAAATTAAATTTTTTGCCCATTTAGGGTCTGTTTACATGGAGTTGAGGGATACCAGGTCTGGTGGCAAATTGTGTGAAAAGGCGGGTTACCCCACCTAAACGGGTTACCTCACCTACCTGGGGTCCCCCACCTCCATGTAAACAGGCCCTTAGTTCAAAGATGTCATGACAACGTCTCTTTTAACGTAGGGTATTTTAAAAGACCTGCACTGGACGTATTTCTCAACTTGATTAACTGGAGAATTTTTATCTTACAATGATATCCCACTTTCAATCTATTTTTATTTGTTTATTGTTTCGTTTCGTTTTGTTTTGTTGTTGTACAGTTGTTGTTTTTTCTATCGTCTTTAGCGGGGAGAGTGGGGCCGGTAAGACGGTTTCCGCCAAGCATATTATGAACTTTATAGCTAAAGCATCAGGAAAGGGGTCGGAAAAAGTCGAGGTAAGAGAAATTAGTTGAATACTGTGGTAAATACCACAAAAAACAGTTTATGTCAATTCTTAGACAACGTTATGCAATTCAGTTAAATTGTATGGGATCAGGAATATTTCTTTTAATAGCCCTTCTGTATTCTCTCCTTTGTCAATTTTTTTTGGAAACTTCTCAGAATGGGATTTTAGAGCCAAGTTCCGTTAAACTAATAGGAACTACTGACAAACTTTTTAGACAGAAAGTTGTTTACTCTTTTTATATAGTTTAACTAATGTTTCGAAAGTCCACCCTTTACTATACACGCTTGCTGCTTGTAAAATCACGTTGTTTAATGTTATTCCAGCATATCAAGGATATCATTATTCAGTCTAATCCATTATTGGAAGCCTTTGGTAACGCCAAGACTATGAGAAACAACAATTCCAGCCGATTTGTAAGTAACGATCGACTGCTTTTCCCTATAGAGCTGATTTTAATCGGTTGTTGAAACCAACAAAGTCGTTTTCTTTAGTTTTACGGCTTGCAACGAATGTTTTAAGTACGCTACTTTGGGGGTCGTATAGCTCATGCCAATTTGGAGCTCACCATAGAAATTTATTTGCTGTGTATTTTTTGTAATTTACTCAATGGGCTGTCTTTTTGTGTTAATCAGTGCGTACGGCTTGTTTCCAATTTTGGCAGAGGTTCTAAAAAGCCACCCTGAGGGGCGAGCAAGCCTTGGGACAAGACACACACATCGGCAATGTGTCTTCGATAACTTCCAGAACACATTATAGGTTACCTATTGATTGAAACAAAAGACTGAAACAAGCTGTATCGGACAAAACCAAACATTTGTCAAATTGAGGTTTAATGTTCAATAAATTGGAATCTACTGGGAATCCTAATGTAAACAAAAATGGGATCATTATGCGTTTCTGGGTAACTGATCACCCACCCATCCCCTAAATCAACATTTTGCCCTAAGCGAGAAGTAAGTGTTAATGTTGGTTTAGGAGAGGGGTTGGTAGTCAGTTACCCAGATACGGAAAATGATCCCGAAAATGTGCAAGTTATCTGTATTATCTGCTTACTTGCCTCCATCTCTTTTCCTGAAAGGGCAAATTTATGGAGATTCAGTTTAACTTTTCTGGCCACCCCGATGGAGGAAAAATTTCTAATTTTCTCCTTGAAAAGGTAAGCTAGACAAACTAAAGACAGTTTTCCTTGAGAAGGTAAATGTTCATCGAGATAACTCCTCCTTGGGCGTAGAATGTTCCTGGGACGTAAATTTAGCAGTCCTACTCTTTCAAATCGACGTCAAATGTGCTCATTCACTTCCCAGTTTTACTTATATGATTATTTATTAATCAGATCGTAAATGACAAAGACTTCATTAACTGGTCTTTGATTTTTACGTTTTTTTCTAGTCACGTGTAGTGCACCTGAATAAGAATGAACGTAATTACCACGTGTTTTATCAGCTGCTTTCTGGCTGCCCCAAAGAACAACACAGTAAGTAAACGTACCATCAATGTACCATACCTTCAATGTCTTTTACCCATCACTTTATACTTTTGGACTGCCTAAGTTTAAAGTAGAAGAAAATAAACTCTGAGGATAAATTCAAATTTTCAAGATCAATCGGAACAATTTCCATGTGAAAGAAAAAATTCTTCTGGTGAGCTTTGTCGTCTAATTTTTTTATTCCTTGAGGGGATTACCGCGACAGGATAAGGTCAGTCGGCAGAGTGCTTGGCTGTAGAGCAAGAGTTCCTGGGTTCTATCCCTGAGGCTGGACCAGTAATCGGGGTCTTAAAATAACTGAGAAATGAAGGTGCTACTTTTGCCCTGTGAGTGCATAAGGAGACATAGAAATAGCGTCCTCAGTTATATTTTTAATGCTTAATACATTGGCATTCAAATAAAGTGCATTTTTTTTCTTATTTTTCTTTGATGTCAGACGATTTTGGGTTTGAATTTGCCAGACCTGAATTTTATTTCTATCTAAATCAAACTGGTGTCTACACAGTGGATGGCACAAACGATGCTGAGGACTACAATTGTTTAAGGGTAAAAATTATTGTTATTCGCATATTTAAAATATTACTTTGATATAAAACGCTTTTGCAAATAAATCAATACAAGGCGATTTCGTTGAGGCAAATACACTGTTTACATTCGAAACCACCCAACCGGGTCAGTCCACCGGGACCGGTCTTTTATCCTCCCCGGAAAGAGACGAGAGGATGAGTGCACGCTAATTTTCTCGAGCAGCGGCTGAAATCGAGCCTACGTTTAACCTTCCATGCCAAATAAATATGGTGCTTAATGAATGTAAGTTGCAACATATCTAGTACCACCCTGTCCGCACTCCTTCAGTAACCCTCACCGTCGTTCTGTAAGCTTGCCAACTCACCGGGTGTCTTGAAATAAATAACGTAAACACGAGGTTGACAGGTACCTTAAAAATGCCTACTATTAATAGTAGTATAGTAGGGACCAAATTAACGTTTTTTGCGCTCGAACTTTGCGCGCTTTTATTTTGAAAACATATTAGATTCTACATTAACCGATCAGGGTTTAGAAGATACTGGGCAAGCCCAAGCAGCTCATTTGATGAGATACCGCAGCAATTAAAGAATGAGTTAAAGGTAAAAGGGTATAACCTCATTCATCTAAAACCTGTCAAACCGGTTAAGCCACCTAAAATAGCACATGTCATTGACCTTATCTTAATGAGATTCCAGCGCATTTCATTTACGAGACGGAGACATAATGGTGTGACGTCATCGGTGTTAATGTATTCCTCTGCATGTTTATGAGATTATTCTACCAAAAAGGTGAATTCGGTCCCTTCTATACTACTTACTATCTACTTACAGCAAGCGATGAGCGTGGTTGGGTTTAACTCCACTACTCAGTCAACGATCCTAAAGTTGGTGTCGGCCATTCTACATCTTGGTAACATAAATTTTAAAGAGGAGAACAACGTGGCTGTACCTGTCAGTGACAACAGTAAGTACAAATCATTAACTAAAAGTTACAGAAGTCTCGGGATGATGTCTAGCCTGAGAAAAGAGCCGACATTTTGCGTGACCATCACTAATTTCCCTCGAAATGTCGTCTATCCATGTCACTATCCAAGTCTGGGTAGTGCTTTAGATGGTTAAAGCAAATTTCTCTCTCGACACAAACAATCAGGGCCGAGTTGTTCAAAGCTGGGTTAAGATTACCCAAGGTTAGTGCGAGATTTGAATTCAGATTTGAAAGCTTAAAAAGCATTTCAGTTTTAATTCTTTTTGTCTACAAGTTGATGATTGGAAGCTCTAAAAATAACAGAGAAAATTACCCGAAAAAGAAACCCGGGTTAAGCGCTAATCGGCCTTCGAACAACTGGGCCCAGAAGTACAGAGTAGTGACAAGTCATCAGTTTCCCAGGCGTCATTTCGAGGTGAAAACCAGTGGTGGCATGTCGCGAAATGTCAGCTGTTTTACCAGGCTACTTGATGTCACCAATTAACAATATTGTACACTTTCAGTGCTAACTGTTCCAGCGAGGCTTCTTAGTGTCGATAAAGACCTTCTCAAGGAGAAATTAGTCAGGTAATGATTGCTCAAGCTTTTCATTTTACTAAGCGAGTTAATCAAGAAAGTCCACTTGTTGGCACAACTGAGAATTACACAAATGCTTATAACTGGAATGGGTACTTAGCAAAAGACACCCTCCTTAAAACTGTCAGACTATCTTTTAAGGGACCCCTTATTTGGCACAGGTTATTTCTGTCTTTATGATAACGATCAAATGAAAGAAACAGTGATTTTCTTTTTTTAAGCTCGATAATGGAAGCTCGCTGGGGAGGCAAAGTAGAAGTAACAAAGAAAACTAACAACGCTGACCAGGTTCGTGGATTTACTAGGGGCGCTTTTCATTCAGCCCAACATTTTAGAAATTTCCGCTAGAAATCAAATGGAACGGACCATTTCGGTTCGGTCAGAGAGGAATATTTGACCAGGGACAAAATTGTTGTCCCTAGTACCGCTCTTTTGTATCCTGCTTACAAGAACAATAACCAAACGCGCAGTGGCTTGGGTCAGGTCTGTACCATTCCATTGGACACGTGAAATGTCCGAAATTTCAGACCGTAAGTTTTGTTGAAAAGAAAGAACCCCAGTATTGTTCATAAAAAAGGACTATCTTTGTGTTTGATTAGCAATCATGTTGTAACAAAATATAAAGAAAATTAAGATGATATGTACGTAAAACGACAGGCACACAAACGGCAACAGCATTGTCGAGACTGCCGCCAAATGGGCTATATTTGGGGAAGTAACCAATCCTGCTCCTCCCCCCTCCCTTCTGCCTCCGATCCAACAAAAGTCACCGACATAAGCTTATTGTTACACTATTAGTTTTTATTTCATTAGCCGTTACAGCAAAGTTAAAAAATTAATCCATATCTCATCTAATACACGGCTTTATTTCCTTTTTAAAAGGCTCTTCAGGCCCGTGATGCGTTGGCAAAGGCTCTATACTCACAGGTGTTTGATTATCTTGTACAGGTAGGGTATGACGGCAATCACCGTAACAGTTTTTCTTCTTTACCTGTTTAAAAAATTCACCAAGTCAAACTTCGCGTTTTTCTTTGCTTAATTTAGTGAGTAATAGATACAAATACTTCGGAGTCATGAGTGATATTTTCCTAATATTTTCTTCTTGTTTTGTCTTTGCCTCCTCTTTATTTATGCTTATTTCAGTGAGACTTTAAATTATCCTTGTCAACAACACAAATGTTTATTCTACAGGGCATCAATGAGGCTATGCAGAAGGATAAAGACGAAATGTCTATAGGAGTTCTTGATATCTATGGCTTTGAGATTTTTGAGGTGCTTTTTTATCGAAAACTTATTTTAATTTCTTAACAACAACATAGGTTATACATTATACACTTAATGTCAGACCCCAAGGGAAACAGTTAGTTTTGTTTTCCCGAGAGTCCTGATGTTTCCCTAGACGAAGTCGAGGGAAACATCAGGACTCGAGGGAAAACAAAACTAACTGGTTTCCCGAGGGACCTGACATTAAGTGTTTTGTTATATTTCTAGACTTTCACTTCAACAGCAACAAAAGAATTACCGGAGCGAACCAAAACAGTCGACTCGGTACTTATAACAACACAAATTTAATTCTCAAAACCACTGAATGAATGATTTACAAACAAAAGCCACTTTCCTCATATTATGTGCATCTTTTTCCTCCACTAGCTGCTGTTTTTCTTCTGGGAACTTCTGCGATAACTTTAAAAATCGTTGCTTTTTAGCTTAAGGCTTCGTTTTTGTGTTGTTGTGTTCATTCACGAAAAAGAGAACTGGCTGGACCTGGCGGTGTTTTTCCCGCCTTCTGTCACGCCACTTTCCACCATGCTTTGATCACGTGCTGCAATGTATCCCGAGCGGGATACATTGTTTAATGTATCACGATCGGGATACATTTGATTTTAGTCAAGGCCACGTGACCAAGAATCAACCAATGGCAGTCCCTGTTTAGTTGAGTGAAAGTCTAGGAATATAACAATGTAAAATGTTAACTGAACAGTCTTGATTAGAACGAAAACTTAAAAAATCCCAAGTGTTCCCTCCTCTCGCCCCCTCCAACCATCGATAAATAGAAACAAGGCGCAGATAAAAGTTCATGCACCACTTGGTATCACATGTGGTTTCGTCTTTTCCAGTGGTTATTAGCGCACCCAGCAATGTGCCACACGCAGGTTCGTTTCTGAGCTTAAAGTTGTTGTCACATCGATATATTTTGAATATCCTACTTACCTATCGGCATTCTAGTTTCAAAACAATGATCACGTCCATTTCTTGAGCTAAGTGTACAGTGTTAAGCTGCTATAAGTCTTCTGTAGCTCAGTGGTAAAGCATCTGAAATAGAGAGGACGCCTTTGACAAGATGACGTCACTTTACTTCTTCCACCAGAATCCTTCAGACTTTCTGAGAAGACCAAAATTCATGTTGGAATGTCTGACGCACGCGCACTAACACTCTTAATGCACGTTCTCTTTGTTTCAGCACAATCAGTTTGAACAATTTGCCATTAACTTTGTCAATGAAAAGTTGCAGCAAATTTTTATTGAACTCACGTTGAAAATGGAGCAGGTGAGTTAACAATAAAGAACTTTTTATGGGTTTTAAGTCTAACCTAGAAAGTAGAATTATAGACTACAATACTGAAAAGAAGTTTATCGAATTCGATTAAATCAAGCTAATTAGTAACAAAAAAGTATTAAACAAGCAAAAAAATTTTGATTAATCGTGAAATAGAGTCTGTGTCTGGTAAATTAACCAGTGAAATCGAGAAAAAATGAAACAGCAGAAATGGCGGGACATATCAATTTGTTATGGCAAAATCACTGTGTATAATACTTTTGCAGTTTCTTGTAGTTGCAGATTGATACAATCACCGAATCACGTGATATAAAACATTAAGAGGACACCTAACAATACCCACACCACAAACAATGGCTAATCAATAATGGTCAATGGCTAATCAATAATGGCCAATGGCTAATCAATAATGATTTCAACAACACCAAGAATCACCGAGTCACCTAATATAAAGCATTAAAAGGACACCTAACAATACTCACACCACAAACAATGGCTAATCAATAATGGTCAATGGCTAATCAATAATGGTAAACTGGGCTAATCAATAATGATTTCAGCAACACAAAGAAACAGGCCCCTTTTTTAAGTGACCAACTTCCATTGAAATATCTCGTAGGAAGAGTATGTACAGGAAGGAATCACGTGGCAAGAAGTCAAATATTTTAACAACAAGACGGTTTGCGAGCTTATTGAGAGTAAGGTATCAGTATTTTTTTAGCTAATACATTCAAACCTGGGTTTTTCAATAACACCAAGGTCTCCTCTCCGACGATGAAGAGGAAGTTTAAGTCAAACCATTTGAAATAACAATAATAATAGTAATAATAATAATAGTAATGATAATAATAATAATGATAATAATAATAAAAGCAACAAAAATTCGTTCTAACGTAGCTCATTTGTGTTCTTTATGAAATATTCCTTGATTCTCTACATTTTTATAACTTGGACACAAAGAAAGTTTCTATCTACGCCCTACGATAAGTTAAACGAACAATTTTTGATGATAATGATTGGCGGAACTGTTAACGTGACATAAAGCGTTTCGTTTCTTATTGAACCTAATCTTATCAAGTGATTGAGTTAAACGTTTTGTGACGTCATTTAAACTGTAATCACTCGGTCTTCAGAGACGTTTTGGCACTTGATTCACAGTATAAATCTCATGACAAAACGTCTTACTCCTTCACTTGATAAAGTATATAGTTTTAGGTTTTAGGTAAAATTATGAATTTAAAAATCATGTGATAGATTAGTGTCAGTACCTAGGAAAGTGTCCCCAATTAGCTAACTTTTAAGCTAAATACATTGACACTAAAATGAAGTTATTATTATTATTATTATTATTATCATTATTTTTATTATTCTAACGGAATCGAACGTTTTTGTATGCCAACACGTTTCTATGCTGGGAATATGAAACCTCGTTCACTCTAAATAGTAGTGGGTTACATATTTATTTTGATATTTTTTCATCTCTTTGTTAGCGTCCCCCTGGTATTATGTGCACTCTTGATGATGTCTGCAGCACCATGCACGCAGTGTCTGAAGGCTCAGAAAAAACTCTCATGGAGGTATATAATAAATTCTTATAGATTAACTTCCTTGTGAAAAAATAATTTTAGGATGTTATATATTATATGCGAGTATTTGAATAGCTCTGTCACCTCTCCGCAGAAGAAAATTTTTGGAGTGTCCCATCTTTGTCAGTTGCTCAAAGGATGACAGAAGCGTCGTTTTTCAACGCTTAATATATTCTTGATAAAAAAAAAACAACAAACAAAAAAAAAGTCATACTTACTGTTTAAAATGCATACATCGAGTCTGTAACCGTACAAAAAACAACAGCAATAGCAAACAAACCTGCAACTGCCGTCCAATACTCTGCGCTCAATTGAATCACTGAATACTATAGCTATAAGATCGTTTGAATCTTCAAATGAGGTATTTATGCATCCACGCCATACTTTTTCGCCTGTTAATGGCTGTCACATTTCATTATGGATGTTTTTCTGATTGAGTTGATTGTTTTTACTTTATCAGAAACTCCGAGCGATTGTGGCTTCCAATAAAGATTTCTCTCGTTACTTTAGGGCGCAGTCAAACTACTTTACCATCACACACTACGCAGGAAATGTAAGTGACGCGTAACTCGTGAATTTCTCATACTAGGAAGCAAATAGTCTGCTACACAGCCGTTTTTAGAGTCGTCACGCAACGCTCCTCGCCTTTGAGGGGAGGAGCGTTGTGTGACGACACTAAAAACGGCAGTGTAGCAGACTAGGAAGCAAACGAATAAACCAAAAAAGGCTCAACATACTTATTAAACACTGCTGCAAACAATTCCTTAGAGACTTATTTGCAAAGTTCGCTTCATGCTAGTTTGTTAATTTTTTTCAGGTGGATTACGAGGCCAAAGGCTTCTGCGAGAAGAACAAAGACGTGCTATCAAATGATATGATTGCTTTAATGCAGTCTAGTGAAGAGTAAGGCCTTTTACTTTACTTCACTGAATATTTCTCAAAGCTTACTTTGCTTATTCATCTGGTATGGAAACACGTAATGTTGATTTTACGTACCTCGTTTTAAGTACGTACCAGTGCAGTGTTCATTTTTCTCTCCATGAACTTTTAAATCTCATTCTCCCATGGAACACTACATGCTGCATTTTGATCCTTTTTGATCAAGTCAATTAGCGACGGCTTAACACAGATTACATGGAAACACGACAAGTTTATCTCTAAAAACTTATTCTTCTTTGCCCAAGGTCACGTGTCCTATTACTCCATGCTGAAGTCCCTTGATGTGACGCTTAGATCTTCACATGTCAGTTCAAAATTAATCCTAGTACTCTAAATACACGAAACCGTTTCTTTGCTGTCTGTTTGTTTTTAACTGTAGCGCTTTCGTTCGTGATCTTTTTCCTGCTGCTCCGAGCAATGAGAGTACAGGGCGCCGTGCCAAGTCCAATACAGCTGGAGCCAAAATTAAGGTATTTCCTGTTAAGCACAGTTCCTTATCAATAGTTCAAGACTTGAGTTTCTAATACATTAGTACTTAGTGCTTAAGAAGTAGACGTATAGTGTCTTCTTTCTCACCAATAGACCTTTTTCACATGACGTCACATCTGTCATGTTTGTGTCCTAGAAGAACGAAACGGCGGCCATGTTGGCGTCCCAAACTAATCCTGTGGGAGTGGAACTCCTTTCTTATGCAAAGGCCTTTCTTTTATCTCAATGAATTTGCATAACTACTGACTGCGTGAGTGGCCTTTCACATGACGTTTAACGTCCGCCGTATCAGTTGTTGTCCCAAAACAATAAGTCGACGGCCGTGTTGATGTTCCAAACCAGTCCTGTGAGAGAAATCTTTTTCTTATGTTTAACTCCTTCATTTATCCCAATAATTTGCACATTTTAATTTCTACCCACGTGAGTGAAGACGCTTCATACTTTCCATAGTTTCCAAGTTGTCTTACAGTTTTTTTTGTTAACACTGTTGAGCCATGGCCTTGAACTACTCATTGAGCACATTATTTGTTAATCGACGTCAACACTTTTTTGTGTCATTAAGTCGCAAGCCGCCGCCCTGATTGACAAGATAATGACCTGCACTCCTCATTATGTCCGTTGCATCAAACCAAGTGAATCCAAGCAGCCACTAGACTGGGACGACCAGAGGTAAGTATGGAGTGGAGAAGTGTAACGTCACGTTACCATGGTAGCAAAATTTCTAGATCTCCACAATCTTTCTTGAAAGAGAAGGGCATTTGCCTAGGCGAAAGATGGAAGAATAGTATGGAATACCGTTTTGTTCTTGAGTGCATTCAAGCACCAGAAAATCATACATTTCAAAGCTTCTGTTTTCCGCCATATTTGCAGCACCACAGTTTGTTGAGATCCAGAAATTTTGCTACTATGACAACGTGACGTAACGACTTCTCCTCTGTACTATTAGAGCTTATGCAAAGGCGTTTTTGAACAACTCACGTCAACCGGAAGTCTATTCTTTTTCATCTGAAATTACCTTGATGCTACCAAATTTGTATTCCTAAGTGTCTTTACTATTACACAGACAATTTGTTCAAAAATTGAGGAAAACCGCCGTCCAAAAATGCCCAAAAAAAGACCACTAACGGTTGACGTGCGTCGCTCAAAAAACGTCTTTGCTTAAGCTTCATTTTAGTTGAACAAAAAATTCAGGGAACATAATGTCCTCAAGAATTGTCTTCCCTCAACTTCTTTAACTTTAATGCTGACTGAGCATCAGGAAAATAAATGATGGAAATAATTTAACACCTTGGAATAGTCACAAAAATAATCCATTTGCCGGTAGGAAAAATAAGGAAGAAAAAAATATTTTTTAAAGTTTTTTCCTGTGACGAAGTATCCACGTTGCACCCTGTAAATATAATTTAGTGCATAGCTATTAAGGTATCTAATTTTTGCTGTTATGTTTTGAGCAGATTTTCACTCGTCTTTTTTTTATGCGGGTACTTTAAATTCAATAAGATTAGATTGCTTTCACATGACGTCACTTCCTCCATGTTGTTGTCCCAAAACAATGAAAAGGCGGCCATGTTGGTTATTTAAACCAATCCGTTGGGAATTAAATTCTTTTCTTATGTAAAAACTTTCCTTTTATTCCAAGAGATTTGCATTGCTGCTGGCCACGTGAGTGAGTGTCGTGATACAACTCACTTCGACTCTGAAGATGACTACCGCACAGGTTGTCGAAACGTCCGAAACTGTCAACAACAAGAGTCCCCTTCAGGACTACGTTCACCCGGACGATCATACTGAACATACTTTAAAGGCTCTATTTATTATGTTTTTCTCAACTACTTGCAGAGTGTTGCATCAAATTAATTACCTGGGTTTAAAGGAGAACATCCGTGTCAGGCGAGCTGGGTTTGCATTTCGTCGACAGTTCCAGCAAATCATTTTTAGGTTAGTAGTGCTTTGTCAAATACCGCCCCCCTACTCCTTGAAAAAATGCTAACTCCACCCTGGCCACAGAACGGTAGCACAGAAAACATTCTACTCTCCCTGCGTTTGAAATTGCGTATTTACATGTTAGGTATTTTATACTAGTGTTGCGTCTTAATTACTATTCGGGTAGCTGAGATTTTCAAGGCTTATAGCGAGCTTCAAGTATTTTTTCTTTCTTTTATGGTATATTTTGCAGGTATGGGATAATCTCTCCTCAAGTTCACAAGGGCTGGGATGGTGACCCGGCTGAAGGATGTCGCGTTATAATGAATGATGCGGGAATCGATCCTTCAAAATGGCAGGCAGGAAAGACAAAGTTGTTTCTTAAAGAACCAAGCACGGTAATGTAATCATTGATATTTAGAGAAAACGTGATAATTAGAATTACCAGTCTCTCTGAGGAACCCAAACGCCTAAATCACAATTTTATGGCAATGGAAGGTGTCGAGTAATTTATGCTAATAGAAAGTCCTCTAAACGTCCACAGCCTTTATAAGAAAACCAAAGTCTGGTTTAAGCCTGTCCATTATCGCTCTACTGCTTATGGATTGGCGTTCATGGTTACTCTTCTTGGCAAATCTCGATTCTCCGACATGCATAAAGAGCCTAGTAGGCTTCTGAAAGCCACTCACTCTTATTTAAGAGTATCGATAAGTCAGGAACTGGATTTAAGACGCAATTATAGCTAACTTTTGAGATGCCCCCCCCCCCCCCCCCCCCGTTTTTAGAGAATTTATTGCAAGGAAGGTCTAGGTGTGTTTGTTTGTTCTCCTTTTTAAGGCCATATGGAATGCTATATATATAACTGTCAAGCTGAATTAACTTTCTATTGTTTTCTAACTGGCTATTACTTTTGACAGCTAAACGAGCTTGAAGACGTCAAAAACAGGATTTTGGAAAAGTATTGCATTACAATTCAGGGAACTTACCGAACGTACAGATTACGGAAAAGATTTCAGAATATACGGAAAGGTCTGTATATGTTTTATCTCTGAGGTTAAGTTGCACACAAGATCACGCACACAAGATCACGCTTTTTAAGATAAACACTTGGGTGTGAGTGTGGGGGGGGAAGGCCGGGGAAGGAGGGGACTCTTGTTTGACATTGACAAGGATGCTCTTCGTTTCGCTGAGAGGGATAAAAATCACCTTGGGGTGTTCAGAATGGAAAGCAAATGTTTTTACCCTAGGTTTGTTTGGAAAGAGGAAAGAGCTGTATTGCTGTGTGTGAGGATGATCCACTGAGCAACGCCCAAGAAAAGTCTCCCGCGATCCTTTGGTCATGTTTGTTTGCTTACCTTTTGCTACAAGATCGTCTTCTCCAAGAGTTCATGTTTTGGCTCAAAATTAATTATCCATGGTTTCAATTTTATCTTCCTGTTGCTCTTGGGTATAGAAATAACGAGATCGATACGATAGAAGGTACAAAGTAAACCAACGAGGAAATTTGAGTTACACTGCTTAGACGTATAAATGACAATTTTGTTTATCATTTTGTTTATCTTTTTTCTAACTTTTAAGGTGTAGCTGTGATCCAGAGAGCATATCGACGACATAGAGAGCGAAGTGCTCTTGATAAGCTCATAACAATTAAAAAATTGCTTCAAGGTGTGTAATGACGTACTCCGTCTTCTTAGACTTTCATTAAACTTGAAGAGGTTAATGATCTGTTCTTAGTTATGGACATGAAAACACTGCGATGTTGTATTTTAGCACTTAAAGATACTAGAGATAAGGTCATTGGCCTATGGAATCTGAATGGCGTGATGATTTAAAGGGTGTGTGCAGATTCATAATATATAGATTTAGCTAATGCCAAAAGCGAAGCTCTCGTGGGACATTTTCTGAAAAATCTTACTCCAGTAGTTCAACGTTTGCCATAACCAAGAAGAAAACTAAATTCCACCTTTAAAAAATGGACCTGAGCTTGAAAACCAGAAGTCCCTTGTTGAAAACCAATAAGTGGTCAGCGGAGAGCTTTAAAAAACGTAACCTCAATAAGTTATACACCTCAGCCCGCGATACAGCCATGTGACACTGGTTAGCGGATACACCTTTTTGGCAGCTTTCAATTGACTATAACATGGATGTCCTGAATATCAAGTTTAAAAAGGATTGTTTATACCTCGGCCTCCAAGCTAGTAAGTGTGACATCTCACATCTGCAAACATAAAGGGTGGATGTACTTACGTGCGATTTGTCACAATCACAACTTTCTAGGATGCATATATAACCAAATTTTATTAGCATGGTTCTGCGCTACTGCGCCCGCGAAAGCTCCGCTATACGTACGCAATCTGTAAATATATGGGAAAAACACTGATCTATCGAATTGAATGTGCTCTTATTAAATCTTTTAGGAGTCGATGTCCTAGGGGACAGAAAAAGAAGACGAGCTTCGTGGGACATGGGTTTCAAAGGAGATTACATGGACTTCCAGAACAATAAGCCCTTACAGAACGTAATAAGTAAGGCTTACGTTTATGTTATTCAAACTAAACATTAAAAAAAAATTAAATTATGCACAACAAAACCCCAATTCTTTCATTATAGATTTAATGAAAGTCGGAATAATGAAACTTTTGGGAGGGAGAGATTCCATCCTTTGAGCGCAGACGTCCAAAAAACAAAAGTAAATTACGTGGTGAGCAGAGTGAGGTAAGCCCTTCCAGAGAAGAGTGGATAGAATCAAACGGGTATCGGGATAATGCTCTATTCATTAACGATCAAAGTTTCTCGTCAAAGTTTCTCGTATCGTCCCCAGTACAAACAATGAACATAATAGGCGATGCCAGTTTAATTACCTAGTTAATCTCCACTGCTATCATGAGTTACTTAACAGTGCCTTTCTTTTTCACGTAGCGGATAAAAGGGTGGAGTTTGCGGCTGAAGTAAGGAAATACTCTCGCGATGGAAAGGTATTATATTGACACTTGTAGAGTCTTGGCGGGGAAAAAAACAAGATCAGTGGTTTAACCCTTTATTTTTCTGTCATAGGAGCAATTTCGGATTTTAGTGTTGACGGGGGTGTGGCTGTACATTATTGGTGAAGTAAGTTGAACTTACCCCAGAGAATATTTACTAACATCACTACTACAATCACCATTGCCATTATCGTTATTATCGATAACTTTTGTTTTACTCCTTCTCAGTTGTCATTATTATTATTAATATTATATTTATTTTTTACAAGCAGTCAAAGGCGTATAATAAGCTCATTTTTTCGTTTGTCTTTTCACAGCTGAAAAGTACTCAGAAATTAGGAGACGTGGCTTACAAGGTTAAGCGAAAGCTGCACATGGCCGATATAAACTCTGTCACAGTGAGGTAAGGAAAAACGCAGTGCTTAACATGATAAATGTAATTAATGAAAGAACAGTGATAATCAGTAAATCAATGAATTAATTAACCATAACAGTGAATTAAGAAAATTTTAATTGATTGGATATATCTTTTGAATTGATCAACAAAATTACAGACGACTTAGGCGCAAGATAAACCTTTTAAAGTGCTCCTTCAAGGCCTGCGAGAATGATTAATTTACTTGTATTTTCAATATTTCAGTCCTCACGACGACTCCTTCTTTGTGCTTCATGCGAAGGACTATGACAATCTATTTGATTGTCCAATGTTGCCCGAGGCTCTAAACAGATTAGCTGTGGTATATAAGCTGGAAAACGACTGTGAGCTACATCTGAGTGTAGCTGAAAGGTAAGGTCTTCTTTTTCTGAAGAAAAATTTATGTATCTTTGATAAAAAGTTTAAAAGCCTAGTACGTAATAAGATTTCAACCTTTCGAGGCTCTCAGCACTTCTCTCGAACAGAGAAAAAAACAAGGATTCACTTATTCATGATTTTGTTAAAAAAATATCCAACCTTCTGCGGTCATCCACTATTTTGTTAAAGACAAGGCGAACATTTGTTTTCTAACACGCTACTTTAAGAAATTTCAGATAAATCGCTGCATTATTTGATAAAGTAACTCAAACTATAAACAAAATCCTTCAAGAAGTTTCAGTTTGATTTTTAAGGAAATCTTGCAGTTTCATAAAGGTTAATTGTAGGAAGTGGAAAGGATAGGATATCAGTTAATATTCATCAAAGAGTTGAGATTCTAAAGCTAACCCTACACAGCTGACTAGAAATCGTATTTCATTCTTTGGTTTTAGTGTGGACTGTCAAATTAAAGGAGGAGGTGTCCGGCATATTCATTTTTTAGCAAAAGGGACCTCTAGATTAAAAACCTCACCTTCAAAGAAGACATTTACTATTGCAGCATCTATAGGTAAGTTAGAAACAAAGTATACGTGAAATAATCTGGACTGTACCTGTCGTTATCTGATTAGCCTCCTCTGTCATCTTTTGACAGGGTTTAAAATGTGAACTTGGGAAAAAATTTTAAAAGGCTATGAAAGCACAAAGTAATAAACCTATTCACCTAGAATTAGTGTGGAGGGACAATTTGTCACTCTGTAAGACGAAATCTTGTGATCTTACTATCCAGATGAAACCTTTCTGGCAGAGCGGTTGCATGGCATTATAAATTCTTAGGATTTTACAAAAAAGAAAATGTAATTTGGAACTTTTTTATTTAGTGGATCACCCGCCCGAAGAAGATATCCATGTCCCAGGTATAACTGAGGAAAGGCGGGTGAGTATTGAACTATTTGTAGATAAAGTGGCACGGAAATTAAGCCGCTCCTATAGCGTCCAAGTCCCAGACCCAAGAAGCTTTACTGCCGTAGCCAAAGCCATATTTGGGCCGTCTGGTGGTGGTATTCAATGTAAAGGAGTGTTTGTAGACCTTCCAGAGGGATCTCTAACCTCCCATACCAAGGAGGTCTGTATTCAGCTATGCAAGAACAAGTCAGAAGCGGTGCCGCTCAGTGAACACGAAACTGTCATCAGTCGGGTTGTGGAACTCAGCCCTCGTGACAAACCTCTGCAGCATCACGTAGCTCTTTACTTGCCACTGGATGATGTATCATGGGATGGCTTTGAGAGATTTCTCCGTTGGACTCCAACTCAGTCTGGAGAGAAAGCCAACTGGAGAGATGTGCGTGTCTCGGACACAATACACGGCAAGGATGAAGACCAAACGTTTGTTGAATTGAGACAAAAGAAAGCCAAGGTAAACACCAAAGTGTTTGGTATATTCTGTATTGTCTCAAGTGACCTGAATCAGAACCTTGAACATCCGCGGAAAGAATCAAACACCAGCGATGCTATTAAAGCTTACAAGGAAAGCAACAATACAAGTTTACTCCAACGATTTCAAAGTTCACACACTGGCCAAAGCTGATGTCCATGGATCAACGGTTCAAAATAACTTAACTTCTTCAAGTTCTCATCACAAGTCTGGATTGTCCTTTTTAAAGCGAATGAACATCATGAAAAGCACATCCAAAACATCAAGCAGCAGGAGCAAGGATAACAACAGAAAGCAATCAATTTTTAAAGCAAAATCCCGTTACTATGATGCTGAAGATAATTTTAAACCATCCCAGGCCACCGAGTTACCATCGCCTCCTACTGCCCCAACAACAGAATGTCCATCGTCACTTCCCCCTGTCCAATCAACAATATGTCCACCACTGCCTTCCGCTGCTCCAGCAACTTCTTCTTCATTGCCCCCTCCTCATGTCCCTACATCAAGCCCTACGTCTGAAGGACCTCCACCTCCTCCACCTCCCCCTCCTCCATCCTCACAGCCGCCTGAATCATCAGCTGCTGCTTCTTCTGGTACAGACAACTCTTTTGCCGCCATGCTGCAAGCACGCAAGGCAAACATTCTCGGCTGAAATAAAAAAATTAAGATAGAACAAAGAGGCAGTAAAACATTGTTTCGTGAAATAGCAAACGTCCTGGCAACTGTAATCATGATGATCCGTTTTTATCTTTCTAAGAAAAAACAACAACAACTACAACTTCCGCATGTTAGCGAAAGGAACATTTTGTTGTTTCTTCCTCGTAGAGGAAACTCATTAACACTAATTTGAGCATGAATAGACAAATGGTAGCTAGACTAAATTTGAGGATAACTGTTTTTTTTTTTCTTTCTCCCTGTTAATTTCTTTACTGCTGAATAACTGTGAAATTATAATTATAATAATAAAAGCTAAACTAGAAACATGTGTAAGCAGAGAACGAACAGTTCTGCTGGTCTGTTTTCTATTGTGATTAGCTACGTATACGAATACTTTGCGCTCAAAAACTTGAAAGGGATCATTTCTACGAACGTTACTTGGGGAGGGAGGGGAAGAGGTCGCCTCCTTTACTAATATCACTGGAAGGGTTCCATCAATTTTGACCTCCACTGTTGAATCATTGAGTTTCGTAGCCAAAATCACTTATTAAAGAGTAATTCAGGGTTCAGGGCTGTTCAGTTTTCTCCGACATACTGTTTAATCTACTCTTCTGACTTGTAATCGTGGTGCGAGGGATTGATGTAGTAAGCTGATCCCGATGACTTTTTACTTTATGTTCTGTTGGTATGGCGAGCGTTGCCTAGCCTGCGTTTCGGTCTTTTCCCTGTTTTTCTCTGTTTTTGTCTGTTTTCCCTGGTCTCTCCTGTTTTCCTATCTTTCACCTGTTTTCCCCTGATTTTTGCTATGTTTTCCCATGTTTTTTCCTGCTTTCTCCTGTTTTCTCGATTTGTAATGTTTTCCTTTATAAAATAACTAAGATCTGATTGACCGAGAGGGGTGTTTGCATGAGAGTATGCAAACATGGTTGTGGCGTCAAAATGTTTTGCTTTTCGCACGCTGATCACGCAAGCACAAATTTGAAAAAGTTTTTGAGTTGAAAACTCGACACATTTACTTTATTTACCCACTCCCTCGTCGGCTAAAACTTGGAAAATCGTCGGAAACATGCTGTGTTAATTTTTTTTTTCGTTTAAATAAAGCCGACATTTTAAGCGAGAAAAACTCGTATTTTTGGAAAGCATCTTTGTTTCAAAACAAGAACTGATTACGCGTACAAGCTTTGTGTACAAGACTTTGCAACAGGTAAGAATTTCTCTTTTAATCACTGCCCTAAACAAAGAGTTTTACATTTTTTCTCGGGAAAGTTATTTTATAAAAGCAATAGAAAAGATTTTTCCTGTATTTGCATAGTCTGATATAAACACTCGAGGGGTTGGGAGAATTCTCGACAGTTATGTGTAACCATAGTTAATTGAGTGGAATGGTTATGAAACCCGTCTGACTCCTTTGTTATATGTTTTTGTGGACCTGAAAGTGCACAACGTTCAGAAGAATTCCTATCATTTTGATTGTATTGACCAATAAAAACGTTGCATTGATTTATTCCGTAACAATTTGCCAACAGAAAACAAAGGATTGTGCACTTTCACGGTGCTTTGAACATAAACTGCAGCACTGTTGTTTTTATCATTGATGTTTGCCGCTTTTCATAACCAGTCTCCTCTAATAACTATGGTGTAACTGTCTCGAATTCTCCCAACACTTCTCGTGTTTATATCAGGCCATGCAAACGCGGAAAACGTTTTCTATTACTCAAGTGTTTTCTCCTGCTTCATCCTGTTTACTTATGTTTCCACTTGTTTTCCTCTGTTTAACACTTAAGAATAAAAATAAGCGAAAAAAGAGTTTAACACAACGTTTCGAAGTCGCCATGACATTAGTATCAAGTGACAAAGATAAAACTAAAAACTGACTTAATACATACGGTTTACAGTGACAAAATAAAGAACAAAGGAAACGTTGTGTTAAACTTTTTTTGCTTATTTTCATTCATAAGTGTTTAACAAAATTTCCCTTGTTTGCTCTGGTTTAAAGTTCTTCGCTATTGTTCCCTGTTTTCCGCTGTTTTCTACTTGTTTTCTATGTTTTCCCCTGTTTTCCTACGTTTCTCGATCCACTGTTTTTGGGGGCTAACCATGAAAACAGAGAAAAACACAGTAAAACAGGAAAAGAAAGGAGAATCCAGAGAAACAGGGTAAAACAAGAGAAAACTGAAAAACAAAGTACCGGGAAACAGTAGAAAACAGATAATAACAGTGGAACAAGGGAAAACAGACTGCGAGGAAAACAGGAAAAACATGGGATAACAAGAGAAAACAGATAAGAACAGTGAAAACAGTGGAAAACAAGGGGAAAACACCGGAAACAGGGACAAACAAAAGAAAAACAGTGGACAAATGGGGAAACAGACAAAAACAGGGCAACCAGGAAAAACAAGGGGGGAAAGAGGAAAACATAAATAGTCAAGAAAATAAAGGTATGGAAATAATTTTTTATTCGGGACAAATTATGGAGTCTTACATGACATACTGAACGAAATTCAATATGCATAATAGTGGACATGTTGTTGGAATATAGCGACCATTTTTTCTAGCTTTCATTGAAAAAAATAGCAAACTTAAATCACAGCAATGACAATAAACGTGCTCAATCTCATGTACATGAATTGGGTGACAAAATCCGGCCATCGTTTTCTATCCAGCAAGATTAATGGAAGAAATAAACCATTGGTAGGCTGTAAGAAAAAAAGAAAAAGAAAAGATTTCTGGGTAATCGTTCAGTTTGATGGCGACCAGCGGAAGGCAGAAGTGGGAAAAAGATTTCTGAAGAACTGTTTAATCCTATTGCGAGAAAAAGAGGGAAGAATACCTCTGCAGAACTCTATACTATTTAATACTGACTCGATACTGACCTAGTTTATCGCCAGTTTTGATCTGAAAGGCTTAGCTAAAACTCTTCTTGGTAACTCCAACGGATTATCACGTGAACATCACGCCTCGAAGAAATACATACAGTCGACGCTCTCCTTGCGACCACTCTCGAAAGTGACCAGCTCTTGTTACGTCACGACCACCTTTGTGAAACCCCATTTGAACTGTGACTTATACTTTGTAATGAAAAGCTCTCGTAAGCAACCGTTCCTGCAAGCGACCGCAACGACTTCTGGGATTACTCAACTGGACTTTACCTTTGTTTTTAAGCTCTCGTAAGCGACCACCCAGAGTCTTAATCAATACTAACATTTAGATTTGGGATTATTGTGGTCTTAAAACCTGGACATAAAGTTTAGCCGTGTCTAAATCAGATAAAATCTAAGACACTCATTAAACATTGATTTAAACATTCATTTAAACATTGATTTAACACTGATTTATTTTCCTTTCTTTTTTCTTTATGAATTATTAATCAGCTTCTGAAGCTCTCGTAAGCGACCACCCTCTATTGTTTTACCGATGAAGTCGCTTACGAGAATTGCTTACGATTGGGAGCTTCTTCTAGTAAGCGACCAGCCCTGGTGACGACCACTTTTCGAATCTCTGAGGTGGTCGCTTACGAGATCGAGAGCTTCGACTGTAACTCGTAAACCCTTGTGTAATTCGGTGTAGCACTCAAGTTAAGCTCTCAAGCACTCCAGTACTCAAGTTCCGAGCGCCAAGACTGATTGGGTGATCAGCCGTGAATATATCATGAGCCCGGGGGGGGGGGAGTACTTCCTTATAAGAGGCTAATAGGGATGTGCGGCTGGATGGGGTCGCATTTTCACGACTGGGTTGACTATGATGGGGTCACATTTTCAACAGAGTGACCGTATTTATTTGAATAAGCCCCCAACCTCGAATTAGCGCCCACTTCGAATAAGCGCCCATCCTAAAGGCAGAAAAAGTTAATAAGCGCCCACCCCCTCCTCCTCCCAATCAAACTCAAATAAGCCCTCACCCCCATCCCACTAGCCTGCGAAAACATCCGTTTCTCCTCGCTCTTCGCCGCTGGGGACGTTTCGCGCGGAGGAACGTCTGCGACTCAGTGACAGAAATTCCATACTGATGACGTAAAATATGTCCAGAATCCGGTCAGAAGCACTGATTGGTCGACGCAGTAGTCACATTGTTTTAGCTATTGTTTACGAATGAAAGACAAAAGACAAAAGGCCACAAAGGTCAAATGTAAACACGATGAATCTCTCACAAAACAGTCAATATTTGTGGAATATAGTCTTCTCTAAAACAAGCATTTAAGTTTTGCTGGAGCTCGTTGGCAGATGAACACAACACTTTACCAAAATCGATCAGGAGAAACCTAAATTGAATAAATTTACATTTGGAAGCCCATGACTACCGGCTTTATTAAGTAAACATTGATTTTCGTCATCAGTATGGAATTTCTGTTGCTGAGTCGCAGACGTTCCGCCGCGCGAAACGTCCCCAGCGGCGAAGAGCGAGGAGAAACGGATGTTTTCGCAGGCTACCATCCCACCTACTTGAGTGAATAAATTCTAATAAGAGACTTCCCCGAGGACGGAGTTTTCTTCAGAGTATTTTATAGAAACCTTGCTTTGTTACTTCTTCGCGTTTTTTTACTAGCATTTATTGTTTTGTTGCAAAATAAACAAACTTCACTTGCTGAAAAAGGTGAAAATTTCAAGCGCCCAGCCTCGAATAAGCGGCCACTCCCGAGGTCCAAAAATTTAATAAGCGCCCAGGGCGTTTAATCGAATAAATACGGTACTAGAATGGGGTCGCACATTTTCGGATTTTTTGGGGTAAGACAGTTCTTCATATTTACGGTAAGCAAACGTACGAGAATGTTTATGCTGCAGATGAAAAGTAAGGTGTTCTTCATTCAGTCTAAAAAATGGGACAATTCATAAAAAATAGAAAGTAACTAAGTTGGGATTGCAAATATAAAATAACGTATTTGCCCAAAAAGTGACTAAGATAGGATCTATAATTGGCCACAGAATAGACTATAATGAGGCAGGTGCTCTAAGAGGCCAGCGGCACATACCTAGCAAAAATTAACCAAAGTACCCCCCA